TTTTTTAGGTAGCTTTACTCAGCTCTATTTTAACTACAGTATGCTTTTATTACTTTTCATCTCAAGTTTTTAATTACATTTTAACCGTGATACAAGTTTTTACCTTGAGATCTTACTGTTGAAATTCAATTATTTATGTTTTAAATCTGACTTTTTTCAGTTATATACGATAGCTAAAACAGAACCTCTGTGTACGTGCTTAATATGCTGATTACGTGACCTCCAGTATACCTACTTCAAGCCGATGACATCAAAAATGCGTAGTAGAATTACAGTCAGCTCATTGTTACAAGTATTGTCACTACTTGCGGATTAAGATCATTAACCACAAGCTAATGTGTCACTTATAATTGGACACGCAATCAGTACATGATTGTAGTGTACACACCTGTACCCACGTATACTACCATGCTTGCTATAAGTATGGCGATGCGTTTGTTTTGACATTATTATCGTGTTTTTGATTGCTATTACATTGCAATATAAGTGGGTTATTAGCTTTGTTTTTGGGTTTATATACAATTTCTTGATTTCAAATTTTAAAGCCAAAAGTCGATTGCTTCTGACAGTTAATGCACAATGCCAAAAATGTTTAATTTTTTATAAGTTTTGACGGAAAATGTTTTTAAATTGTTTTATTTTGCATTTTTAAAAGTTTTTTTAGTTTTTTAAGCTTATGTTCAGCTTTTGAAACACAACGCCAAAACATTCAATTTTGGCGCGAAAATTAAAGTTTGAATTTTTTAAAAAATTGTCGCACTACTTTAACTAGTCTAAAAGTTTATTTAATATTATTTTAACACTGAAAATCTATTTTTGAGTTTTTTGTGTTATTTAGCACTTAAAACACAATGCCAAGAAAAATATTTTTAGCGCAAATTTTAAAATTCAAATTTTTTGTTGTGATTTGGGATGCTTTTTGCCATTTTAAACCTTATACATAGAATACTTTATATTATTTTAAACTAATACTTTTATTGTCAGGCTATTTAAGGCGTTGAAACAAAATGCCAAAAAAAAATATTTTAGCGCGATTTTTTAAAAGTTGAATTTTCTGCTTACTTAGACCTGATTTTTGATATTTTAAGGGGTTTTCGGGTGACTATGTAGATAATGTAATGTTTATACGATAATGTAACGTTTTTATACAATAATTTAACGTTAATATAAAACGAAGTAATGATTATATGCGGTAATGAAAACAATTTTTTATCTCATAGCTTAACTGTATTATTATACTTTGTCATTTTTAATCACACAGCCAAGAAGAGCCCCAAGAACCTCTATAATAACCACCTTTAAGTTTGAACTTTTGTTCTTAAATTTTCGTAGTTCTTCGAGCATTGTAACGTACAGAACGTACGATTATACGGTACTGTAATTACCCGTTTGGTGAACTAGTTTATTACTACTCTACGTTGGGGTCTATTACTACTCAACTTACTGGCTTATTAAATCGGGTTCGTATTTTTTTAATGACGCAGACGATGGTATTATAGTCAGTCTTGTACTTACCCTGGGGCTACATTGTATGGTATGCGGGTTTTTGTAGGCATAAGGGTTAGTGTTGTAGTAGTAGTTTGTCTGGGAATATAGGAATTGATAGAAGTTTTTGTAGACATACTGTTAAGGTAGGGTAAACTATTTTCTTTATTTAGGAAGGAAGCGGGGTGGGGAGATCAAGGTGGGTACGGCAGAGAAAGAACGGACGGGAGGAGGGAGTAAATGTGAAAAATTCCATTTTTATCAACATAAAACAGTTTTGTTTTGAAAAAAAAAACATTAAAAAATTAAACAATAATCCACCCCAAAAAAATTTTTTTACTCCGCCCAAATTATTTTGCAAAAATAATTTTAAAATGCGTTTTAATGACTATTTTTGAATAAAGAAGTTTAAATTGTACCTGCCTCATCCTCTCTTCCTTCTCCCTCCTTCTTTTTACGTCTCCCCCTTCCCACACTTTTTCTAATTTTTTCTCTTGCGAAAATGAAAAGTTGCGTTTTTAAGTATAAAAAACTTACATTTTTCAATAGTTCTTTAAATTCTAAGACCAAAGGTTTACAAAATCAAGTCCGTCCGAGTCATTCGAGCTATATTTGCACCTGTAAAATGGCATAAAATTAAGTTCTATTCAACGGTAGTCATTGTGTCAGAAACCTTAAATATGTCACTTTATATTTAGTTTTATGGTGGTGGGGAGGTCATAAACTCTACTTTTTTAAATTTCTTTTATTAGCTTTCTGCTTTTAGTTTTGTTATTTGATTTATGGCTAGAAATTTTGGAATTTATGATTTAGGGGGTGGATCTTAAAAGCTGGTGTTGGGTAGGGTAGAATAGAGTAGAGCAAGGTAAGAAGAGACAAATACACGTAGAGTAGATCAGGGTAAAGTAGCGAAAGATAGAATAGAGTAAAGCAAGACAAGGTAAGGTAGGGTAGATTTGATTTGGGTAAGGAAGGGTAAATTAGATACAACCTTAAGCCAAAAATTAAAAAAATATTTTAAAATTTTTGAAGTTTTAAAAAAATTTTAATTTTTTTAACTAATTATATAGGTATTCATCTATAAGTCTTCCTGTCTTCTTAATATTGTCTAGAGTACAACAGGATGAACAGAAAAAAAATGTGGAACGTCATTTCACGTTACATTTCTTTTCCTTTGCTGTCATTTATTGCCAATTTGGGACAGGTTTTTATGCTTTTTCTTAAACCTTTGGACAAGCTAATTTTGGGCTGCTCTGAAAATAAATGTTGTTGCTGGTGCAAAGTTAAAGTTTAAAGTTATTTTTATAATTTTGATTTTGTGTAGCTTTAGTCTTGACAGTAGCCATAGCCCTAATTTTTAAAACTACTTATAGAGCTTAAGCATGAGCTTGCGCATAAGCCTGAGCCTGAGCCTGAGCCTGAGCCTGAGCCTGTGCCTGAGCCTGATCCGGTACCTGAGCCAAAGCCTTAGCTTTACTTGAGACAGTCTTATCTTTATTTACAGCATTAGTCATAACTTAGGGTTTAGTGTAAAAAAGATGTCTTTCTATGAACAACCTTGCATATAACAATATGTAACTGTAGTAAATCATTAAACGGTAATGACCAGCTTCTATAACAGTCATTGTCAAATTAACACACTAATGAGTAATCTTCGAAAAGTAAAAACAGTCATTTTTTGTTTTTACATAGTATTACAGATTATACGTCGTTCCCCTTGAGTACTATGTATTATATTAGACATGACTGTTTACATCCTTGTATGTTCTCATAATACTGAGTAAGTGCTAGAGTAGAAGAGTTATGTGATTTTGGCAGTGACTTTTTGGAGTGCGTAGGGTAGTGTAGGGCAGGGCAGAGTAGTTTAGGGCATAACAGAGCAATGTAGGGTAAGGCTAGAGTAAGGCACGGTAAAGTAAGGTAGGGCAATTTAGCCATTTTTTTAATTTCAACACTACTCCACCCAACAGGTTGTACTATATAGCATTATTGCTTGACGGTACAAGGCTTAAAAGCCAAACCTTAAAGTGAAGAAATCAAAACACGTACTATAAATGTTTTATGGCTTGTGACATTTACGGTAATTTTGTTTTTCGCTCGTCTTCATGTTTGTAGCAGTAAGCATTACTCATCACACACTTTCTGTTTGTTGGGCGGTTTTTTGGTCAAAAAGGTCAGTTTGGCACTTCATTTTTAAAAAACGTACATGATTTACTTTAATATATGATAAGAGTTAAATTTTATTGGCCTTTGAGAGGTTGTTTTTATGATTTTGTTGTTGTATTGGCTAAGATTCGTCTCAATTTTTCTACAATTTGAGTTTAAGAGGGGGGGGAGGGGGAGGGGGAGGAAAGGAAGGGATAGAACTGTAAAACGTCCAAGGCAGGCTAAATTTTTCAGCTTGGCTCAAAGCAGAATAGGTCGATAATTTTTTTTGAAATTTTAAGATGTCGTACCATTTTGCAAACATACCATTGTATTTTTGCTTATTTGTATAATTATATAATTACGTTTATCTACAACAATATTTTTTGTTTTGTCATTTTCCCATGGATTATTATAAGTTGTTTGCGTTTTGTTTGACTGCAGTTGATTATTTATTGCAAAGTCTACAAAAGCCACCGTGTAGGTCATTTTAATCGTTTTGAGCTTCTTTATGTTATTAGTTTACAAAATTTTACATTATCTTATGTTAGAGATGAGCTTTGGATGTTTTTTACGTGTAAATTTTTGTAGCTTAACCATAGCCTCTAGCCGTAGCCTTAAACGTAGCTTCAACCTTAGCTTTAGTCTTAGCCTTAACTTTAAAATGTAATAACAAGAAATAAATACCAAGTATTTTTTGCTTTTAGCCATTTTATATAAAAATATTTATCAAAAAATATCATTTTTTGAACTTTAAAGCTATACTTTGTAAACATGTAAGGATATAGAGCATACTGTAACTCGCTAGCCAAAGCCATTAGCAGTTTTTGAAAACTGTTTTCCCGGCAACTTTTTATGCTCTTTCATCCTATATAGGTCTCGTTCAAAAAGCCGAGGGCCATTTGGTGCAATTCCCTAGTTAGCTTTAGCATACTTTGGTCTTAGTAAAGTCTCATTCCACACCGTTTATGCCTTACTGTGACGGCAAGTTAGTCTTCCTCGCGCGATCTGGTCCGGTTTGGTCTTTTTCAAGCTTGGTTTGACTCTGGGAACGGCCTAGTGGGCTCTCTTTCAGGTCTACCCTAAACCTGCTTTTAACGTATTTACTTTTTGCTTTTGATCTCTATGACTTTATGTTATGTTCATAATGATTATAATAATCCTTTCATTACCTTGTCTCATTCTTCATTACCCTTCCTCTACCCTCAAATACAGTATTTTACTTCCCCCCATAGCCAATTCCCAAAACTCTCATCGAGTTCATGACACTGTCTCTCTTCTCACTCCTCCCATTCGTGCCTAATTACGCCGCCCAAGTACAACACATAAATTAAGTACAACATGAATTAACCAGCGTGGTAGTTTTAGCAATGTGGCCAGATTGGAGTATCTGGAATGGCACCGATTCCAAACCCTACAACAACATCGTCTGGAATGAGGCACACGCTCACAGGTTCTACGACAATTGTGATCCGATCGATTATGCAAGTCCTAATGTGACGCAGTACGTGTATCAGGCCTTGGGGGAACGGTGTGTCACGGTGAGTTTTCTAAAAATTTAGTTGAGGATTTTTTTTTTAATTTGGTCAATAGTTTTGTGAAATTAAGCCTAAAAACATCAAAATCAATAATTAAAATCAAAGTTCATGTTTTCGTGGTGAGACCAAAAATTTTGAAAATTCAATATTTTAGCACTATTTTCAGTATTTTATAAACTTTTCCTATCTAGTAATATAAAGGAAATACATATAAATAGCAAATTTAAGAAAGTCAGGTTTTCGTCGTGAGACCAAATATCATTGAAATTTCAATTTTTTAAAATCCTTTTTAATATTTTATAACACATTTCCTATCTATAATCACGTTTTATCTACAAAAAATAAATTAAAATGCTATTTTTAAGAAATTCAGGTTTTCGTGGTGGGACCCAAATTTTTTGATTTTTTTGATTTTGTTTAATATTATAATTTAAACAATTAAAAATTGCCTATAAGGTAGTTTTTTTTAAATGACTTTTTTAATTCTTTTATTATCTTTTCAGCCAGCTGTCACACTGCCGACAGTAGTCATATACGGGTTGATATTGTTGTTGGGGTTCGTTGGCAACCTCTGTACTTGTATTGTTATTGCGACGAACAAAAGTATGCACAACCCCACTAACTACTACTTGTTCAACTTGGCTGTTTCTGATTTGTTAATGTTGATTTTGGGTATGATTTTTTAATTTTGAAGTTTTAAAGATATTGTGATACCTTTGGTACTGTACTGATTCTTAAAGTTATTATGGTGCAATTATGTGCCTTTTTAGTATAATGCAGTGCCAAATTTCGTATTAGATCATACAAAATGAAATTCAAAATTATAGGCCTGCCAATGGAACTATGGGGAGTGTTTGACGTCGTATATCCATATCGATTCAATGCCTTCTTTTGTAAATCGAGAGCATTCCTGATTGAATTTACGAGTTGTGCTTCTGTTTTGACCATGACGTGCTTCTCAATTGAACGATGGTTGGCCATTTGGTAAGTTTTTTACCCTATCCTACCCTACCCTACCCTACCCTACCCTACCCTACCTTCTACTCAATATTAATCTTTTTTCTTTTCAGCTACCCCCTCAAGCACAAAAGCTTCTCCTCCTGCTACCGTGCCACAATTGCTATCATCGGTGTCTGGATTCTCTCATTCGTGATGGCATCTCCAGTCCTACAAATCGTAGTCATCAACAAGCTACGCATCCCTCTAGAATTCATAACGGATTCAGGATGGCTACATCCAAGTGTTACCAACGATGGTCTAACGATACTTGGAACCGACTTTTGTGCCATGGACTTTGACGACCATTTGTCACAAATGATCTTCATTTGTGGCGCATTTTTCGGATTTTTCATTTTTCCGGCCGTGGTGATTACGGTACTTTACGCGCATATCATGACTACCATCAAGAAAACCGACCGGTACATAACGACAGATCAACAACAGAATGCTCGGAATAAGAAAATCATCAAAATGTTGTGTAAGTTGGCATATTAAAAATTTTCTTTAATTTTGAAAGTATTAGGCTAAAATTAGGGAGTTGCAGGTTTTCGTGGTGAGACCTAAAACATACTGTTTTTAAATTTTAAAAAAGTTATTTTTAGGGGTTTGGTAACGATATGTTTAATTTAATTCGCTCTTAACACAAATTTTCACGTTTTTAATTATTTTAATAAAAATCAAGGTTTTCGTGGTGGGACTCAAAACTTTTCTCAAAATACTAGTTTTAACGGTTTTTGTCTTCAAAATTAGTTTTAATGTAAAATACGTCATGTGTTGTACAATTTTTTGAAAAATTTAAGTTAAGGTTTTCGTGGTAGGACCCAAAATTTCAAAAAAAATTGTAAAATTCAAAAAAACCATGCCTAAAAACAAAGCTCAAATTGTAAAATACGACTGTACAAACTACGTTTCATTTTGTCTTTTCAGTAGCCGTCGTGGTGACCTTCTTCATCTGCTGGACCCCATTCCATATGCAACGCATCCTCGCCATCTACGTCACCAACCTTAATCCGGCCCCTTCGGAAGCCCTGACCAAACTCTACAATTACATATTTTACTGTTCAGGTAATTATTACAATTCACATAGTGTAATCGCTGTTTACCCGGTAACACTTTGTTTATCGTATGTGAGGAGAGTACAAGGAAAGTGTTATGACATTGGATTATAAGAAATGATTAACAGACAATGTTGGGGTGAATAATAGTACAGGGCAAAACATAAGATTATAGGACACGGTAAACAATAGGAGGTCAACCAGTTTTTGACTTGAAGAATGCCAAAAATTTTTTATTTCGGCGGGAAAAATAAGTTTGAAATTTTGCCTATAGTTTATAAGAAGATAAGCTACATTTTAGTAATAAGAAATGTTTTAAAGGTTCAAATAATTCATTTTTATAACTTATTGTAAAATTCCAAAAATTTTTGATTTTGGCGGGAAAAACTAAATTTGAATTTTTTAGTAGAAAAGTCATCCTTGACAATATCATAGCCCCAAAAATGCATCTAATATTCAAATTAGTTAATTTTAAAGCCTTGTGGCAGTGTGCCAAGGAATTTATTTTTTGGCGCGAAAGTTGAAATTCAAAAATTTAAAAAATTTTTTTTAAAAAAGATCAAAAAATTGAGATAAAATTAGCTTGAATAACATAATACCAAAATTTTTACACAGTAATAAAAATTATTTTTCTTTTTTTTAGGCTACTTTTACTACTCCAACTCGGCCTGCAACCCAGTCTTGTACAACATAATGTCAACCAGGTATCGTCGCGCCTTCAAAAACACGATACTCTTCCCATTCCCATCCTGCAAAGACCGAGTTATGGTGAAAGCCAGTTCAATGTCCAAGCCTAGAGCATCAGTGTCGAGAATGTCAACGTTGAGGTTGTCGACAGAACGAGGCTCAACGCGACTCACAAAGTCGCAAGAAGATGGTACCTCAGCTCTGATACGACACAACGGCAGTCAACGGAGCCAAAGGGTTTTGGCTAAGATCGATGCGGCTCAGAAATAGGATAAGAACCCAGGAAATGTATAGTACTTGATCTGGAGAGAATGGTAAAGATAGTAGGATAGAACGACATTGGTCTGGTCAATAAGTATCGCGAGAAAATGGCGGTATTGGGCCGTTCAAAACGCCAGCTTATCAACATAGGAAAAGTTAAAGTTGTTATCATCTTTCAAACACAAAAACCGATCTCGTTACGACTAATCAACAACTAATATTGTTATATTTGTACATATCGCACCCGAATTTATATATCAATCACTACTCAGACTCGCTTCATGCCAAATAATAAAACTTCATAAATATAAAATTGAAATTCTGAAACCTAAAAAATTTTTAATTTTCTTGAAGATTAGGCTTAAAAGGCTTAACTTCAAAAAGTTTAGTGCAAAACGCCAAAAAAATTATTTTGGCGGGAAAACGAAAATTCAAATTTTCTGTATCAAAATATTCGAGCAAAATTACGTTTAAGAACTTTTTGAGAAAGGTAAAGACAAAACAATAGTCCAATATGCATCTCTGACAACTTAATGCACAATGCCAAACCAAATTTATTTTGGCGTGAAAACAAAAATTTAAAATTTTACCGACATTTTTTCCTTGTAAATATGTAATACGTCAACAAGAATGTCGCTAGACGGACAGGAAGAAGTTAACGAGAGTAAACTCCTGTAGGAAAAAAAATCTATACCACCAAAACCTCAAAAAATCAATAAAAATTCAAAATTTTCTCCAGTATGGTTTATTCTACAAGAAAGAGGTTAGCCAAAGAAAAAGAACAACACACTGAATCTACAACGACATGCATTGAAGAAACTAGTCGTGTTGGAAGCTGGCAGTGAGCTTGACAGCCTTCACATTCTTGGGGTGCTTCTTGAAGAAGTCTTCGGCGTCGACATCGTCCTTCTCCTGCTCGACGTGCTCCAACATGAACTTGTTCTTCTTTTTCTGCATCTTCTCCAGATCCTTGTCGGATTGGGGTTCGAGGATGGCGGCCAAAATTTGCATAGCACGCGGGGCGATGCAGCAAAAGTTGGGGCGGACACGGAAGGGGTCGGGATTGGTGACCAGCACCTTCACGTACATGTACTTGTCCGTGTTGTTGATAGCACAAATGGGTGAGGTGACGGCTTCGTCAAAGGGACCACGGAAGATAAGTTCGTTTTCCGGCTCGACGATGAAGGCTTGGTTGTTGTCGTACTCGACTTCGTCCTCAATGTTCGACTCCTTCTCTTCTTCCATCAACAGTTTCTGCAAAATAAAAGAGTTTTAAGCTTAAATTTAAAACTTTTCCATATTTTTCAAGTCATTTACAACCCTTTACAACTCATAAAAGTCGAAAAACAATTTAATTTAAAAAATTTTCAAATTTCAAAATTTCAAAAAATCCACTAAAACATACCACAGGCAACCTGACAAACTGTACACGATTCTTTTTGCCGTCGATTTCTCTCCAAAACTTCTTGTCCTCCTTCTCCTTCTTCGAGATGGCGGTTTGGATGATGATCCGGTGGTTCTCTTTCTTGCATTTGGCCGCATTCTTCAATACCTCCAAACGAATGCTGGCAGTAGCCGTCTTGTCGGGCAGGATGGTGTTCTGCTTGTTCTTGACACGATAAAACTTGGGCTGGGTAGCCATGACCTTGTAGTGAACAATGTCGCCGCAAATGTTCTTCAAGGTAACGTCCACAATCTGCTGCTTGTCGTATGGGTCTGAAAATTAATTTTTTACACTTTTTAGCCTGAAAATTCAAATTTCATTTTTCGCGCCAAAATTAAACATTTTTGGCATTCTGCACCAAGTACCAAAAATAGTTCTATCACATTCCAAACACCTTTCAATCAAAAAAATCTATAATTTCACAAGTTGTGGCCTAAAATTTGAACCTCAAAATTTAAAATCCAATTTTCCCGCCAACTTCCAAAACCTTTGGCATTTGAATTTTATCCTAAAATTTTTCTATTCAAAAGTAAATTAAAATTGAAAAATACAAACTTACGGTTGTAAACAACCATGGTTTTGTCGATTTCGACGTTGACCTTCTCCTTTTCCTTGGCTACGTTCATCTTTGGTCCACCCTTGTACTTGGTCTTTTCTGAAATTTACTTTATTGTAATTTGGCCATAAATGACAAAATAATCTTGAAATGGCCCTGTAATCAGCTTGCATTGGCCCATTCTTGGCTATTTTTACCTCATAGCTCTACCTTTAATTCTATTGTAATATTCAAGTATACTGTAATATTACAGGCCTACTGTACTATACCTATACTTTTACTACAGTAACCCAAAATAACTTGTTAAACCCAAAATTTCAAAAACCCACGAGTCTTGGCGTCAGATTCATGCTTGACCTTGGTCTCACTTTCCTTCTTGGCCGCGGCTTCGGCTTCTGCCTTCGCTTTAGCCGCTGCTTCAGCTTCGGCTTTGGCCTTGGCGTCGGCTTCTTCCTTATCTTTGGCGTCCTTATCTTTCGCGTCTTCCTGTTCCTTCTTCATTCTAGCCAGTTCTTCACGTTCCTTGGCCAAGGCTTCCTTGTCTTTGGCCAATTGTTCCTTCTCCAGATCCAACTTCTTTCGCTCTTCGGCCAAGGCCTTTTCACGTTCACGCAGCTAAAATTGGGGGTTTAAAATCGTGTTTCTTAAAAAGATGAGTTAAAACTTTTAAAAAATTTTAATTTTTTAATTTTTTTAAAAATTTTTTAAAGTTTACTTGTTCATCAGTTTCTCCAACTCTGCGACGGACGGTGTTAGTAGCAATCTCTTCTGGGGTGAACTCTGAAATGCAAACGTCAATTTTTTTAAATTCCACTATTTTTTAAATTTAATTTTAAAAAATTTCAAAATATTTTCCAATTTTTTTGAAATAAAAAAATTTTTTCTCAAATTTTTCAAAATTTAAAAGACCACCATGACTTACCGTATCTGAGAGTAGGCGTAGCTTCGCCGGCAGTTTTGCCTCCAACAGGTGCAGCTCCAGCTGGCTTGGCGCCGCCAGCACCAGCCATTTGAGATTGGCCTGCGCCTGGCTGTCCCAAGTAAATCGACTGCACATAGCCGGCTCCTGCTCCAGCTGGGCGTTCTTGTGGTTGGGCTAAATTAAAAATTTTTTAAATTTAAAAAAAAAATTTTTACTTTTCGAATTTTAAAAACCAAAACCCCCTTACCCTGGCCAACGGCGAAATTGTTGCCAAAATAAGCGCTTCCGGCACCCTTTTGTCCTCCAGCTCCGCCCATAGTACTGGCTCCGCCTGGTTGTCCTGGTTTTGCACTAGCAGGTCCACCCGCACCACCTGCTCCACCAGGGCCACCTGCTCCGGCCGCACCAGCTGCTCCGCCCGGACCACCAGCTCCGCCAGAACCACCTGCTCCAGCTGGAGTTGGCTTTCCACTCATCGCACCCTGAGGTTGGCCTGGTCGCGCTGACTGAGGGCCTGCACCAGGTTGTCCCAAGTACATCGACTGGACATAGCCTGCTCCGGCTGGCCGCGCTTCTGGATATGCTTGAGCACCTCCAGCTCCTCCGGGACCACCTGCTCCACCCGGACCACCTGCGCCTCCGGCTCCACCCATAGTGCTTGCACCGCCTGGCTTTGCTGAAGCAACTCCTCCTGGACCACACGCACCACCAGCGCCACCTGCTCCACCCATAGTGCTTGCACCGCCTGGCTTGGCACCAGCAGCTCCTCCTGGACCTCCTGCTCCGGCTGCACCAGCTGCTCCGCCTGGACCACCAGCTCCGCCTGGCCCGCCTGCTCCAGCTGGCGGTGGTTTTCCACTCATTGCTCCTTGAGGTTGGCCTGGACGAGCTGATTGAGGGCCTGCTCCAGGTTGTAAATACATGGACTGAACATAGCCAGCACCGGCTCCGACTGGTTTCGGCTCTGGAGCGGCGGATCCTCCTTGCTTGTTGGCTACGGACAGTTGGGCTGGCTGGACTGGGGCTGAAATGTCAAAATTATTTTTAAAAATTTGGAGAAAAAATTTTGAAATTTAAAGATTATTAAAATTTAAAATTGAAACAAAACCAACCCGGTTGAAGATTTTCGGCCGAAGATCCACTTTCACTGCTCGCAGGTTGTTGTTGGGCTCCAGCGCCAGCCGGTTTTTGACCCACATTCTGCTGCTTCATCATTTGGCTTTGCTGGCCCTGTTGAGGCGCGCCCAGGTAAACGGATTGAAGATGATAGCCTGAAAATGTCATAAATAACTTTTTCTTCAATTAAAATGTTTTTAAAAAAAGATTTTTATTATCTTTTAATTAAAATATCAAAAAAATCATCAAAAAATCTGTTTTTAGCCAAAAAGCATAATTCTAAGTACTTTTCGACCATATTTTTTAAAAAATATTAACAATATGACTACCTTTCCTTATACTACAAATCATAACATTACTCGTTTATCCTTTAAATACCTTATGTCCAACCTCTAAACACCCAAAAATCTTCAAAAACAAGCCAAAACACCAATATCTACCCCAAAAAACAATCCCACTAGCAATTTACCCATCCTAAGGTCATGAAAAAAAGTAAATTACCTTGCATGATGACAAGAGTTGCAGTACACTTGAATCACCAACGAAGAAATGCTGGACCAACACCACAATCAGAAATCCGACTGTTCCGTGCTTCACTCAAACGTTCGAATGACCAAAAACGGCCAAAAATGCCTTTCAAAATGAAATACTGAATAAAAAAGTACAAAATTATTTAAAAAAAGCACTTTTTTATTCAAATTCCTGCTTTTGAGCTCATGTTGACTCGTTTCTTTGACCAATTATGTTGTCTTCACAAAGTCATCCGTCTCCAACTTAAATTGAAAATTGAAAAATCACTGACTAGCTTTAGGCAATAAACACAGTAGCAGCTTCTAAAAAAACGCATAAACACATTACATACCTTAACAAACCTTTTTTCATCAAATCATCCACAATTTAAAGCACATTTTTACATTATCCACAGCACATCTAACCTCTGTCCCAATACCTATTGACTGCCTCAACAAAATCAAGAATTATAGCCTCAAATAATACAAAACAGCTTCAAAACTTCAAACCTACATCATTCATAACGAAAATCAACTTACGCTAGCCATATAATCCATAAAACCATCATTATCCATTCATTTACTTACACCACTAACTATAAATCATGAAAACCTTGATTCTGTAATCCACCGTGCTAGTCAGGTCTTCTTCTGTCGTTCAGAACACGATCCATTGTATTTTACATATTATTTTAACAAATCAACACTCTATCAACTGTAAAAAGCAAAAAAAATATTAAAATTATAGGCGCTAGGACAAATGCGGTTTTTGGACATTTGCGGATCTTCGGTTTTTGGACACTTGCGGATTTTGGACATTTGCGGATTTTTTAAAAGGGTTTTTTTTATTTTTTATTTAATTCTGTTGTAGTATGGTACTAAATGGTACTAAAGTTTAAATTGGTACTGTTTTAATATGTTTTAGTGCTAAATAGTACAAAATTTTAAATTGGTACTGTTTTATATTTTTTGGTACTGAATGGTACTAAAAGCCCAAAAAGGTACTGTTATGTTAAAACCGCACCAATTTAAACTTTAGTACAATTTAGTACCATACTACAACTAAATTAACTAAAAAATAAAAAAAACCTTTAAAAAATCCGCAAGTGTCCAAAAACCGCATTTGTCCTAGCGCCGAAATCAGAAGAAAATCCTCAAAAAAATACCTAAAATCAGAAGACAAAAGGAAAAAAAACACAACTTACATGTAAATCAACTTTTGCCAGTTCGAATCAACCGTATTTGATCGTATTTGACCAAGTATTCAGGTTGTTCTGTCCGTTTTCCGCTAGCCGACCCATAATTGCGGTTGATGAAGATGTTTCATTTATAACAACAAAGAAATCAGTGTCTTGAGCAATTTTTTCACCCTGAAATATGAACAACGCCTAGTATAACAAGAAGATAAGAAAATAAAGTTGTTAAACATACTTTTGGAACAGAAACAATTTTTGAATAGAAACAAGAGCAACTAAAACAATGGCGAAGTGCGAGCGACAATTTATACGATTAAATGTGTTTTTTTCGTTAAATAAACTCACTTGCGCAACTGTTATTGTAACTTTAATCAGAAATGTATTTCTACCCGTACTTAAAAATTCATACTACAAACTTTGGAGTTTTTTATATTAAAAAACATGAAGAATGTGAACTTCATTGATGAGCTACATAAGTCGACTTCAAAACACAAAAAAGGACTTTAAACTACAATATAATACATTTAATCACTTTAAATTGTTATCTGTAAATATGTTTTTGGGCTTGATACGTATACGTTTTAGAACTCTGATGTGTGATCTGAAGGGTTATATAATACGAAACTTATTAGGATACTTTGAAGTTGTTTATGGCATTTTTGACATTTTTTTAAAAAATTTCAAAAGTTTTTTTTCCTTTAAATTTTTAAAAATTACGACCATGAATTTCGTTACTGTGCTATTGCTAGAATTTCTCAACTCGTATTTTACAAAATTTACATTTTTTAGAATAATCTTAAATTTGTAAAAATTATAAAGGCTTGTATAATATTATATTTTTCTATCAATTTTAATCAAGTTTTTGGTAAACAAGACGTTTTTTAATATATATTTGTTAAGAGTTTTGTTTGTAAATACACGTCAATTTTGTAGACTTCCTTTATAAAGCAATGAACTGTCATTAGTTTGATAATGTTGTTATCAACATTACAAAACGTCTGACATTGATCACGAATTTTAAAAGTTTGCAAACATAAGCATAAAAATAGTTTTTTCAAATAGATTTTGCTTTTCTTTTGCTGCCTTGTAAGGTCCTGTGTACTCATTTGCTATAGCTTTGTCTTATCCCTGTCTTAGCCTTCCCAAGCCCAGTTCCTGTTTTATTTTAGTCGTTGTCCTGTACTTACTGGCCTTGTCCGACTCCTGTCTTATCCCTGTCCTAACCATATTCTAGCTTTTATTATTCCGGTCTTAGCCCTGTCTTGGCCCTGTCCTAGCACAACTCAATTACTCTCCTTCGGCCGACAGAAAAAAATCAGTAGCCACGTCCTTAAATTATAATTGCCCGAAAAGTCTTTCAGTTGTTTACCACACGGCACTCTGAACTAATAGAAAATGAAACGCATTCTTTTTTGACATTTTGGTACACCGCAGTAATACTCATAAAAATAATATAACGTTATTTTTTACTGAAAACTTTGATGCATAATGTATTCTTGATCAGTATGTTTCTTTATACGTCAGATGTCTATCGAACACGTGTCTTTTCTTATTTTTATAATAATTTGTTTATATGACATTATAAATCATATTCATGATCAACTGCTGCAACTTTTGCAACCTCTGCAAAGAAAAAACGTTCGTTTTTTTAATTTTTTAGACAACCCGTTTATTAATTGTAAAATACGTTTTTTCAACCTGTTCATATTTTTTAGCCATATTATGTAGTTTTCAAATTTTAGAAAGCTCCAACAATGAGCCAAGCAAAGTTGATTTTGTTGACGTTACTATTTATCACTGCACTCGCTGTGAATTCAAAAAAGATTCTCTTGGTTCAAGTTGCAGTTGGAAAAAGTCACATGCAATTCAGCGGAGTTTTGACTGATAAACTGGTCGATCGAGGACATATTGTGGTAGGTGCACTATTAATATAACCCTAGTCCTAGCTCAGAGCCCTAGCCCGGAGCGCTAGCTCCAGAACCTTAACTCAAAGCCCTACCTCACAGCCCTAGCCCAGAGCTGTAGCCCAGAGCCTTAACCCAGGGTCCTAGCCCTAGTTCAGAGCCCTAGCCCAAAGCCCTAGCCCAGATCCCTAGTCCAGAGCCCTAGCCCAGAGCCCTAGCCCAAAGCCCTAGCCCAGAGCCCTAGCCCAGAGCCCGAGCCCTAGCCCAAAGCCCTAGACCAGAGCCCTAGCCCAGAGCCCTAGCCCAGAGCCCTAGCCCAGAGCCCTAGCCCAGAGCCCTAGCCGAAGCCACACACATTATAACTATACATCTTCAGGACAAGCTCGTACTCCACTGGAACCCATACGTGATCACAAATGGTACCAAGAAGGCTCGTCGTATAATCTCAGTCACTCGTCCAGACTCTCCATATAAAAATGCTCAACATATTATGAATCCATTCAAGTACGAATCAGAACAAGGCTATCAAATGTTCATCGACATTCGTAAAATGTACTGTGAGACGCTGCTAGCTAACAAAGGTCTTATTGAAGAATTGAAAAGCGAGAACTATGACATTGCTTTAGTGACACCATGGGGTGGTTGTAGCTTGGCATTGACAGAGATTCTGGAGATCAAATCAACTGCTATGTTTGTTGCCACTTCTAATGCTGACTACATTTTTGAGGGCTTGGGGGTTCCTAGTCCTCCTAGCTATTTGTCTTGTAAGTTTTACGATGCTATTTGTCATATAGCTATTAGGTTGAACCAAAAATACCGGAACATCTTTTTAATGAAAAAAAGTGTCCCGTTACTTTTGGTTTAACCAAATATTTGTCATATGGGTATTGGGTTGTATAAAAAATATTGAGCTACTAAACTCTATATCTTTTACAAGATTTTTTTTATTTTCAAAATTTCAGACATTTTCGAGCCAGTATCGCCAGGAAAACCACTCAACTTCCCAGAACGTGTCGCTAACTACATAAAATGGTTCAAACGACACATGCCTTACAGCCACTGGAACGAAATGCGTCATACTGATGACGAAATTGTTCACAAGTACTATCCTCATATACTGCCGTATTCTCAACTCTTTCATAAAGTTTCATATGTATTCTTGAACATGAATGAGTTGTTGGACATTGGTCAACCAATTTCTTCAAAGATCAAATTCATTGGCGGAATACACTTGGAGGACGGGCTGACGAATACTAATTTGACAATGCTTGAAGTGAGAAATTTAAAATTCTTATAAAAATGGGGTGAGATTTAGAGTAGGATAAAGTAGGGTAGAGTAGATAAGACTAAAGTAAGCTAAGGTTTACAATAAGGTCAAAATAGACTAGCGTATGGACAGGATATAGCAGAAAAAACAGGTAGCCTATACTAAAATATTCTTTTTTCTGGAATACGAACAAATTCTGTCATCCCATCTTAAAGGAACAGTGGTATTTTCTCTTGGATCACAAATTATGATGGACTCAGTGCCGACAGAAATCAAGGAAGCCTTGGTCAAAGCGTTCTCACGGTTCCCTGAATACAGTTTTATCTGGAAACATGACAAACCAGAAGATATGGCTAATTTGAATGTACCTAACGTATTTTTCAAAAAATGGCTGCCACAGAAAGAGCTTTTGGGTAAGAAATAACTTACGTTACCCTAGCTTTAGCTTTACCTTTAATCTTAGCTTTCGCTCTAGCCCTAGCTCCAGCTCTACCTCTGGCTCTGGCTCTGGCTCGAGCTCTGGTTCTGGCTCTAGTCCTAGCCCTAGCTCAAGCCGTGGCCTTAGCAATAGCCATAGCCGTAGTTATAGCCATAGCTTCTCTAAACCACTACAATCTTTTTAGCGGCTTTATTCTATCTCTACTATACTTATTACATTATATTTATAAAATCTTTCAGTCGACCGCAGAATCCGTTGTTTCATAACTCATATGGGTCTCAATTCCTACCTCGAATTAGCCTATTCTGGAGTTCCAACCATTATGCTACCTCTCTTCGCCGACCAACAATTCAATTCCGCCGTCGCGGAGAAAAAACGTCTTGGAGTAACAATCCAGAAGTATAACATAACATACGACAGTTTATACGAAGCCTTAAACAAAGTGCTAAACGATCAAAGTTACGCTGAAAATGCCAAAACTTATTCGAAAATGCTCAAAGATCAACCGGAAAAACCGACCAACACGTTTTTGAAGTACGTGGAGTACGCTGCTGAGTATCCCGCAGTCAAAGATGTTCTGGATTTACCTTCAACTTCACTCAACTTTTGGGTATTCTACTCTTACGATGTTATTGGATTCTTTGTTGCATTGGCAATAATTGGTGTCATAGTGACTGTGAAATTAGTGAAATTGGGATACAAACTAGTTATCGTGACTAATAATAGTAAAACGACTAAAGTCGAGTGATTGCTTTTATGATTGTATGTATATAGTTGAATAAAATTTTTTTTTTGTGCGAAGTTATAAAAGTTTTTGTAAACTTGTTTTGCGTTTAACTTTTATTGGTAAGCAAATTAGGGACAAGGAAATGAAATACGGGGCAGAACAGCAAAAAGTCAAAGCTAAGTCCAGGGCCATGGCTAGAAATATGACTAGAGCTAACGCTTGAGCTGGGACTGGGACTAGTGCTAAGCGTAAGAACCAGGCTAAGGCTAGGTTTAAGCTCAGATCTAGGGCTAGGGTTAAAGGTAGGACTATGGTTAGGGCTACAGGTATGACTAGCGATAGGGCTAGTGCTCAAACCACAGTTCTGACTTGAGATCAAGCTAAGCTAGGGTTGGATCTAAGGATCGATCTAGGACTAAGACTAAAACTAGCGCTAGGGCTACAGCTGAGGCTAGAGCTCCGGGCTAGGACTCAGAGGTAGGGCATTAGTGCTAGGGCTCTGTTCTAGGGCTCTAGGCTAGGAATCTGAGTTAAGTCTAAGGCTCTGGGTTAGAGTTAGGACTCTGGGCCAAGGCTTCAAACTATAATATAAACAAAGTTATAGACTACAGTTAATGAACTTTCATCACATTTGTTACATCAATTGCCATAAAACACCGTACAACTTGATCGCTCCATTCAACTCGCGCCTCAAAAAACACTCAATAGTTATTGTTTACACCCGACATTACACTCAAGACTACAAAACATAATCGGTAGACATTGGAACGCGAAGTACACACAACTGAAGCTATTTTATAATCAAATGACATAGTTTTGGTTGATAAGAACGGACGAACAAATAAGTTCGACTAGAAATAAGATCTTGTTTTTGTGTTGTTGGGTATCAAAAACAAATTTTTAGTCAATTACATTAGTGTGTGTTAATTAAAAAAAGTATGGTAATTATAGTTTTTTAAATTTTGTGATTGTAAATGTTTAAGTTGACAAAGAATTTACAAAAAAAAAGTTTATTTTTGACGTTTTAGCTTAAAAAACCCACGATTTTTTGTTTTTGCTTATCAACAGACCAGGTTTAACATTTTGCATGTTATCTATACCATTTTTATACAACAAACTTGACTTTTTTTTGAGTTTTAGATAAAAAATTGTAAACGCGCTTTATGATTTATATTTTTAGATCCAATAAATATAAAATGTACATAAAATGCCACTTATTGTTACTATTGAGCACAATATGTTGTACAGTAAGCTTCATCAATTCAAAAAAAATTCTTGTGACTCAAGTTGCCATGGGTAAAAGCCATATGTATTACAGTGGTACATTAGTCGATAAACTTGTTCATAGAGGTCATACTGTGGTAAGCTTTTTCTACTTTATCCTACCTTACCATACCCTACCTTACTTGACCCCTATTTACCCTGGCCTACCTTAAACTGCCCTACATTACCTTACCCTACCCTAACCGGCCCTAATTTACGCCACAATATTTTACTCTAAAATACTCTAAACTACCTTATCCTACTCTACCCTATCACCTACTATACCTTCTACCGTACTGTCAACAAAAAATATAATTTTTTACAGGATATGCTAGTGATGAACTGGAACGACGAAGCCAAGATCCCAGGCAGTAAATTACTGCGTAAAATCTACAACATAGACCACCCGCATTCACCATACGCCGAAGCTACCCATCTACAAGATCCCTTCTTCACTGGACATGCCAATGCTTTTCAAGTTTTTGGCCAATGCCGAATTTTGTTCTGTGAACTACTCATGTCCAACACACAACTAATCAATCAGCTTAAAATTGAAAATTACGACCTAGCTTTAGTAGCACCTTTTGACGGCAGTGGCTTGAGCTTGGCGCACATTTTGGGTATTAATAGTACTGCAATTTATGTCGCCACAAGCAGTTATGATTACATTTATCAAGGACTGGGAATTCCTACTCTTCCTAGTTATATTACAAGTAAGTTCCTTTATTTTTAGAATGTTATGTTAAATATCATATTACAATACCATGTATAGTATCTTAATTTAGGCGTATTCACCCCAATAGCCCCAGGCCGTCGCCTAACCTTCGCCGAGAGAATCGAAAGCTTTCTTCAATTCTACACAAGTTCAACTGAATGGTTTAATGAAGAAGTCCGGAACTCAGAACATCCAATTATCACAAAATACTACCCAGACACCCCACGCTATACACAACTATTCAAAAACGTATCTTATGTCTTTTTGAATATGCCTGAACTTTTAGACATTGGCCGGCCAATTTCGTCCAAGATCAAATTCATTGGCGGTATTCATGTTGAAGACGACTTGAAAAAGGACAAAAAGGCATTGCCTGAGGTAAGAAAGAGGGCTGTAACTATGTTTTACATTAGTTTACAGTACAATATTTCATACCTTATACTGCAACGTAACATTCTAATATCAAAACCCAAAAAACTTTTAAAAAATCCACTTTAAAAAAATTAAAGTTCAATTTAAATTTTAGGAATACGAGCAAATTTTATCCTCACACCCAAAAGGCACTGTCATATTCTCGCTTGGATCTCAAATTATGATGCATACAGTACCAATCCAGATCAGAGACGCTATGATAAAAGCCTTTTCTCATTTCCCAGAATACAGTTTTATCTGGAAACATGACAAACCTGAAGAAATGAGCAATTTGAATGTAACAAATGTGTTCTTCAAGAAATGGCTGCCTCAAAAGGAGCTTTTAGGTAAGAAAAAACTATCCCAACTTCATCATAGAGCCTTATCTTACATTACTTTTATTAACATACTCTACACTTATCTTCCCTACCCTAGTTGTCCCTACCCTACCTTGCCTTGCTCTGTCTTGTCTTGTGTTGCCTTGCCCTGTCCTGCCTTGACCTGTTCTGCCCTACCCTACTTTATCCAAGCTACCTTAATCTGACTTATCGTATTCAATCTTACCTACTGTGTTACCGCACTTTTTACCAAAATTAAATTTCAGAAAAATTATAAAATGATCCTTTTTTCAGCCGACTCCCGAATCCGATGTTTTATAACTCACATGGGACTCAACTCCTACGCTGAGCTTGCTTTCGCCGGCGTTTCTACCATAATGATCCCTCTATTTGCTGATCAAGAATTCAATGCTGGTGTAGCAGAAAGCAAGAACCTTGGAATTACCCTAGACAAGAAGAAGATAACATACGAAACTCTGAAAGAAGCTTTGACTAAAGTTTTGACAGATCCACAATATGATACAACTGCCAAGATGTACGCAAAAATGCTGCGAACTCAACCATTTTCACCTAGTGAAACCTTTGTGAAATACGTGGAATATGCTATTGAGAACCCTAGAATAAGTGATGTGATACAGCTAAAATCGGCTTATATGGGCTGGTCTGAGATGTATTCATATGATGTGTTGGGGTTGTATGCTGCAACAGCTGTTCTAGGTATTATTGTAATTTCGCTGGTGGTGAGGAAAGTTTTAATAGCTGTAAAAAATATTGTTGTAAAGGAGAAACGTAAAAATGAATAAATACATAAACTGTAGGATATATTTGTCAAAAAGATCCATTTCTACCTTAGTAGGATAAAAAAAGTGAAAATCTTAAACTTTGGCCTCCGCTCAGACTGTTCCAAAAAATTGATCAAAGTACTCGACCCAAATAAAACTTAACAATATAAAAATGTAAAATAGACCTATTTTTACATAAACAATGTAAAATGATATCCATACAACCTAACATTAGTCAAAAACTTTATTAAAATCAACAATAACAATAAAAAATCAACAACAACATAATTTTAACCAGTAAACCATATGCTTTCATCAAATAACAATGAAAACTTGATTTAATTTTAAAAACGTCAAAATACTTAAAAATATTTTAATTTTCATGAATTAAAAATCAAAGTTTTCAAAGTTAAAACAATAAGTTTCCAAAAATAAGCCAACAATTCTAATCGCACACCAAATCTTTAGTGGCTTCCAGAGTTTTCAACCCAAATTTTGGATTCAACGAGCAATTATCCGTCTTCAGTTTAGTCAAGATTGATTCGGCAACGTTTTCAGCGACAATTTTAACTCTCTGTTCTGGTCGATTGCCATGAATAAACTTTGATCGGTCGGCTATGCGAATATACCAATGTTGATGAATCGATTTTAGCTCCCATAACGAGGACTCGACTGCTTTTGAGTCGACAATTGATGCTTCTGGATCATATGGGTCTGATGGTAGTGTAGCTAAAAGAATTTTAAGTAACAACTTTAAAATATAGGTTACAAAATGTTATTTTTGTCAACGCTATTATCATAGGCTCTTTCTTACCTGGTTCCTTTCTATTAGCCAGCATTTCGAAAACAGCTGGATGTGTGTAGCAAATATTCCTCAACACGTTCAACAACATTAGCTGTTGTTGCGCCGGAGCTAACAACAATAATCTGGCCAATTTCTTTGCGAATGCGGCTAAAGTATATTGAGGTATGTATGGCGAGCTCAACGCACTGTCCACAAGCTCCAGAAGCTTTTGTGACTGATTTGAATAGACCGTAGTTGGCTTCAGAAGCTTGTAGACCTCTTCGTATAAGTTGTCCACTGCGCTGCAAAGGTATCATTAAAATAAATAGCTTTCCTTCGAGATCTACAACACTATGGCAAAACTCAAAAAAAAAATAAAGACTTGACTTGATGAAATATCTAAAATTACAATATCAATATCAAAGACATACAAGTTTTTCTCCAAAACCAAATATAACAATCCTTTGAAAGCCGGTACAGCAGCTAAACCTCCAGATTTCAGCGCCTTAAGCAACAAATCAGCAAACAGTTCCGGATTGTCAACATTTCGTATTTCGTTGTCCACAAAATTAGCTACAAACTTGTGAAACGTTGACGTGTATTCCTAAATATCAAAAAATATAGAATTTAAAACGTACCTTTCACCTAAACTATTGATATAAAAATTGAACCTACCATTTCAGTAAATTTAACAAATAAATCGTTAAAAGCCTTTTGTTTTACATCGCTTTTCTTTGTAATGGTAGTCGACATGATGAAGAAAGTATTTTAAAATGTAAAAGTTATCAAGTAAAATAATTTTACAAAGAAAAATAAATAAAATTGGGAAATAAACGAAGTGTACCGGTTTTATCGAAAAAACAGACGAAGTGTCAGAAAAGTATATAACACTTGCAGTATGCGCTAAATTGGGCGCGAGTTGAGAAGAAAGGAATGGATTTTTCTCGCGACATTTCTTTATTGCTCGGATCTTGAGTTTATAATGTTATTATTGTTTGTTTTATGGTAAAAATGACTTATTGAGTTACTTTTGAAACAACTTTAAAGATTTGGAATGTTTCATTTCAGAAGTCATGAATGGGATAAGAATATTCCTTCGAACGTCGACTGTGCCTCGGTTTCTTCCCGCATCGGTAACATCAACTGGTCAAATAAGACTGAAATCAACTGATGGCAATGACAAAGACCTTGGAAAGGATCTTGGTATTGATGTTAATGAACTATCTAAGAAATTGGACGAAACGATGGGGAAGCCGGTCGATCAACAACCTGGTTATACTCCTCCGAGCAGCGATTACATGAGTTTTAGAAAGAAAAAAGAGGTAAGAGTTACTATTATTGTTTTTTATATTTAGGAAGAATTGAAGAAGCTTTTTGATGCATATAAGGAATGTATTCAATGTTGTTTTACGTATAAAAAATAAAAATTGAAATTTTAAGTATAAATTTTATAGGAATCTGCGCACGAAAGAAGTTACATTTTTGGTTGGAAATCAGCGGCTTTTACGTTAGGAATGGCGGGAATAACATGTACGATTCTGTTATATTTTAGAAAAATTGTAAGTTTACCTTTGTTTACACTTTTATAGGTTCTTATATTCTTTTAGCTTAAAAAATGATACCTACATAGTTCATCACGGTTTTTAAAAAAAAACTAAGTCTTAAGAAGGTCCGTAAAAGCAATATTGTTATTTTTCTAATATTTTGTTATATTTTAAAAACCATATCTCAAATTTTCAGAAACTGGACGAAGAAGAGAAACGAAAAAAGCAATTGGCAGGTAAAGCTCGAATTGGCGGAGAATGGGAGTTGGTAAATCAAGATGGGAAACGTGAAGGCTCAAAGGAACTGATTGGCAATTGGATACTGATGTATTTTGGCTTTACAAATTGTCCGGATATTTGTCCCGATGAAATTGAAAAAATGGTGGATATAGTGGACATGTTGGATCGGGAAAAAGACCCAGTTCCAGTGGTTCCTGTCTTTATTACGTAGGTTTTCGTGATTTGTGAAAAAGTTTCAAATTACCATTTTCAGTGTTGACCCCTTAAGAGATTCAGTAGATCGTGTCAAGAAGTATTGTGCCGAGTTCTCACCTAAAATCAGAGGATACACAGGATCAAAGGAAGAAATTGAAAAAGTCCTCAAGACTTTCAGAATATACCATTCTCAAGGACCGTCGGACAAACGAGCACCTGATGACTACATTGTGGACCACACTGTAATTATGTACTTGATTGATCCAGAAGGGAACTTTTTCGATTACTATGGGCAGAATCGACGTGCTAGTGAGATTGCTAATGTCATACGGACAAAAGTGTTACAGTATGAGAGGAAAAAGAAGGTTGGTTGGTTTTAAGGCTAAAATATGGCTTTAAAGCTTGACTTTGGAGGTTTGATTAGGTACAAGGTACAAGTTGTTATTGCTAAGCAGTTTTGATTGTTTAAAGTTATTGTTAAGCAATTAAAACAGCGTTTTAGGCTCAATAATGATCATGATATATGCATCATGATGTTTTTTGATTTGTTAGGATAATTATTTGGAATATTTTTAAATGGTTTGTTGTTTTCTTTGTTGTTTTTGAATAAAATATTATATCTGAAGGCTTTTTATCAATTAGCTGTGTACCCTCGTTGAAATACGATGAAATATCTATCACCATAGTTGAAATACGACTTTTTTTAAAATTATTTGAAAATTTTATGATTGTTCTAAACAGATTTTTTTATTTTATAATTATTCTGAACTGTTTTTAAACGTTAAACTCGAGTTTTAGAGTAAAACCGATCTGCTGGTATGTCAGCAGTACCACAGCGATCTCACCAAGCCGATGCTGGTCAAGCACAACGCCCAGTGAACGAGTTTAAGGTCGTCATACCAGAGTAGGTGTAATTTTGGCATTTTTTGATAGAATTAATGAGAATTTCGTTTTTTTAAAGGTTTTATTGAAAATCTGTAAGTTGAACTAAAATACTTTGTAAATGGAGTGTATAACTAGATTATTAGTTGTAAAAGTAAAATTAGCCTATTTTAGAAACAAAGATGCGATTCGATATTCAATTCTGCAATTCAACGGACCTTTGAACATTGACCCATCGAGATGGACGACTTGTGATCTGAAAATGTTCCGGGAAGACAACCGTGCTCATGTAAGATCTTTCGCTTTTACTTTTGGGTTCATCAAGGCTTAAACTAATTATATAAGCTTATAAACATCTATTTTCAGGCCGTTGGCACAACAGCGATTGTCCAAGACTATGGTGAAGGTTCGGAATACGGTCGAGCAGCTCGAGAAGAAGCAAGAAGGAAAAAATATGGTCGGCAGTCTAAAAAATACCAACATGATCGACAACCATGGAGGATGGTCCTCAAGGACCCCACCAAAGAACCACAAGAACGAGTGTTCAGGTCGGTCTGTGAAGGCGGTGCTGGTGAACATTCTGATTATTGGATCTTCTCTAAGGTAGGTTTTGGGGGACTTCAGAAGGTTTTTGCCAGGCTTTTGGGTAGTAGACTAGAGTTTGAAGGTTGTTTTTGGACAAAAATTTTAACTTATTACCTAAATTTTGATAAAAATTTAAAATTAGGGGTTTTTGGGCTAAAATAAGGAAGTTTTAAGCTAAAATCAGACATTTCATCAGAGTAAAATATGTCATTTTTATCTAAAATTATAAAAACAATCGTTTTCAGTCCGGTGACTCATTCCAAGCTCATAAAGTCGATGATTGGTACCGATTCATGCCTACAGCACGCCACAAAACCTTGGATATTGATCAAGCTGAAGAACAGTTCCAGCTGAGAAACAAAGTTTTAAATCAGTTCGCTTTGAAAGCCAAAATTCAACAGACATTGAAGGATGCGGAAGAAGATAATGGCCTTGTTACAAAGCCTACTGCTTTGGTAGGTTGGGTGAAATAGGGAAAAGGCTGGGGAAGATCGGGGCATATAGAGAATAAGCTCTCGAGGTTGAGGTAATCATTAAATAGAGAAAATACTGGAAAACACAAATTTTAAAAAATTATGCGATATTTACCATGCCATTTATAGAAAATCAAGGACGACTTCTCCGATTCAGATGAAGAAGGTGGTCATGCCGAGAAAGACGAAAGCAAAGGAATCCTGGATGCCGATGCCGCGCTAGAGAAGAATCCGAAAAAGAAGAAGGGAAAACAAAAGGACAAACGGCAGAGAGTGGAGAACGCTGAAGAAGTGGCACGATACGAATCAGAGGACGGCGAGGACGAAGGCCGTGAATACGATTACATGAGCGATTCTGGATCTGATACTAGGTGGGTTGGTGTTTTGTAGTTTTTTACGGTTTTTGCTAGGGAAGGGGGTTAATACTATTTTATGACTTTTGGGGGTGGTAAATATTAAGCATAATTTTTTGGACAAAATTTTAAAATATAATCATGAAAAATTGTGATTGCGCGACAGATATTGTAGTAGAACTAGCGAGAAGGAGGCCGAAGCATATTTGAAAGTTTTTTTTCGGACCGGGCCGAAAAATCAGGCTTGGCCCCTTTACTGTTCTAAATAGAATAAAACTTTATTATAGTGATAAGTATGTATATCAGTAAGTTTATGAAGAATAATAAGGTAGAGATTGATATCTAATCTTCAATTTGAAGAAAGTTTAAGCCAATAACTTATTTTTGAGCTTTTGAGTTATTACAAGACCTAATAGGGTAGGATAATATATAAAAAGGCTTTAAAATAAAAGAAAAATGACAATATTTTACTGAATGTACAGTTTACAAACAATAATATATCAAATTATTAAACTTGCAAGAATATATTGACAATATTACTAAGAAAACGTTAGTTATCACCTCAATAAACGTTATACAATATCACCACAAGAGTTTATAAAGTGAAAAACTAAGAGAAACAAACTAAAAACAAGTACAATGTAAGAAAGATCAAGTCAGTGTACAGTTAGGAAATGCACCACTGAAGAAATGTACAAAAATCAGTGAAAAATATCCAGAAATCAGTCAAAAACCAGTAAGGACCTTTTGGCCACTAAAAAAGTACGGCCGGGGAACATTTCAACGTCCAACAAGAACACTTTTGACCGTTGCCTCGGGCATCGTACTCGTACTGATGTTGTGAAGTTGGTCGAAAGTAGCGCGTAACGGTAGTGACAATAGTTTTTGAGCAATCAGTAAAGCCGAACGAGATCTGAAAAAGTGGAAAATGTGAAAACGGCAAAGAAGTGTTAGTGAAAGTGTTATATTATTTTTTTAGTGAACTTATGGATTTTCTTTCAAATATTTTTGAAATTTTAAAATACGGCTTCGCATAATGAGCAAAATTTAAAAATCTGGTCAAAAGTTTTTATATAAAACATAATTTTTGGCATTAGTGAATGCTAAGTAAAGTTTAAAGAGCATTGTGTTAGTTCCAGTGTTATTAGTAAAAGTCTTTTTCAACATTAAGGTAAAGAAATTTTGTCAAAATATGACATTTCTCTCAAATCAAATCAGGCTGAATCTATCAACTCAAGCTGAATATTTCAAATCAGAGTGAATATCTCAAAACAGACTCAAAACGACGATTTTTTCTATTCAATCAGTAACTGTTTATTCTAACTAAATCAAACGTAACAAGATATGGGACGGTGAGCGAACAGAATTGAGCCGTGCTAATTTTGTCTAACGTTTAGAATCGTGGCGGAATTTTGGTTGAATGACGTCTAAATTATAGGTTATGTTAGACTAGAAGCTGATTAGTAAATAAATCATAAACAGTTTTGTAAAAGCTTGTTAGTTATGATGAGCTATGTATAATAGTACTGAAAAGTACTGGATTTGTGATGGTTATTAAACCTTGCCTAGTTTTTTCAAGTTAAATTTAGTTTTTTGAACTCAAAGTTAGTTGATCTATAGTTAACGACTCTTAGTTTATCTATGGTTACTGACCCCTAGTTTGGTCTAAAAGACTTAAAAGTTATCTTATCTGCGACATAGCTGTCTAGAGTTTAACTAGTTAACGATTTTGGCCATCAACTACTATTTGATGACCAAAAACGTATCGGCTGTTATCGCTAGACATTTGTTGTTTCAACTAAATCAACAAAAGCATGTTAGACCTATTTTTAAGCTGGGATACAATGAGATAACTAATGGTTTGGCTAGCTTTAGGTCACCATTTGGCTACATAAATATTTTTTTGCTAAAAATTAGATTAGAAAGCCTAATTTAACTTGAAGCTGATAAAGCAAGATATTTTTACAGTATTAAAACAAGGTTTTTGAGCCTAGTATTCTATGTACAATAACCCTAAGAGACATCAAAATCTCACTCTTTGTCGCGCAGGTTGGAACGGTCGGATAAGTGAGTCGAATCGCCGACCAAATGCGGTTTGAACACGTATTTCCCTGTCATGACCATCCAATCCCGGGCAACTTTGTCTATTTCCTCCTCGTTTTCGCGGTTATCCGTGGGATTGTCGGTGTGCTCGTGAATTCGATACTTTGAGATCGTACATTGGCCAACGTAAATATATTTGCCTGAAAGCGCAACGTGACATGCGCCAATCGGCGAACCATGCGAGACTACTAGAATGTTGCCTGAAAAGAGTGATGATAAATTTTTGGGCTTATTTTGAAAAGTTATAGTAGCTAGAGGTGAATTGGCATATTTTTATGATGAGGAAGTTAATAGAAAATTAAAATGGCACTATTTTTTAGCATAGAACGCTCAGTAAACACTTGGATTTATCTACTATAACATAAAGCAAAAATTTACTTTTTTGAAAATTTGAAGTCAATGTCAAATAAAAAAGGTCTTTAAAGCCTTCTGGACACCTTTTTAGTAAAAAAGATATTCAAGCTTAGTATTGGCATAATAAAGCTAGCCTTACCACCGTAGTTGTTCAGCACGCGTTCTAGTGTTTGTGAGATCCGTTTTTGGCAGCAAGTTGAAGTAGTTTCTACATAATGTTTAGTGTGGAATGGTTTGTAGCTGAGGTCGATTCTAGGGAATTGTTGTCTAAAACATGGGAAATATAAATTTTTAGTTTAGCCATTCAAAAAAATGCTTTTTATTGTAGTCTAGACGTGTTGAGAAGAAATATCGCGCTTTTGGCTTGGTATTACGATTTTTTTAAGTCTAAGCCTTACTAAATGCACTTTTTACGGAATAAAATAGATAAACCACGGCTAAACAGGCAAAAAATTGATCAACAACACCCTAAAAAACCTTACTTAAGTTCCTCGGGCGTCAAATATCCAGGAACAGGTTGACAAACATGTAGCGATTCCGAAAATCCAGGCTCCAACCACATTACTGGATGTCCTCCATTTTTGTAAGCATCAGGACTCGCCTTTTCGATGGCATCCAAAATGCCGTTGGCAGTTTGTACAGTACGAATGAAAGGCGAAACAAAAACATGATCAATGCGTTCACTTTGTTTGGCTAGTTGAACTCCCACTTCTTGAGCTTGTTTGTGGCCACGGTCACTAAAATTTTAAAAATTAGGTCTGCGAAAGAGGGTTTGAGTGTGGGCAAGGTAAAATACGTGTTTAATCGGCATGATAAGTGTGTGAAGGGAAGAAAAATTAAGTTCGAAACCAAAAAATGTTAAATTTTAAAATTTTTTCTTCACAAGAAGAACTTTTCGGCGCATACCTTAACGTAGGGTCGTCCCAAGCCCCTCGAGGCGCGTTCTTTTTCCAATTCGGGTCCACATTGTCCACGCGTTCGCCGTGCCTCACAATCCAAATCGATCTCAGTCCACCGGTCATTGGAGTCAGTGGTTTATAAAATAACGTAAAATTTATATTTTTGGTGTGTAAAGTTGGGACCTGATAAGACCTGGAAAATGTGGGGTTAGATTCATCTGGTATGATGATAAAGCACGCGGTGGGGAAACTCTTTGTCTTTGATTATAGAACATGATATGGCTTGATATTATAGTGGACTTGGTACGATACGTGATTGTGAAGCATGGCGAAGAAAGGAAATGGTATAAAATGGAATTTTAAAGTATTAGGAAATGGTATAAAATGTGATTTTAAAATATGTGAATGAAGAGATATTATAGACAATACATATTTAAAGTAGGAACTTGAAAAAGGCGCTATTCAGGATGAACTGATGGCAAGAGAGTGAGCAAGTAAAAAATGTAAATGAGCTTATGTTGAAGTAGATTGTGGTATGAATTGCGAAGCTAAAGACGCGGAATATCATAGGATATTATCAAAAGAAAACGTAAAGCTCTGATATGAAACATAATTTTGATAAAAGATAAAAATTTAAAGCCAGTTATCAATAATGATTTAAATCCAAATATCAATAAAAATCCAAAGCTATCAATAAAAATCTAAAGCGAGCTAATCCAAACAAGATTACAAGCTAAAGAAGACAGATTAAGAAGAGGTCTCTTTGAAATGTAATAAAAGGCAATACGAACGCTTGCTTTAATACGCATTATGTTTACAAAATGAGCAAAAAACGTTTTGAAAGTACACCATTTCCGATCAGTACGCATCGACACTCAGTAAAGGTAACAAAAGGTGGTGATAGTAGTAATAATGAAGTCTCGAACTTGATGTAAATTAACATATCAAGTACAAAAACAACAAAATATGAAGTAGAGAGGTCAAAACACACAAGTATATGTGGGCGGTTTTTGAATTTTAATGTTAAAACTGTTGAAAGTTAACAAGAAGATAAAAATTGAAAAAAACGTTGGCGGTACTATACAAGCAATATAAAAGGCATGGTAAAATACTTGGATCATATTTCCTCTTGTAAAATACGATGGCTTCAGCTTCTAAACGTAATAAAAATTGGGATAAACTAATAGATTCAAAAGCGTTAAATTTTAAGAAATTCCCGTGTTTAAACGAAATGACAGACCGTACAAAATGAATCTGCAGCCAAAGTGTATTTGTCTACTTTCTGTGAATATCACTAATTGTGTTGTAATAATAACAAAAAACTAAAAAATAGGAAACAAAGTTTGCGGTTTGAAAGGTTTCATAAGATTTCGAAATGAAACTTGTTTTACAGTTTTTATGATTTCACAGTAAAATTGTGGACCACCTGTAAAACGAACTCCTCTATAACAAAAATCACGTGTAACGAATCAATTTTGAATCTCTGGCTAACACTAAACAATAAATCTATACCTCTTCTATACTGAAGGCTCTTTACAGCAAACAATTATAAAATCCTCAAACGATTCTTTATACAGGAGTTCCACTGTATTTGAAGAACCAAAAACATTAAAAATCATACCATGCGCAGGTTTGCACCTGTTGTTGTTATATCATCTTTATAAAGATGTGCGGTGGGATTAAAAATACTCAAAAATCAGCCTTTGTCAAACAAACAATGTCAAGCAGCTAAATGAAACAATTGTCGAAAAAAGATTGTTTTGAACAAATAAAACGCAAATAGATAAAAATTTTCGAAAAATATAAAAGCCGATTTTTGAAAATTTAAAGTACAGCAGAACTCCTGCATAACAGACACCGCTATAGCATAAATCCCGTATAACGAACAATTTCAAATCAATATATCACACAGTGCATTTCAAACTCGTCTATAACGAACAAATTGAAAATCTCCGAACTTTATACAGAATTTCCACTGTATGATTTTTGAATGAAAGAATATAAGTTGGACAAGAAAGCCACTCTTATTTTAATAAATGATAAGGAACTGTCTAGTAGTTTGTACACTGTAAACAAAGTTTAAGAGCAACGAAAATTGTAGTAATTAGTGGGTGTACATAATGTGTTTGTCTATGGGATTTGTAAAGAGTAAGAGTTTGACGTTTTATCCCGGGAAAAGGAAGTACGCCCTTTCATTTTTTTCAAGATTTAGGAACACATGTCAACGTGAAAAAAAGGTCAAGCATATAATAACAAAATATTGACAAAGATATTGAGGTAAAGATAAAAATAGTGAGGAGATTTGAGCTGATGGCTGTTATAAAAAATTCGATTTTTGTTATCAATTTCAATTTAAAAAATAGAGCTTATGAAAAAAAGGCATTGGAACGCCTATATAACTTTCTTTGGATTTAAAGTTTTTTTGGTTATAAAAGTGTCAGCCCAGTGAAGTTTTAAAAATACAATATGTAGTGTTAGATAGAAACTAAAAATTTGTTTGTTATACGGAAAGTTTGTTATAGAGGAGTCCTCTATACAGAGTTTCAACTGTAATAAAACTATAGTGAGTTAAGGAGAAAAAATAAATTTTAAGTAAAAAGGAATCTTGTAAAATCTAACTTATAATCAACCAAAAGTTATTAGTAAATGCACGCATAAGTCACAAGACTGTTCAAAAATAATTAAAAATCAAAAATTACAGTAAAATATTGCTCTATAAGTTGTTTTAAAGTTCAAAATCAAAAACCTAAAATTTTACTAAATTGTTTTTGCAAATTATCTACTACGTCAGTTATTTTACTGTGTCGTACTTACAATTAATAGCTTATAAACTCTTCCATTGATTATCTTCAACGTAAAATTTCACTTTGAGATTTACGGCTTATTATCTTTTTACGTTGCTATAAATTACAGAAGGCCTTGGTTACTTTTGATAATAAACACATGAGTCATATTGTTTATTACTTACACCACAGTGTGTTCCATGAAAAATAACAACAAGACAAAGGTGTATTTTTGTTATTTTTTCTTGGAATACTGCGTGGTTTAATTAATAACCAGTATTGTTTATGTTTTTATTGTCAAAAACGACGACCACATTTTGTAATTTGTCAAAAATAAAAAGATAATGACCTGTAGAATGCAATTTTGGCAGTTTTTATAATGAAGGTAAATAAAAATGTAAAGGCATTGAATGGTAATTATGACACACCTTTAAAATACCTTTGACGTAGCAAGTAATTGAAACAAAAAGATGTGATACTGCGTAGTAATCATTTTTTTTGCAGCGCTGGGTAAAAACAAACAGAAAAACGACTTTATAAGTTAGTACTTACATACAGGGACATAGGGGAAAAAATCGTAAAAGGGTCTATCAAAACAAGATTGTTTCAACAAGTATTAAAGAAGTAAACCTACTGACACAACAACAATAATACTCTGTAACCCCAACCGACCAAAAGCTCGATTTCAAGCGATTAGATTTAAAACTGTGAACACGCCAGACTTTTTGTCTGCTCTTTCGAACTACGCACGAAGATAATAAACGTAGAGAAAAAGAGATTGTGGCAAGAGACTGGGCAAAAACCCGTTGGCCTCGCGTACTTTGTGCGATTTAAGAAAACGGTTTTGATATGACGAAGGACGGGCGGAATTTGAATTTTTAGTGTCCAGGGAATTTTTAATGGGATTCAGTGGCAGGGTTTGGGAAAAGGTTAAAATTTAAAACAAATACTTTTTTTCTTTTAAAGGACTTAATTTTTATGAAAAAGTTAAAAAGGACTTTAAATTCCAAAAAATATTGAAAGCGAGGGTAATAGCGAACTGACATATATGACAAAATAAGTGGGTTTATGTGAAAAATTTCTTTGAAAGACTATAAAAGTGCATTTGAAGCGGCGTTTTAAAGTGCAAAACGACAGTTTTTTGAACTGGCTTTAAAAAATTCGAAAACCATAGCTATAGCTTGCTCAAGAAAAGCGACTATCTTACCCAATTTTAATCTACCCTTCTTTACCCTTCCTTACTCTTCTCTTCATTGCCGTACAGTACTCAATTCTATCCTACTCTACCTACTTAGGTCGACCTCAAGCTATTATTGAAGTAATGTTTCCAAAACGAGATAATGAACAATTTTAAAAACTGAAAAATAAAAAAAACCTTTGCACTGGTGCACTTAAAACCTATGGCAATACGTGAAAACCGAAACAATACGCATAAACTGAAAATAATATATAAAACAAACTCGATTTGGCTTACAGAGGTAATCAAAAACACTTTGAGTGCGCAGTAAACGAGTTATAACTTCAAAAAATGAGTTAATAATAATAAAAAAGTTATCATGGAGGTTCAGAAAAGGTCAATGGAACCGACGATGATCTTTGAATGGGTTTTGAAAATATCAATCAAAGTTAGAAGCTTTAAGAGGTACAATTTGCGGGTGCCAGGACAAAATGTTTAAAATTTTGAAAAAATTAAGGGTGGCTAGTAAAATAGGCTTAAAATTTGAATAAGAAGGGTTTGTAGGTAGACATGAGATACGGGCCGGGTCCAATTTTTTTAACGTGGAAACGGGCCGGGCCCGGCCCGATCGAAATTTTGCTGAAGGTCGGTTCGGCCCGTTTCTCATGTCTACTTGTAGGGTGTCTACTTCCAATATAAGATAGTTGAAGGTATTAAAGTAAAAATTAATAACAAAAAAATCAAAATCCAACTAATAAATTCAGCTAAACCACCTTCTGCCTTTCAATATAGCCTAAAATGACTTTATGACTAAACTTTTCAACAACAAACTGAAGAAATCTTGTCGTTTAATCGACGATTTATCAAAATGATGTATTGAGAAAGTCGAAAACGTATCACTTTTCAAAATGTGCGGGATATTTTAAAAACTGTTTTGAAATATACAGGCTAAATATAGAAGATTTATTAGGTCGTTGAAACAAAAAAAACTAGTTTACATGTTTTTGATGATAAATAAGTTTACAAGAATCCTATTGCTATAAGTGTAGTTTTAAAATTTGAAGACAGTACTTAATTTTGTGTCTTCTGTAACTAATTAGCAAGTTTTCAGTAGAGAAGAAGTGAATCTTGATGAGAAAATGGACAAAGAAATGGTGGCCGTTGGAGATGAGACCGGCATGAGAGACTCGTCTGAAGACGAAGATGAAGAAGAAAAGGATGAAGAAAAGGAAGAAGCAAAGAAACAGTTGAGTAAGTGAACGTTTGTTAAGTTTTTGTTATTTTATATTATTGTATGGTAGGGTAGAGAAAGATATGGTAGGATAGTATAGGAACTTAGGATATGAAAGGGTAGGGTAGAATAACATGGATTAGGATAGGTTATAGTAAAGTAAGGTAGGGTATGGTAGAAAAACATAGCGGAGGTTAGGGTAAGATAGGGCAGAACAAAAAAGCTTAGGGTAGGGTGGGGTAGAATAAAATAGGTTATGGTATGGTAAGGTAGGATAATCTAAGCTAGTATATAGTGATTAAGACTTGATTCAAATTGACTCTTTTACAGTGAAAAAGCTAAAAGAACAAGATGAAAACAAGGAAGATGATAATACAGTAAGAATGGTTGATCAAGTCGATGAACGAGATTCTTCTGGCTCGGACTCGGATGATCCAGACAATCCAGGAGGCAAAACTTCAGTTTTGTTTATGCAGGTGAATTTGTTTTTTGTTTTAGTGCACGTATTTTACACACGCATTTAAATGCGAAAGAGTTGTTGTACTTTAGAATTACAATATTGAAAAAAATAATACCATTTTTAAAAAGTATTGGAGGTTTTTGATATTTTTCTTAAGTTAATAAACGAAAAGTTGATTTTTAAAGTAGCGTAAGGTAAACTTTAAAAGATATTAAATCATTCTTCTGGATTTTCAGGTCAAAATAATTATGTAATTTTTAGAAAAAGCGTAAAAGAACGGCCGAAGACACCGAAAAACCAAATGGATCAGAGAAAAAGCCAAAATTGGATATCAAGTATAGGATTTTTTAAAATTTCAGTTAAAATTTCAAAAAATACTATCATTTTACACTTTATTTTACCTTTTTTTAATTTTATACCTAATTTCAACCTTTTCTTTCCTCAGTTTGATACCTCATTTTATACATAATTTCATACCTCTTTTCCCTATCCGCAATACCTTTTTACTGTCACTGTGCGCAAATAAAAATCAGAAACGCCCGCACTTTTATTATCCGAAAATGTGAATTTTTATGTCCGCAAACTTGAAATTGTAATAAATTTAATAAAAACGTGCTGTTACGATACAGTATGGACAATATAGTAGTATAATACTAAGTAGTGTGGAGGAAAAAATATAAAATATTTTATGAGTACTGGTACTGTTTCAGCACTTTGAAAAAACTATTGTATAGTACTGGGTTAAACAGTATTAATGCCCGTTTAGTACCACCTTATGACATTTCAATTCAATACGCGACGGTTGAGTATCACTGTAGGAACATATTGATTTTTTACAAATTTTATAAACTTCCGGACTGTGAGAAATTTTTTTTTCTTTTTTAATTTTTGCAAGTAAAATAAAAAAAAAGTGAGTATTGGTTTTAAAACGGTACCAGTACTTCCGAATTATCATACATATTACGCCATTTTATGCGAATAGATAGCTGGGTACTACTTTACGCCTAAATTGACTTTTTTTTCGATTCTAACACAGTACCAACACTGCTAGTCTACCATATCATGAAATTTTATAACGATAAAGAAGTTACGTACCAGTTTCCTATATGGTACTATTAATATGTAAATCTGTTTGTTTATACTATCAGTTAGTATTATGTAGTACTAGTAAGCTAATAATATGTCATAGCAGCACGTTTTTCAATTATTAGTTCATTGGTATAGCATTACCAATATGCAAAATGTTTTCGTTTTAGTGTTATTTAGTACTACTTAATGTAGCACTATCAACACGAAATTTTTTTCTCCGTACTACTAGTTAGTACTATATAGCACTCTATTTTTCATACAGTATTGTAACGGCACGTTTTTACTAAATTTATTACAATTTCAAGTTTGCCGACATAAAAATTTAGATTTGCGGTCAATAAAAGTGCGGGCGTTTTTAATTTTTATTTGCGGCCATTGAGAAGTATAGTTGCGAACATTGTAAAGCAGGTCTACAAACAACAAAATACAGTATCTAATCTTAATCTTATTTCAGAGAAGAAAAGCCAGCAGTATCAGAAAAGAAACCCCCAACTCCACCACCACCACCGCCGGCTCCCTCCATCTCCGGTCCACCGGTCGATAAATTGGACGAAGAGACGGTGAGACGCCTTTTACTCCGAAAACCACACACAACAAAGGAGTTGTTGAATAAGATACGACCACATTGTGGAGACATGTCCAAGACCGACATTGTGGCACGATTGGCCGACATTCTCCGCAAGATCGAACCACATCAGTTTAGACAACAGGTCAACCGGAAGGATGTCCTCTTCTTTTCATTGAAACCACCACAGTAATGTAATGTGGAGATTGATTTGAGAAAGTTTTAGTAAGATGTGGCTATTGAGAATGTTGTAGCAAAGTATTGATGTTGTGTATGTTAGAGTATGGGATTGGTGTTGATAATCTTATAATAAGATATTGATGTGGAGAATGTTGTAGTAAGATATAGATGTCGAGAGTATGAACTGTAATATTTGTTCTTGTCTCTGCTAATGTTGAGGATGTGGTTTTAAGGAAAATTTTGATATAGTGAAAAGGGACGAAAAAAGGTGGATGTTGAGGATGTTTTTATAATTAATATGAAGATGTTCTGATAAGGAATTTGCCAGTGCCGGGCGGGGACTTTTGGTCTGGGGGCTGGGGCGAAAAATTTTTTTCAAAAATTCACAGCGGGGATCACGTTCAAGTTTTTTCGAAAATTTTTTTCTGGGGTGGGGGGGGTCCCCCCCCCCTCCGTCCACCTTTGGGAGTGGTGGAATCTATTTTTGTCTTATCCTTTCTTTTTTTTGCCACTTCCTTGACTAGCATTAATATTAATGGAATTGTTAAAACAAAGTACAATTGTAAAATGCTTTTTACTGTTATTTTTATAGTTGATATAGTGAAATGAAGAGAACTTATCTTAATCTTAATGTGTATAATATTTCTAATTTTATGTTTTTTATGGGAATAAAGTTTTTTAATGTTATTGGAAGCAATATATTTTCACTATGATGTTTTATAGCTTGATATTGGCTAAAAAATTACTTATTTTTATTGTTTTATTGATGCTGTGTCTATTAAGCGTAAAGAACGTATTTTAGAAGATTGTTAAAGTAAACAACAAGAAGCTCTAAATTTTTTTTGCGTTTGCTAAAATTAAAGTAGTCTTTTTTATTTACCGTTTTTGGGATAGAAATAGGCTTTTTTGGGACTAGATTAAGTTTTTCTTTAAGAAATTGTAGGCTTGGGTTTTATTATATATACAGTTTAACTTCCGTATACCCAATTGCTATTGGGTTAAAAATTAGTTTGTTATGACGGAGTTTGGTATAGAAGTTTGACTGTAAATATTTAGAGCTTTCGGGACTAATAGGATGTTTTTTGATGTTTGTATAATATGTACTTTCAGTCTGTTTATTTATACTTTACTTTAAACTTAGACTTACTCCTTAACCTACATTATATCCGATTCTACTTTATCGTTATTTATTTTATTCTATCTTACTTTTTCTTACGTTACCATATCCTACTTTGCCTTACTTTACCCTACTGTACCCTACCCTACTTTATCCCACCATAGTCTACCCTACTTTACCTTACCCCACTCTATCATATTCTACCCTACCCTAATTTACCTCATCCTACTCTACCCTATTTTGTCTTACCGACCAAATTGTAAAAAGTATTTTACTACTAATCACATTCTATAAAAAGTATATTTCTCTTTACAACGTAATGTTCTTATCATAATATATTTTTAAATCTGATGAAAATTGTTGGAGAGCTGCGACTCCACCAGACTCATATGCCTCATTTCGCGCAGCACTTTGCCAACCGGCGCCGAAAACGAGTGACGTTGGGCATTCTCAAGAGTGGAAATCCATCTGTTAAGCACATCCTCCTCCTCCTGATTATTGTTGACAGCGTTGGCGTGGTTCTCGCGGACACGCCGCTCGTCGATCAACTGAAACTTTCGCGGAATTAGCGTTGGGTGGGCTTAAATTTGATAAAGAATAGTAAAGTTTTGGGTTTGAAAGTAGTGAAAGAGTAATTTAATTAGAAGTTATAGCATATTATGTATATAACAAAAAATAAATTTTATCTACTTTACACTACCTTATAAGGCCTTACCAATACCCTGTCCTCTATGCTCTAACAAGTTAGTAAGAAAGCATGAAAAAAGCTTTGTTGCCCTTAAACTTTAAGTTTTAAAAATCGATGACAAGACTTTTTAATTTTTGTTAAGGGCTTGGTAGGACAAAGTATATAAAGGTAAGGCTTGGTAGAGTAGTGAAGGGTATGACTTTTGCAAGGTTTAGAAAGTTAAGGTATTGTAGGGCAGTGTAGTAGAGAAGAGTATGGTAGGGTAGGGTAGGGTAGGGTAAGGTAAGGTAGGGTAGGGTAGGGTAGGGTAGGGTAGGGTAGGGTAGGGTAGGGTAGGGTAGGGTAGGGTAGGGTAGGGTAAGGTAGGGTAAGGTAGATCTTTCTCGCTTTGTGCTATTAGGGCAAGGCAAAGCAAGGCAGAGTAGAATAGGGTAGGGTAGAGTAAGGTAAAATACTTCAAACTCACCTCCATTCGCTGGCAACTGCACAACAATGCCAACAGCGCAAAATTGGCCGCATTTGCATAAAGAAACAACGAAATTCGACGAAAATGCTCAAATAATATAATCTGACTTCCAATAGCCAAAAATCCAAAAGCAAAGAAAATGATTGTCGCGAACTGAGTTCTGATATGATAACCTTTAATTGAAGCCGGCTTCCAACACAACCCCGTGTTAATGGCCGTGAATAGGAGGGTAAAAGAAGTTATAATCGAAATGAGGATTGATAGAATTTGTAGAATTTTTATTATAACCCACTGAAATTACAGTAATCATATTTCGGTTTCAAAGTTTTTTAAATTAAAAAAAAACTGAATTTTTTAAAATTTGTAGTTTTTTCAAATTTTAAACAACATATTCAGAATAATTTGAAGATGTTGTTAAAAGAAATGGCATTTTCGAACGTTTTTGTTAATAACTTACATAGTGCCGTATTGTCGTATCTTTGGCCCGAAATGGCTGTTCAAACATAACTGCCAACACTTCTGCGCCCAATAATGTTGCTGATACGAATGTAAACGAAAATGACAGAATTGATAAACACACATTTCGTTTTACTGTACTATTTTCAATTGGCGTGTGATACACGGAATACATTGAGGGCTGTAAGTTAGGTAAAATACGACGCAGATATATACGTTTTTAAAATTGAAAAAAAAATTTTAAAAAGTTAAAGAAAAGCGACTTTTTAAACTTGAAAAACATAGTTCTAGCCCAGAGCCCTAGCCCAGTGCCCTAGCCCAGAGCCCTAGCTCAAAGCCCAGAGCTCTGGCCCAGAGCCCTAGCCCAGAGCTCTAGCCCAGAGCCCTAGCCCAGAGTCCTAGCCCAGAGTCCTAGCGTAGAGCCTTAGCCCAGAGCCCTAGCCCAGAGCCCTAGCCCAGAGTCTTATCCCAGAGCCCTAGCTCAGAGCATTAGTCCAGAGCGCTATCCTTAGTTCTAGGTCTAGCTCCTTGCTCTAGCAATAGTTCTAGCCATTAGCATGAGTTTTTTTCTTAGCCTTAGGCCTATCTCTAGTTCTATTTATATTCCTTGCTTTAGCCTTAATCTTAATCCTTGCGCTTGCTCTCGCTCTAACTCTTGCCTTAACTTTTACTACTCTTGTCGTGCTCATGCTCTTTTGCTGTCTTAATGCTTTTTTGAACTTTACTATAGTTCTCACCCTTTTCTGGTAGCCTAGACTGATTGACTTAAAAAAATTTAAAATATTTTTTTTGTTTTGAAAAATTAATACAATTTTAAATTAAAAAAAAGCTTACGAATTACTTGACTTACTCCTCCAATCTTTTTCTAATGCCACTTCAACCTTAATTCTAACAAGAAAGTTTCACTGTGCTCCTGAAAAAACCGTTTCACACAATGACAGTCATTGTTTTGTGTCGCCGTTCCGCTGTGATGGAGCCGTGCACGTCCCAACGGGCCTCTTGTGAACATATATGCACTAAATGTCATGCATATTTCCACTCTCTTTTGTGTCATATTTTGCGACGTTCCGCGACAAACGTGCCGTCCCTCTCGCCGTCCCACCAGATTAGGAAAAAGGACAAGTTCAACAATGGATCGAAAAATGAGAAATGCGAAACAAATTGTTTCCTCAGGGCAAAAATAGATTCAGGTGGTCTTTGGGGGATTGCAGCTATTTCGATACTTTTTGAATGGAATCAGTTTTATTTAAAAATAGTTTATAAACATAGTAAGAATTGTTTCAGGTGCTAAAAATAGCTGTTAAATATAGGTTCATAAAGTTTATATTATGGTAAGATAGGACTAAAATTAGTGATAGGATTAGGGCTAAGGCTAGGCTAAAAAGCCAGGATAAGGGCAGGATAACTCCAGGCCAGAGCTAGGGACTGAGCTTGGGCTATTGTTAGGGCTAGAGCTAGAATTAGAGGGGATAGGACTCTGGCCTAGGGCTTCAGGATAAGGTTCTGGGCTAGGGCTAGAACAAAACATGTTGAATAAAACCTATACTTTGTTTTAAAGATGGTGCTTTTGGTATCTTTGGGCTTGTGCAGAATCGTTAGTTTTGATCTGATTTTTTTAAATCTAGGCTTGGCATGTTTAGGCCAGCCTTGTTATTTGTGTTCAAGGAAGGTTTTTTATACTTGGCTTTTAATTGAATTGCATAAATTTAATTTAACCTTTTCTTAAATTTTTGACCGGTTTTTGTAAAATACGTGGAATAAAAGCAGCTCTTGAAATTGTACATGTTTTAAAACAATTAAAAAATGTTGTTCTAAAACATCTAAAAACATGTTATAAATTGCTATTTTTTGTCTAAACACCACTCTCTACAGTTTCATAAACATTCCATCAATTTATTTTTTGTTTTTGTTCTTTTTGACCTTTGACAAAGTGAGAAATGCTTCTGAAACTAATATTACTTTTGGCTTTTACTACTGCCTATTCAGGGTTATTTAGCTCGAGTTATTGTAAAAAATGTAAGGAAGATGCGGTAGATGCATTCAAACGGCATGGTATGAGCAATTTGGATGGGAATGCTTTGTATGTAAGTTATTTTTAATCTAAGTTTGTAGATATTAGAGGGTCGCAACGACAAGAATTTTTTGATATTTTTTAAAAGACATGTAGGGTATATAAGATAGGGTAAGTACAAAGTAAAAATACTACTTTAGCAGTATCAACACCCATTTTTTTAAAAAACGTCACATGTTTTTTTCACTTACTATGTCATTTATAGAGTATTTGTGACAAAGCCTTGTTTGGAGATCGTAGCGATAAAAACGGCCGTTTGGCCAAAATGGTGAAGAATGCCAAAACAATGGAAGAGAAAATAAAAGTTATGGAGCCGTGTAAGTATTATACTATTCTTTACTTTTAGATCAAAGATATTTTGCTATAGCAATACTTTTTTAAATTTTATTAGGGTGTTCTAATTATTCTGTGTTCCAGCCAAAGAAGACTTTTGTGGTTAGGGGGCACAGAATTATTTGCACAACATAAAAATAAGATCGGTTATTATCAGACTCTACTATAGCCCTTCTTAAGAATTATTTTTAAGAAAATCCTACGAAAAAGGCAAGCTGGGTATACAAAAAATGTTCGGGCTAGGACTAAAATACTGAATAAATTGTGACAAAAAAACATTTTCAGTGGTTCAAAAATGTGAACGCTTTAAAAGCGACAAATCTACCGTGACTCCATATCAAAAAAAAGCATTGACAGCTGAAAAAGCTGGAGAAAAGATGGCTAAAGATTTGTGTAAAGACTTGAAATATTGTTAAAGATTTCGACGACATAAATAAATTTCATACCTAAAACTTTAATCATGATTTTTTTACTCATTTTTGTTTTTTTTTTAATTTTTTAAAAATTTTAAAATGGCTCCACTGTAAGGTGAGGCAGGGAAGGGTAAGAAAGGAGAAAGCAAGACAAAAAGGCAGGGCTGGGCACGTTAGTGCTGAGCTGGGTAAAGCAAGGCAAGACAAGGCAAGGCAAATCAAGCCAAGCCGGCAAGATAAAATAATTTTTTAAAAACATTGTTGGTAACAAATTATTATTCAAATTTCCAAACATTTTAATTTACTTAGTAAAATACAGTTTATTTGATAATGTAAATAGTGTTTATTCGTCATCCTCATCGCTAGCCTCTTGCAAAGCCTTCTTGATCTTGGCGAAGAAGTCCTTGACCTTGCTCTTGGCCTTAACAGCCTTTTCCTTCAGCTTCTGCAGGTCTTCCTTGGCGTTCTCCTTGAAGTCTTCGAATTTGGCTTCAATCTTCTTGGCCAAGTCACTGTTCACAAACTCCTTTAGGCCTGGGACTTTCTCTTCGATCTCCTTGATGATTTCCTTCAATGGCTTGCCATTTCCCTTCAATGCTTGCTTGACGGCGGCCAATTCGTGCTCCTTCAGGTGTTGGAGAGCGTTCTTCAGCTTTTCGGAGATTGGAACTTTTTGGTCTGAGAAGGTTACGGTTACATTTGGAATTATTTGATACTCTTAAAAAATTGAAAAGGACTTAGAATTCGATATTTTAATTTTTTCAAAAGAAAATTTTTTTTTTTTGAATTTTTTCAACGTTAACAACAAGCACTTACCCTCCAACTTTTCGATAACTTCCTTGATGTCATCCTTCTTCTCCTCCAGCTTTTCCTTCAAGCTTTCGAATTCAGAAGACGAAGCTTGAGCAAACGCAGCTACGCCCAAAAGAGCAATCAAGAATGACAGTTTGAAGTTCATTGTTCCAAACAAGAATACTTTTTACTATCAACAACTTTCCTTTATATACAAACTCTTTTGTATGCCAAAAAGTTCCATTTGGTGCTCTACAAACAATTGACAAGTTGTGCTACGTTTTTACTAACAAATGTCATGCTATCCTATGTGATCCTACAGCTTGGCAAACATTTTGCTTTGTTTTTTAATTTTTTGCGACGCAAAAAAGGTTAATTTTGTAGATTTTTGTTTGAACATAACGCTTGGCAAACGGTTTGCATAAACGTTTACGTCAATCTATGTCAGCTTGTTACAAGTATGCAGTTTTTTTTAAGATAAACAAACTTCGTATTTTGTACCAAAGTTAGTATTAATTGTTTTTCAAGTAACTTTGTGCCATGGCTTAAGATATGACAGGTGCAAGGTCAGCGCAGAGCTAGAGTATAGCTATATAGTTATAATACAATTGGGCAATGCTTGGCCAAGGGAATAGCTATAGTAAAGCTAAATTAGGACTGAAACAGAGCTATGCTAGGGCTAGAGTAGGGCTAGAACAGAAATAGGGTAGGGCTTGAGTTAGGCTTAAAGGGCATAGACAGAGAAAAATCATGATAGGGCTAGAGTTTAATATGGTCTGAAATGGGGCTACTCAGAGCAAAGATAGAGCTTGAGTAAAGCTTGAGTAAATCAGTAACAAACGTAAGATTAGAAGACAAAACCTAACGTGTACGACATAAAATTCAAAATCTTTATTTTCATACTGAAATCATACAGTTCACAAATTAGAAAACAAATAGTACCTTAAGAAAACCAGACATTACAAAGATCAACTGGAGTCATGAGTGACATTTTTGGACAGTTAAAGACACTCCTGAACCCTGAAAAGTTAACAATACTGTTAGTTACAGTCCTTTCAGCATTTTCAAAACTCAACCGAGTTTTGTAGTTGGAATAAAACAAGAAAACCAGCTGTTGTTCATTCAATTTAGACAATACTTCGTTAGGTAATCGCAGATCTTGGCCATTTAGTTCTAGGTAAACGTTGAAGGCTCTGTAGGCGATTTGAAAAGCTAAAATGAAGTTTTAATTTGATAAAGAGAGTTTGTGGCTTAGTATGCTTACTAAATGGTAGTAATACTTCACTGACATAATGATAAAGCCCAGGGCTAAGATCCGAATTTTAGTACTGAGTAGTACTATCATATAAAGTTTGAAAATTTAAAACAAAGTCAATTTAATAAAAAGAAACTTGACAACTTACCCAAATTCTCTCTCAAAGCTTCTTCATCATGGTCTGAAGAATCGATTTGTAATGACAAACATTGTTCGACGACCGATAGCTTGTTTTTGAACTCCGGCGTTACAGCATTTATTTTTCTAGTCGAATTTCCTAGCCATTGCAAAGATTCTTTATCTAAAATACATTAAAAATCGACATTTCTGAATATAAAAAATTAAATTCTAGAGTAATGTAAATCGATAATCAACTCTGAATTGTGGAAAATTATTTTAAAATTTAAGAAAAATTCGTTCATTGTACTTCATACCTATGTATATATTGTAAATTAAAATATAAAAAGTTTTAAAAACTTACCAAGAATTAACGCTATTCCTTTAGCAATTTCAACTCCTAACGTAGAATATTGAGCATAAGTTGGATCATTGTTTCTATATCTCGTTGATTGTATCAACCCGTACGGAACGATTAAAGTATTAGTTTGAGGCTGAAAATATTATATAACACTAGCCGGAGAGTAAGTAATAGGTAGACCGTACACGGTAAAGTTAAAATAGACTATAGTGCGTACATTGTAATGATAGGGTAGATCAAAGTGAGGGAGGGGTAAAGGTAGAGTTTGGACAAGAATAAGAATGAAGTAGGGCTCTGGGCTAGCGTTCTGGCTAGGGTTTGAAGCTACGTGTCTGGGCTAGAGCTCTGAACTAGGGCTCTGGGCTAATGCTCTGGGCTAAATGCTTTTAACCTACCTCATATCTAGGCCAAATTTCACTACTAGAAATTCCAAATACTTCTTTGAATCCACTTTTTGACACGTACGACACATTCTTTGCTTTCATATTCACAATCAAATTTCTTGTCGTTTCGAAGTAGTTCTTGAAAATTTTAACATTTTCGTAATACTCATCCAGTTTTTCCACATTATTTATCACTTCATTGTATAGCAATTGAACGTTCAAGCCAGCAATTTTGTCTTGTAAAAACTGTTGATCTTGTTGAGATAAAGATGTGACTTCATGTAATGTTGCTTTGAATTCGTTTTTGATATTATTTACCATACGGAATATATTGGTTATGTTAGTGACTTCAGATTTTGAATCCAGCGAAGTTAGTATTCGGCTAATAGCTTCTGATTTTAAAGGTATTGTAGACTTCAAATGCACAAATTTGAAGCTTGGCACCTCTAGATTGCTTTGTTGTTGAAGGTAGTTGACGTAGGCCTTACTGTTAGCATAGTTAAAAAGCTTTTGAGTATCTTGAACGCATTTTGAAGCTAAAACAAGGTCACCTTGAGGCTCTGCTAGAGTATCTTTAGGCTCTGATAGAGTACCGTTAAGCCCTCTCAACACTGGACCAGTACCACCACTTCCATTACTACGATGAATATAATTTAAACCCCCATTCTCCTCCACGCCAGGAACCATGTACTTGTACTTCATGATCAACCTCATAAAAAAGTAATTGGCTTGAGTATCCACATCCATAAAATTTTTTAAATTCTGGTTAAACAAGCTTAGAGTATTCTTAAATTTCACTTGGTACCTAACAGCACCATTCTGTTGCACTCCAACTAGCTTAAAGTACTCAGTAGTATATGTCGTCCATGTTAAAAACCTCCATTTATTCATCCTGGTCAATGGATACATAATAGGAATACTGTATTCTCTGATTGTATCATTAGTATAGTAAGCTGGCTTTACCATGTATTGCTCGTACATTAAAAATCGATCGATATACGACTTTAGCCTAGCTTCATCAACCTTGACATTCGACCAAACTTTTCCAAATTTCAATAAAACTTCAAAAACTTCATTTTTATATTGTTCTTCATCAAAGTTATGATCCAAATACCGTTCTTTAGGCCATAGTAATGTAGGTTCGTCAATTGTAAAATACAAATTTTCACTTTTCTCACCTTCACGGCTGTCACCTTCAAATGTAGTTGTTATGAAAGTGTCCAAATCTTCATTCACTTGAAGATAGGACAATATTTTAGGCAATGACATAGAGTAGACTGAGGATTTACTGTACATTGATGGGTTGAATTTGCCGCCAATGGCAGTCATGAAATTTTGGAGCTTTAGCTTCAAGATTTGACCGTCTTTATAGTTTTTGGAGGTGAAGGTGTCAATGCATTGGTCGTAATACTGGCGGAGTTTTGTTAAAGCCGTGGAAGGCTAGAAATTAAAAAAAAATTAAATTTTAAAAATTGAGAAAGATATTTTTTAAATTTAAAAATTTTTTAAAATTCCAAAAATTTTAAAAAAATTTATATAACGTACCTCATGATCAACAACAATATTCAAGATAGCCTGAACTTGAGTTTTCAAGTTTTCATCTTCACTATCTTTGCCGGATTTGATGTTTCCAGATGAATATTGATGAAAATCATTACATGGATCAGCTGTCAAATCCAATGATGAATCTAGAGAAGCAGAAAGCTCCTTATAATTACTGTAGTTATTGTCAGCTTCTGTGATTGTTCTTGGCGATAATAATAATGCTTTTTGAAGAGTTGTTGAGGAATCTGGAAATGAGTATAAAGTAAGGTAGAAGTTAAAACAGTATAGAAAACGAGCTAAAGTGGTAAGCAATACTAGAAAAAAAGTATGAAACAAAGCAAAATACAGCATAGAAAATATGGTAGAAGTTAGAGAAAAGGGTAGGGTAAAGCTTAGTAGACCAAGGCTTAAGCATAACTGGAGCAAGATTAAGGTAGGAATAGGACAAAATTAGGTTAGGACAAGGCTGAGGCAAAGATAGGGCAAGGCTAGAGCAAAGCTAGGCTTCTGCAAGGTAAGGCAGGCCAGAGCATGGCTTTGACTGGCCAAAACAAAATTTCAACTTACCACCAAAAAGTTCACATTTCTCTTCCCTCCTACATGTATATTTACTGCCAGCCGGACAATTGAAACTACTACCAAATTCAGCGTCATTTTGTAAAACATTCAAAATCCTTTCCTTTGCACTAATGTTAGGTTCAGCTAAAACGTCAGAGTTCGAATGAGGATGTTCACAAAATTGGTTTGTATATTGAATGAAGAAGAGCTGATCATCAGTATATTGCCGTAGAATATCGTTGTTAAAGGCTGGATCGTGACCATAATAGTTTTCTGTTAATTCGGAAGCTTTTTTAGCTATGTGAATGGCTGAAATGTAAAAATATATACCTACAATAGTATATATATACCAAAAAAATTAGATATTACTTCAAATTATTATATGAATATGTAAAATACGTTGTCCTAAATCACGACTAAAATTTTTTTAATTTAAAAATTCTTTAAAAAATTAAAATCATACCAGCATTATGAGCAATGACGCCAGAAAGTTCAGAGGAAACATATTTTCCAAATTGTTTATTATAACATATAGACAAATTTCCATAGCCAAAAACAGTAGATTGATCTAGTTCAATATAATGACCGAGTTTGTCAATTTGAACACCGTATAAATCTGAAAAATCATATTTGAATTCAAAAATAAGAAGAGTAAGAAAGAAAAAAAAAATTTAAAAAAATGAAGAAAAAGAAGATGATAAAGAAGAAACAAATGAGAGAAAGAAAAAAAAGAAGGTAATGAAGAAGAATAAAAAGAAAAAAACTAAGCAGAACACAAGAATAATAAGAAAAAGAAAAAAGAACAAGATAAAGAAGACTCAGAAAAACAAGATGAAAAAGACGATAAAGAAGAAAAAAGAATGCAGAAGAAGAGCAGGATAGAAAAGAGGAGAAGATGCAAGATAAGACGGAGAAGGAAAAAAATAAGAAAAAAGAACATACCAAAAGTTTGTACCAAATGATGAGCAATATTAATACCAATAGTTCCAAAATTAATAGCCATAGGGTATTTTGGATCATAAAACGGAGTTAACACAGCTCCAGCTGGAATATTGAGGCTGTTCGTTGAGTAATCATATGCTATCTCTGTCTGAAAGAACTTTTTTAAAATTTCATCTTGCTATGAATATGAAGTCAAATATTATGGAATCTTTAACATTAACAGCAGACAGAATCGTATTTTACCTTCAAATATTAAAAAACGTACTTCAGTAGCTTCAAACTTATATCTATATCTTTCCACTGACTTTCTACCCAATTTACTGTATTCATCCCTTGTTTTTACCACATTAACCACCTTGAATACATCAACAGAACTCATGTCATCATTATAATCAACACCTTGATAATACTTTTCCAAAAACTCATCATTCATAACATTCATATCGCCCAAAACCTTAACTTCCAGATGCTGTAGCTTATCAATGATTCTGAATTTAACAGTAGACGATAACCAATTAGCTTCAGATACCAATGATTGCAAAGATACAACTATGTTTCCTGTCATTTGAAGAATTTTGTCCTTGACAGCATCAAGGATAATATTCGAATTTTCGTAAAACAATCGTGAACCAAGTTTTGGCAATGTAGATGATTGTAAAGCACAATATTGTTTTTGGGCATCGATAAATGAAGGTGGGTTAGACAGATTTTGAGCATTCTCGTCCAGTAAAAGGCTTCTGAAAACAAAAAATTTTGAAAAATTTGAAAACGGCCAAATTTTGGCGAAAAACTAATTTTTTCGAAAAATTCCTTTTTTCCTCGGAAAATTCCTTCCTCATGGATAATATTCGTGAGTTCACCTGATACATTTGACATTTCTATATGTAAATATGGTTTATTTTATACATAATATTGTTCCTTACTTTATTCTTTTCAATTTTTACCTAAATTTACGTTTTCAACTCAAAATACTCTGTTTTCAGATAACGCCGCGATCTTCTCCATGATCCTAGGTAAACTAAAGTCAAGAATCAATTGTTAAGTATTTTGCTTGTTTTATTTTTGTTGGTTTAGGTAAATTACTTCTTTTTTAAACAACTCTTCAACGAAGTTGAATTCAACTTTTCATTTAGTTTTTAAGTCTTTTCGGCTTGGATAACGTCTAGACCTTGTTTTAGGTCGATTTTTAGGTAACAGTTGAGGGTTTGGTCGCATTTTGGACGTAAAAACATGAAGAATAGTTAAGCTAGGTTATATATCGATAAGTAAAGTATTTAAGAATGTTTCTGATTGTTTTGAGTAGAAATTTAGGTAATATAATGTTATGAAAGAGGCCTATTTATTATTTTATCTCTTGCCTTACGTCTTTTTCACGAAGTTTTGGTCGTTTATCGGCTTATAATTTTTTTTTAAATTTCAGTTTTATATTTAAAACTTAAAAATAAGCTTGAAAACTTACTTTTGGCCCCAAACTATTCTAAAATAGAAGTAATTCAAGAGTGATTCATCTGTAAGTTGATTTCCATAGATTTTTCTGTACAAATTCTGTATATGTTTGACTCCAACGGTCGAAATGACTTGTTTATCAACTAGTTTCTTCTCTTTTTCATTCAAAAACATTCTTCTCACATCACTATCAGAATTCTTCAACAGTTCATCAAGCAAAGTGTACCATTTTATGCCTTTTAGCTCTTCTTGTACCTCTTTCAACGTGATCAGATTCTGATGATATTTTGGACTTTGGCGTAACGTAGAATCAGTGTAGCATTCTGACAATAAGTTTTCAATGTCATAAGCGTCTTCTGCTACTTTATGAACATGTTTTGTTGTTGCACCAGTAATGTTTGAGTAAGAACTGAGGAGTTGAACATATTTTCCTATAATAATATCATAATATTTTATGTTTTTATACATTTCTATCGGTAAAACAAGTTGAGGTAGATCAATATGAAGAAGATAAACTGGATAAGCATAGCCTGAAGTTTCTAGGTTGGTCTCTACAACTATGTTGAATAAGGTTTTGATATTGTAGTTGGTGTTTAAGTAGCTTGATGCTTTTTCAATGAAATCTGATGGGATTTCCGTAAAATTGATGTGTTTCTTGATGGTTGCTTCTTCTTTGGTATCTTGTCCTTCTATTGTGTTATAAATGTTTTCGTTATCTGCCTTTGTTTCAATTGAAAATGGCATTTTATCAAAAGCAGGCCATTTAGCTCCAATATAATTTTCAAAATCTTTGACCATTTTTACCATTGCCGTTTTCTTTTTGACCAAATCATTTTTCTCATCAACACAGCTGTTATAATATGTATTGACCAATTTTTTGTGCGGAAACACAATTTTGTCGTTTTCCAAATTATCGACCAAATGAGTGCCAATATTAACCATGGTTTTTTCTTTTGATTTTAATGTCGCTGATTGAAGGTGGTTACATACGTAGTCGTAGAAATTGTTACAAGGGTCTTGCGCAATGTCGAGAGTAGATAGTATGTTGTTTTGGGCTTCGTTATATTCATCATTGTTGGATTGAGTTGGTCTTGAGGGAATGTTTAGGGGTGGTAGAGTTGTTGTTGTTGGTGGAAGGGAGAGGCCTAAATTTATAAAAATTTTGATTTAGGTGGTATGGGTAGGGTAGTGTAGGGCAAGGTAGAGTTGGGTAGGGTAGTGTATGGTAGGGTTGGGTAAGGTAAGGTAAGGTAAGGTAGAATAGGGTTATTTAAGACAATGTATGGAAATTAAAAAACTTACCAGGTTCAACGTCGGTAACCCAAACCTGACAATGATCTAATGGTGCATACTTCTTCTTCCCCCAACATTTAAAGGCATCTTTAAACTCCGGGAAATTCTGTAGCACCCCCAGCACTCTAAACTCATTAGGCGAGTGAACTTCATTCAGAACCAAATCACGATAAAATTCAGAGTACGGTTCAGTACACCACATTCTTCCAAAAGCCAAGAAGAATAGCTGGTCATGAGTGAATTGTCCAACCAAATCTCCAGGTAATACCATCGTATCTCCGGTCACAGAAATTTCGTTACGATAGGCACGGAAAGCCGCTTGAATTGCACCGTTATCAGCAATGTTCTCGCCTTGAGTTCGATTGCCATTTACACAATGATCTTCGTCATAACAGAAGTTGTCATATTGTTCTACTACACAGTCGGCCATGTTACGGAGGGAGTGGTAGGAGGAAGGGGACATCCAGTTATGGAGACGACCTTCTCCATCCCATTGGATTCCGTGGTTGTCTGTAATTGTATGGCATGAATTGTAAAAAAAAATTATAAAAGGTAAAACCCCTTCCATTTTTTTTCTTTCTAGCTACGTTCCTTCTAGCTTTTCTAGACCTACCAAAACTATGAGTAAGCTCATGACCAGCCACCGTTCCAATCGACCCATAATTGACGGCTGCTGGCCATTCATTATCATAAAACGGAGCTTGCAATATTGCTAATGGGATGTTGATTGAATTGGACGCTTGTTGATACCAGGCATTCACATCAAGAGCTGATCCGAAGTCAAGTCGATCAAAAGAAGGCTTTTTCAAATCACTGACTACTTTCAGTTGATTGAAAACGATCAATTTTAGCGTCATAGTAAGATAATCGTCTTCTTGTAGCAGATGTAGGGGTTTGTAATAGTCGTTCAGAGCTGAGACGTTAGTGGAGATGTTGGGGTAGGCAATGTTATTTATTAGCAAGTCGATTTTACTGTGGGCTATCTGAAAAAGTTGTACCTGACTTCATTGAACTTATACTTTACTCATAATCTATACTATTCTACTCTACCCTTCCTTACCCTACCCTACTTTATCCTATTTTGCATTATCTTGATTTATTTTACCCTTACTTAACCTAACTTAAGCCAAGTTACTCTGCTTTATCTTACACTACTTATCTTACTTTACTGTATCTGTTTCTCAATCTTGCTATTGCTCTGTTCTCTTCCTAGCCTTACAACAGCATAGTTTTAGGCCTACTATAGACATAGCTTCACTCCAGCTTCACTTTCCATTTACCTTAGTCTTCTCTTTACTTTACAATTCATAGTATTTTACCTTTGGGTTTGGATTTTTTTGTCTCTAACAAACTTACTTTTTTACTGCTCTCATCCATCCAACTCAACTGTCTCAACATGCTTCTGAATCCAAGTAATATAGAGTCTACAACTTTAGCTGCATTCAGTCTTTCCTTCTCTCTGGTCGTCTCATTTGGATATACTGCTTCTACAAAAATGTGGTTGAGACTTTCGGTAAAGACTTCTCGAGTAGGTTTGAGGCATCTCACGTCTAAAAATGTCACATCTTCTTCCGAGGCTTTTGGATGTGACAGTAGGTCGAGGTTTTTCTTAGGGTATCGTATGCCTTCTGATGGGAATTTAGGTAGTCTTCTTTTCCATATTGGCTTGTTTTTTTGGTTTGTGGGGGTGTTTTTGTTGTTATTCTTGTTTTTAAGTACTTTTTTGTTGTTGAAGTTGCTGGAGTTGTTGAAGTTGCGGATACTTTTATCAATTTTTTGGTCGAATTGAATGATGTCGAATGCTGTACTACCTGGTACAAATTCCTGATTGGCCATGATCAAAGTACGGTAAAATATAAAATCGACAAGGTATTTGTCATACTTTTTCAATACCTTTTCTAACTCTTCTACAAATCTTTTGAAGGCTTCTTCATCTTCAATAGTAACTTCATAGTCATCCTGTAGCACTGTATTTTCTACTTCTGGTACCAGTGCAATTAGTCCACTTAAGTACGCTTTAATGTCGAATGTTTTACCATACTCTTCCTCAAACTTCCGTATTGACATTACAGTATACACATCACTAAAGTTTTGTCGATCCAAGTCTTTTGAAGGTTCTGAAGCTTGAATTAAGTCGGCTTCAAGATTCACAAAAGCAAAAGCGTCTTCAATGATTTGGTCCTGAATATCTTCAGTATTATTGCGAACGTACTGTAGGTACTCGTTTAGTACTATAGCTATACCTTGGGCCATGTTCTCTGGCTCATCGTAATCTAGGAAAAAGCCATCGGCTGAAAGGTATACTGAGTATGGCTTTGATGGGTTAAGGCTGTTGGTGTAGATCATACTACTGACGAGGACGCTCTCACTGTACTTTCCGCTGACGTAGCCCATAATGTAACTGAGTTGGGTAGAGGTTACTGGAGAGGGTTGTGATGAGTTTGAATTTTGAATGTTGGGGTTTGTCGAATTTTCTGAAATTAATTATGTGAAGGGCACTGTATATTTTTTTTTCTAGGCAGGGTAACAGAAGGTGGGTTAAAGTAGAGAAAAGCAATTATAATTGGGTAAGTGTAGTGTAGGGAAGTGAGGGTATGGTAGGGTAGGATAATGGTAAAATTTTTTATGACAGTTAGCCTTGTTTAGTATAAAGTAAAGTAAGATGAGAGAGGAATAAGGTGGAGTACGGTATTTGTAAGCCAAGGGTAGAGTAGAGACATAAAGTAGGGTAACGTATTATAGGGAAGGGTGAATAGGGTAAAATAAGCGAGTAGGATTGGGTACGGTAGGGTAGGGTATTGTAGGGTAGATTAGAGTGGGTAGGGAAGGGTAAGGTAAGATAGGGTAAAGTAATGTAAGGTAAGTTAGGACGGTAGGTCAAGCTGGATAAGGGTAAGGGTCAGATAAGAAAAAAATTATCATTACCTGCATTATCACACTGCAATCTAAACTGATGACCAAAAACGTCTTCAATCTCTTTAACTACACTTTTTAGTACCTTAACATTATCCAGCTTCTTTCCAGTTTCTTCCTTACACTTATTGAAATAAGTTTTGACAGCTTTAACAGCCAAATTTTCATCATCTTTCATGGGCTTCTTTAACGTCTTGAGCAATGTAAAACTATTGTCAATATCAAGGTCAGTAAAAGTGTCTTTGCCAGAGTAATGATTACAAGTGTAATTGTAAAAGTCTTCACAAGGGTCTACTGTGTTGTCAATAGAATCCTCAAAGTATTTGGCACATTCTTGATATTTTAGTGACAAGTTTGGTTTAGCTTGAGGTATATTTAATGGTGGGGGTAGTTTTTCAAGCAATGGTACTCCGACTTGACCTACGATTTTTTGTTGCCATATCTGAATGAATGTCATTGTGAAAAGGGAAATTAAGTTGGGTGGGGGGTTGTCAACAACTTTATAATGAAGAAAGGGTAGGGTAAGGGTAGCGATAGGTGTAGGGGTAAAACAATTGAAAATCATTACTCATATTAAAGAGCAGGGGTAGGGACACTAAATTACTTTTTGAGGGGAGGGGTTAGTATAAACTTTAAAACTTTAAAATCATTGCCTACCTCAACAAACTCTTCTGGAGCATAAACTTGATCTTTTTTGCAATGAAAAACTGATCTGAACTCAATATTGTTACTCAAACTTCCAAGTACTTTAAGTTTGTTTGAGACTCTAAACAAGCTATTTGTTTCTTTACCACAGTAATTTTGAGAAAACAATAGGAAATACAGTTGTTTTGAAGATAAAAGGGAAATTTCACGGCTTGGCAACGAGTAATCGTCGTTATAGTACAATGTGTAGGAGCCGAGGGCTTGATAGGCAATCTGAAGCAATGTATTTTTTAGTAAATGCATTATGTGGGGGTAAGGTAGGGTTTTGTACAATGGAGTAACAAAGGAAATGCAAGATTGAGGCAAGGGATGTGGAAAGGAAGAGATAGGCTAACGGTATCTTGTAAGACTGTTTGGGGTAGTGGCATGCGTACGGTTAGAACTAGGATTAGGAGCAGTGGCAGCTGTAGTGGCAGGAATAGAGGTTGGGGGGGGAGAAAATATGGTAAAGTAGATGAGGTTAGAGTAGTACATTTGTATAGGACGGGGACGGACGATTAGTCAAGGCACGAGACAGGACAGAGGGCGGGGCATAGTGCAGGGTATAAAACCCGGTTTAGGTAGGGGCGAGTAAGGCCGAATAGGGTAGGGTAGGGTAGAGTAAGGTAGTTCAGGATAGAGTAGGGCTGGTTTGGGGTAGTCTTTACTTTTAAAGCCACGTTATCAGCCAAGTCATCATTGATATCTTGTTCTTTACCGCTACTAATCACTTCATATTGTTCTTCCAATTCGTTTATCATCTCTCTAACTTTCTTCTTTGATCTTTCAGATAGCCACTGATCAAATCGACCTGTCGAATCTCTTTCCAAACCTGATTCTTCAAATAGTCGACCGAGTAATCGACCAACATCTACTCCAATATTAACGAAATTCCAAACTGATGGATAAGATGAATTGGCAAAATCATACTGTAGATACGGCAGTGGTAGGTAAAATGAGTTCGTATTATAGTCGTACGAAGGTACTGTAACTATTTTAGCTGTATTTTGATATGGCGTTAGATAGTTCTCTCGTATTACACTGTTTTTGTCAGTTAACTTCATAAATATCAGTCTATGTTTATATAAGTTGGCATCAATCCACCTGGTAGCTATTGTATCTTCTTTACTGTAGGTTAAATTACTGTAGATTTTGTTGACAGAATCATCGCTGAGAATGAAATCAGGAGTTCCGTACACTCGTGCTACTGATTTTAATTTCGTAGCAAGATATTTACGTTCAGATAAAGATAACCATGATAGGTCATTGAATACTATAGTAAAGGCTTCTACTGTATACTCGGCTATTTGGGCTACAAATTCTTGACTCTTCTTGAAGTTCTTAAGCTCAGGGTATAAGGCTTTGATGGCTAGGTTACCGTATATTGGTGGGTAGATTATACTGTACAGGTTCAAACATGGTATAGTACGATCGTATGTTGTATTAGAAAAAATATGATTTCGAGAGAGATTACTGTTGTTTTTATGGTGTAAAATGCGATGTTCTTTATTGTTTTTGTATTTAGTGTCGTTAGAAATGGCAGTTTTAGAAACGTCAGTATTTGTTTTACTATGTAACTGACCGGTTATAGTACTATGATGCTTTTCACCACTTAGTAACCCGTTACCAACATAATCATTACTAAAAGCTGATGCTAGATCATCAGACATTTCTACAGCATCTCCAGGTAACAAAATCATATACTTCAACATCAACCGTAGTAAAATATTGTCCAAAAATATGTTCGTATCTTCGACAAACGCTGTATATACACCATAGTGAATATCAATCTGTATCTGCTTCTTATAAACAGCAACTTGAGTATGTCGGTCCAGAATATACTGTAGAAAGTTGGGTATGTAATTCTTGTTGTCAGTGTATATACCACGGATATACGAACTCATTTTATATAGTGGTAGTATGTTGTGGAAGTCGTGGAATGAAACTACATTGTAATCATCGGCTGATAGATAACGTTTTAAAGGTTTGAGAAGCTTGGCTAGGCGTTCTTCTAATTCTACGGCTTTTAATGTACGTTGTTTCATTGTAGCTAATGGTGTAGATGAGATACGGTGAAGATATTGCGCCATTAAATCAATATACTCTTGTTTTATGGCTTTCCATTCCGGTTTTTCGTAGATTTCTGGCTATAATATTGACATTACTATGCAGTAAAACATATTTCACTATGTATTTATGAAAAGTAAAAATGTTTTTTTACAGGCTTTCGTTTTGGGACCTAACTTTTTTCTTAACTTGTTATTTTTGTACTAAATAATGCAAGAAATAGCAAGAACTTTTTTTACAAATCAAAAAATGGCAAGAACTTTCTTTAAAAAACAAAAATGGCAAGAACTTTCTTTCAAAAAATCGAAAAATGGCAAGAACTTTCTTTACAAAACATCAAAAAATGGCAAGAACTTTCTTTACAAAACAAAAAATCGCAAGAAATTTCTGAACAAAACAAAAAATGGCTACAACTTTCTTTACAAAATATTAAAATGGCAAGAACTTTCTTTACAAAATAAAAAAAATTTTAATAAAAAAAAGTTCTGCTCAAATTGTAAAAAATTTTAAATTATTTACATAATTTAAAATTTTTTAACAAGGCCGGCTTTTATTCGACGTATTTTACCTTAAAAGTAGTGTCGAAAGTGTCGTAAGTCAGAAGATACGGTGCTGCATTAAATAACTTTTTCAAGTTTGGTTGAACGTCGATTTTGAAAAATGGGTGAATATCGAAGTTTATCAACAAAAAGTAAGCCAAATCTCCAATTTCTGGCAGTTTTTCAATTTTGTTTTCTGTTCCATTATTGAGCAATGGAAACGTCAAGTTGTATTTTGTGGTCAATTTGTTGATTATAGTGTAGATTAAGGTCTTGTCGTATTTTTGAGCAATACAAGTTTTGTAGAAGGTTTTTCCAAGGGTTTCGTATTTCTAAAAAAAAGAAAAGTTTTAGAATGAAATGCTTATTCTTGGCTTAACAGCAGTTGGTTTCGCACAATAAACGGCTTTGGAATGGCAAATTTAGGTTACAGACAGGGCTATGTTAAATCTAACGCTGGGGGTAGAGGTAGGTTCTTATTGGTAATGATAGGTATAGGATAGGGGATTCTATTTTGCTTTACTTTCTTATGGGAGTATGGGTTGAGGTCCCTAAAGTACATTAAAAACTGTCTTTGAGCAAAAAGTCTCAAAACTTACCAATTCATTTTCTGTTTTAGTATTCAAATACTCAATGATTTTGTGGTTCATTTTTAACTCAACTTTTTTTTTGTGATCTAAAATCTCATCTTTCTTAACGTTACTACAAGCAAATTCATAAAAGTTGTCACAAGGTTGATATTCCAAGTTAATTCTATTCATAATATAATTTGAGACGTAGTTGTATTCACTTGTGTTTTTCACTGGATTCTTATTGATATTTACGTAATACGATGGTCTTGGCGTTGTTGGAATTCCTTGAACTGAAAAAATATATATATTACCGTAGCGAGTAGGCTTGGGTAAGGGTAGAATAAGAATTTGATAGGATTTTGTTGAGTGTAAAGTAGGACTAGGGTAAGACAATACTAGCATATTAATTAAGACTGGCTTTAAGCTAGAGTAAGGTCGTAAGAAATGTGAAGGGGCAAGGTTATGGTAGGGTAACGTAGGGTAGTAATGATGATCTTTTAAAGCACTATACGATTAGATTAAGGCTATAGTATGACAGAACTAACATTTAAAAACTAATGCTAGATTAGGATTACAGTAAGACTGCGGCAGTGCAAGAGTAGAGCAGAGCTTGACTACACAGCGAGTAAATAGTGACTAGGTCTAACTATGTGAACTTACCTGCAGCGATCTCAGAATCCCAAATAACGCAATGTTCTTCTGGGGCCAGACTATCGTTTCTTCTACAGTTGAAACTTTTTTTAAATTCTGGGTAGTTCATCAAAACATTGTTAATTTGTTCTGTTTTCTTTTCTTGTTGGCCGTTTACATAAGCCAAAAAGAAGAGTTGTTCACGTACAAGTTGTGACAAAATGCTGTCTGGTAATTGGTTATCTTGACCATTGATGTCTACATCAAGTTGATAGGCATTGAACGCGGATTTTATGGCTGAAAATTGAGGTTTTGGACATTCTTACTTACCACCGTGATCATCCAATAGCTCTTTCATCAATTCTTCATCTACTTTTTGGCCTCTCAAACATTCTTTCACATTCTCAAACTTTCTTTTACTATTTTCATCAATCCAATAACCAAGTTCAGCATATTCATTCCACTGCCAACCATTTTCATTAACACTTTGTAGCAAACTCTCAGCAACCAATACTCCAAGGTTACCATAGTTTACTACTGCCGGATAATTTTTGTCATAAAATGGCCGGTTTAGAAGTGATAGCGGAATAGTTATGGAGTTATATTGGTGGTTATAGTTTACTTTTGGATTTGTAATTGGTAGAAGTAATTCATTGCGAGTTGTTGTTGCTATTAAAATCTTTTTTATGTTGGACTGGAAATTAAATTTTTGGACGTTTTTGGTTATTGTGTTGTAGTCTAGGGCTTCTGAAAGTAAAGTTAGGTTTTAAAATTTGAGATTCAAAATGTTATTCATTCAAATATGGCTGTCATAAAGCAAAAAAAAAACAAACTAGGACAACAGGTAGGAATATAGGGTATAGCTAGAGTTAGGGCTAAGACAGTAGCTTGTGCCGAAACTTATGCTAATACGAGGGAATAAACTAAGGCTTGCTAGATATGGGTAAAACTAAAGTTTTGGTTAAAGCTGGGACTAGGCGTAGGGTTAGGGGTAGGGTGAAGGCTAGTGCTAGAGCTACGATTAAGACTAGTGCAAGATTCTGGGGCTATGACTACCGCTAAGACGTGGGTTACGATTAAGATTAAAGCCAAGACTCCGGCTATGGTTGTAGGTAGGGCTACGCCCAATTCTAAAGCTTTGGCTAAAACTAAGGCCAGGACTATGTGATGGGTTATAAAAAGGCCAAAGAATTGATAAGACATTTTGCGCAATGTATTTTACTCACCGTTTATCTCTAAAGTTGAGTACGTTTGAGTCAATTTCTGGTTATCAATAATCTCATTCGAATACATGACATTTCTAACCATATATTGCAATTTTTTATAAATAAGTTGTTTTGTGTGATATGGCATCCAACTCAGTTTGTCTATTTGGATCTGAAATACAGGTTTTAGCCTATACTAACCACAAAATGGGACTTGTCTTAGGTCCCGCAACTGTAGATTTAACTTGCGAAAAGCGTAGTAGTATTACCTGTAAGCCATCGATAACACGTTCCACAATCTTCTCAACGTGCTTTTTCATCTTTTGTCTATCATCAGAAAATGGCAAGACCTTATCCAAGTAGACTCTTGATGTCAAGTCGGATAAGTTCTCTGATACCTCTTTAGCACATTTTAGTTCAACGTTTTCTCCAGTTTTGAAATTTTCAAAATCCGGGAAGAATTGTGCCATATTGTCTAGTAATTTGTAGACAATATAATTATGAACAGTTCTTGGTGAGATTTCGTTTGATTTCAGTAGATTCGCTAGACTTCTTAGTACTTTTGGTTCTTGAACTATGAATTCAAAGCTTTCTTGTTGGATAAATTCTTTGGTTTCTGAGGATAAATTTGAGGATAAGTTGATGAAATAGTCGTTGAACTCAAGTAAACCGAGCTTGTGAGTCGCATTTCGTTTTGTAAAGACGTTGAATTGACTGGAAGTTTAGAGCTTACCGTAGTCTTAGAGCTGCCCTACCCTACCCTACCCTACTCTACCCTACCCTACCCTACCCTACCCTACCCTACCCTACCCTACCCTACCCTACCCTACCCTACCCTACCCTACCCTACCCTACCCGACCCTACCCGACCCTACCCTACCCTACCCTACCCTACCCTACCCTACCCTACCCTACCCTACCCTACCCTACCCTACCCTACCCTACCCTACCTTACCCTACCCTACCCTACCCTACCTTACCTTTATCTACTCTATCTAACTATGGTTTCATGTCCCATGCCCTGCTCTACCCCTCTTTTAAAAGGTGCCTCATCCTTGTCCCACGCCCTGTCTTATGCTTTGTCTTATATATTTCTTTATGCCTTGTCCCACGTCTTATCTTATGCCTTAGCCTATGTGCCTGCTTCATTACATGCTCAATACCCATATCAATGCCCTGCTTTATGCTCTACCTTATCTTACCTTACTTTATCTTGTTTTTACCTCATACTTTTTTTCTATATAAGTTGTACTTCTTCGTATTTTTCCTTTTAATTAAAAAATTTAAAATTTATATTGAATGACCTACCTCGTCTTGTTGTTTCTGTTATAGTTCAAGACACTAAGAGCAATTTTCCTATCCAATTCTATAACTTCTTCCACATCTTCATCAATATCTGCTTCTTCATCAATTTGCAAAACTGCTGCAAACTTTTTAAAAATCTTTTTAACTTCTTTAGAATATTGTAATTTTACAGTAGTCCATTCATCTTGAAACTCTTTCTTACTGTACTTAATAGTTGGTTGATCGACAAAAATTCTGTAGCCTTTGTGGCCAAAATTGCCTCTGGGGTTTTCCCAATTCGATTTCACATCGATGTTAATCAACACATCAACATTATATTCGTACTTCAAATAGGATGAGATATTGGCAAGCTCTTGGGCTGATAATCTGGTATGGTCTGTTGTGGTGTTGGCTGATAAGAAAGCAAATTTTAATGGCGTGTTGGAAGTAATATCCTGGTAGATAGCTTTTAGTGCCGTGCCGTTTTGATGAATTAATAACGGATTGTTATTGGCCTCAACACAGGTTGTGTAATATGTCTTGGCTTTTTGAAGAACTTGAAGGTTCTGAAAATGCATTTTTTATTTTGTATATAAAAACTTGAGAATTTACTGTACTAGGTATAGTAGAAAGGCAACGCGAGAAAAAATTTTTATTGGGTAAGGCGCGCTGTCTCTGCTCTGCTCGATGCTTTGCCGCATGCCCTTAGTCATGCTCGGCCCAATGCGCATCATTTTCTGTTGTATGCTCTATCTCATGCTCTAGCTCATGTTCTGCCCTAAGTTTTGTTACATGCCTTGTCTCATGCCTTGCCGTACGACTTGCTCTATTTTTTGTCCCATGCCCTACCGAATGCCTTGCCCATACCTTTTTCTATTCTCTTACTTATGTTTTGCTTTATGCTCTGTCGTATGTACTGTCCTATGTTTTGCACCAATCGACACCATGCCTTATCTAATACCTTGCCTAATGCCCTGCCCTATGTTCTACTCCAAGCTCTGACCCATGCTCTACCTCATGCCATTTTTCATGCCCACGCCCTGTTGTAAGCGTTGCCTTCAGTTTTGCTCTATGCCTTGCTTTAAGCTTTGTTCCATGTTTTGTTCCTTGCCCGGTCTCATGCCCTACTCTATGTTTTACTCTCTGACCTATGTCCTGCTCTACTTATCATGTCTATTTGTCAATGCCTTGCCAATGCTTGTTACAAGTTTTTAGCATCAGTATAATCTACGTAGCACTTATTGACTTACCAATCTTTTTTCAAAAGCTTTAGAAACATCTTTTAAAGCCTTCTTCTCTAATTCTTCAATATTATTTGGTTTTGAATTACCAGAAGTTGCATAACTGTAAAAATCCTGGCAAGGCGAATATGTTGTGTTGATATCCGGTTTTACATAGTCAACATAAGACTTGTATGCTTCATATTGGTCTGGTTGGGATAGTCGGTCGACTACTGCGGCTTTGTGAAGATGTAGATCAGCTAAATGAGTTTTTAACTTTTACTTTATGCTTTGGCATGGCTTATTAGTAGTAGCTTTAGTTTAAAATTTTTTAAGGGTCTATTGAACTGAGTGATAGCAAGATCAACTGTAATTTAAGGTGTTACAATAATAAAAAAAATTTACCGGGAGTAGTTGTAGGAACAGTGGTAGTAGTAACGTCATTGGAAGGGTTTCCAGTGGTTGTAGTTACATTATTTTCTTTATTTTGGTCATTGACATTGATGAATATACATCCAACGACTACAAATGTTGCCAAAAGGCACAATCCTATCAAAAATGATAAGGTTGTTTGTAACTTTTGAATATTTTTAGTCATTTTTGAACATTTTATGACAATCTATAAAAAATCATTTTTAATTAAAAAATGTCAAAGTTCAAAAAAAATTTAAATTTAAATTAAAAATCTTAAAATTTCTGAAAAAAAACCCAAATTTAGTCTAAAGATGACCATCATATGAACATAAATAAGCCTTGTTTCAATAAATAACCGCAAATTATGACAGCTTCCGCAGAAGCTGATTAAATTAGTTATTGAAGCCCTTAAGTGTCGTAAAACTTTGATAAAACATGTAATTTCTTGGAACTGATAAAGCTTTTTCAAATGCAATCAAAGAGACAAGTGTTGAGCAAATTAGATATTTTTTTAAATTTACTACAGATAAATATGAAACAAAATCGAAGTAGAATATGTCTCAAAGGCCTCGAGCATTGCCCCATTACCTGCTTCATGCTTAGTTTCATGCACAGCCCCACGCTTTGTCACATGTCTTGCCCCATGCCTTGCCCCATGCCTTGCCTCATGCCTTGCCCCATGCCTTACTTCGTGCCTTGCCTCTTGCCCTGTCCCATGCTCTGCCCCATGCACGGCTTCATGCCATGCCCTATGCTATGCCGAATGCTTTGTTTCACGCTCTGATCTATGTCTTGCCATGTTCTATTTACGTCCCGTCTTATAATTTTCCCTATGATCTGCTTAATTCCCTGCCCAAGTTTTTTTTCATATGCCGTACTCTATGCCCTATTCTATGCCTTCCTTAATGTTTTGCCCGATGTCTTGCCCAATGCCCTGCTATATGCCATGCTCAGTGAGTGGCCGGATGTTTTGATGAATATACGGTCGAGTACCACAAAAAAACTCGTTATAAGTTATCATAACAAAACCAGCATAAGATGCCATTTTTCATGAGCTTTCAGAATCTGTATCGATTGCATATGTAGCTATATTACTCGTCGAGTTACAGTAATGTAAATATTACCTCGCTATATTATACATGATGAACATACGATCGAGTACCACAAAAAAAGTCTTTATAAGTTCTTGTGGCAAAACCAACATAAGATGTCATTTTTCATGGGCTTTCAGAATCTGTATTGATCGCTATTGTAACCGTGTTACTCGTCAAGTTACAGTAATGTAAATATTACCTCGCTATATTATACATGATGAACATACGCTCGAGTACCACAAAAAAAGTCTTTATAAGTTCTTGTGGCAAAACCGACATAAGATGTCATTTTTCATGGGTTATCAGAATCTGTAATCGACTGTTGTTGTAACTCCATTACCCGTCGAGTTACAGTAATGTAAATATTTTCTACCTAAATTATACATGATGAATATACGATTTAGTATCACAAAAAAACTCGTTATAAAATATCGTCAAACAGCCAGCCAACTAAACCAACGAAGTACTACTAAAGTAATATAGTTTAGTAACTTAGGTTTAGTGTCCGAGTTCGCGAGTATCGTTTTTTTAAATTTAATTTTTAATTCCTCGACCTTGTGGGTGCCCAACTCATCATTACAATATGTTTTGATATCGTCCATGTTTACTTTGTAAGAACAGTCTCTGTAAAAATCATATAAAAAAGAAAAATGACAATATTAATACCTTTTTACCTCTTTTGAAGCAGCAGATGAAACACGCGACAAATACCGTAATACAATATGCTCTCAGCCCAACGCCCCTAACAGCATTGTTTACACAGCTGTACAAAACTAGGTCACGTAAAAAAACACCTACAAATTACATCTCAATATGGTAACATGATGCTCTTGCCGCACTGCAAAGTTCAAAAAACCCTTTGACCTATCCACTATGACTCATTTTTATTTAAAAAAAAATTTTAAAAGCAAAATGAAAATAAAAAAAAAACATTTTTTGCCACTTTAAATTATCTTGTTACTTCTTTTTAACCGGTTGGATATGAATTATTTTGTTGCACTGATATTGTTGCTTGTTACTTTAATCAATTGCGGTCAGACACATAACTCAAGCGGCACAGTTTTGTCGGAAAATAGCAAAATGAAGGCAATAGGCCAAAGGTTAATTCAAGATGATGACTATGACGTGATCGGCAGTAAGATATTGATCTTGTAAAGCTGAAAAATTCAAATTTTTTAAAATTTTAAAATTTAATTTTTTTCTTAGTTTGTAAAAACATTGTTTTCAGACATCATTGGGATCTTTAGCGTAGGAACAGGCGATCTAACCACTGACACAATATCGAATTCGGAAAATAAATGGCACAAAATGGAAGAATTTCGACAATTTTCCTTCAATGTGGTTCGGAATTCCCATGCTCGGTACGCTGTGTATGTTATGATGCGCAACATGAATCAAACCGATTACACACCCTACTGTGCCACAATTTACAGTAGACATGTTGTTCGAATGAGCGTGTGTTTGGAACGGTTGAATGAAACGGGCTTCAATTTGTACGCTTTTGGAACGGCTGGTAAGTTTTTTGCAAATTACATCAATGCCGTAGCCCAGAGTCCTAGCCCGGAGCCCTAGCTCAGAGTCCTAGCCCAGAGCCCTAGCCCAGAGCCCTAGTTTAGAGCCCTAGTCTAGAGCCCTAGCCCAGAACCCTAGCCCAACCTTATCGTTGCCATTTTTTAAAAATTAAATAGTAAGCCTTAGCTTTCGTTTTCGCTTTAGCTATATTCCGAGCCATAGTACAGTATTACTATTCACCCGACCCTACCAATACCATAATCCTTGTCATAGCTTTGCTCAGTCCTACCTTATAATACTTACGACAATTTTAGAACAAATCACCTCCAAGTACTACATCTTCAAGCACGAGCCCGTCATCATCTTTCGCATCTTCTTCCTGGGATTTGTAATTGAAATCGACAAAATCAAGTTACGATTACCTCATCATAAGATTGAGGGCATATCTTCCAATCCATCGACCATCAACTTCACATTGGCATTTTCATCGGAAGACTATGCGAATCGATCCGTTCATTACATTTTTCATAAGGTAAGGAATATTTTAATTTTTATAAATTTAAAATTTTTTCGAAATTTTAAAATTTAGTAAAATGATTATTTTTAAAAAAAGAACGTTGCCAATTTGAATCCATACAGCTTGTTTAACATGTCAAAGTCGAATATCGAAGCAATGGAACAAGAAAGGCTTCAGAAGTTGGGAAGACAAGTCATGTCAATCCCAATTTTACTGTAAGTTTAGTTTTATTCTTATTGTAAAGAAAGTTCTTGCCATTTTCTGTTTTGTAAAGAAAGTTCTTGCCATTTTTTGTTTTGTAAATAAATTTCTTGCCATTTTTTGTTTTGTAAATAAATTTCTTGCCATTTTTTGTTTTGTAAAGAAAGTTTTTGTTATTTTTTGCTTGTAAAAACAGTTCTTGCTTTCAGGATATGTCTAACAACATCTATGATCATATTAACCACCCTGACCATCGCTTCTGTGTGTAAGAATAAAAGTGAATCCAAGAGGAGCCTTGAAGTGCTAAAGCAAATGAAGAAGGAACTGAAAGACCTAGCCAAACTAGCCCGAGGCGAGATTGAAATCAAGGATACAGTTTCAAAAATGGCATTTTCATTACCAACCACACCTCAGAAATCCGAATATACCAGCATTCAGAAGACACAAGGGTCGCGTATGCAGAAGATTAAGTCGATTGAAAAGAAAAGTGAAGAAAAGTAATTATGATAATGTTAATGATAACGTTGATAATAAATGATATTATTGGGAAAGTTGAAAGTGTTAAAGAAGGATTTAATAGTAAATCCTACTGGTTCGGTGTAGCGGTCCTAGCGACCAGAGTCCTTTAACAGGAGCTCGTTTACTATATTGTAACAACCAACATCTTTCGTTTTCATGTTTATTTGAGTCTTTAGGAAGACTGAGGGGACAGCGACTGACCCTCTTTCCATGAACAACGAACTGAATTGATATTAGGCTGCGCTCTTGCCCTTTTATACCATCACGGGGTTTGATTAATGTTTATCTCCCGCCGAGCGCAAACGCAGCCGTAACAAAAGTTTTATTCGTTGTTGGGTATTTTATGACAATTCTAGTCAATATTTTGCCGAAAGGACGTTTCATAAAAACATTATAATACATATTAGTTTGTTCAAAAAATTCTGAGCTGCTCTCAAAGCAGATTTGCGAGTTCAGAGGGGTCAGAATAATTTAAACAACTTAAAATATTTAACTCCCTACTCGAATAACATTGATTTTGAAGTGTTTTGATCACAATCAATTATTAACCTTCAATTCGCCCAAAAAATCCGTCATTTTCATTAAATTTTGCTAAAAAATCCGTCAGTTTCTAGTGTTATCCAGAAAATCCGTCATCTTCAAGCAATTTTAATCAAAAACTTCGTCGTTATTATTCTGATTTGCCAGAAGTTTGTCTATCTTCTTTAGGACATTGCTGTATTGTTTTAGATGAATCTTCAACAATCTTTTCATATTATCGCCTTACCTTTGTTTACTGAAAAATAATCAATCTTTTAATGATGGCAAGAACATATTTTAAATTTATTAGACTATTTGTTAAAACACCTTTAATTAACTTTAAAAAGTGGGCTTTGACGACGTTTTGTGTTATCAATAACATCCTCGACGTTTGGTGGAATATCCAGATGAATCTCGACTTTAACTGGTTGTGAGCCAACATTGTAAGTGAAAAGTAGTTTATCACTGCCAGGATTCACGGTTACACCATATGTTTTAGATGCTAAGCTTATCGCGTTTATTGTTACCTAAAATAACATATTTTTCGTTAAGAATGGCAAAAATTTTTAATAAAAATGGCATTATATGACTAACGTTAATGATATTGCTTTTTTAAGCTTGTGAATTAAAAAATTCAGACCTTGTTTGAGTATTGAAAATAGACTTTGACCAGGACACTGATCAGTGGATATCCATTATGATTGAAGCCATTCACAGCTGCATCGATATTATTTTTGACTTTTGTCCATTCATTGACAAATTCTGCTTCTGTCTGAAGTTGTTTTATTATATTTTATCATTATATTTATATAGTATTGATAAAAATGGCATAAAAACAAATTATTAGGGAGATAAAAAAGTATTGTCGGTTTTTACTGTTAAAATTAATGTTAATCAACGACAATACTTTTTTACACTTAATAATTTAATTTTATGCTATTTTTATCAACTAGCTTGATTTTTAACTAATGTAATCAATGTAACTCACATTATCTCTAGCCTTAATTACAGCGGACCCAAACAACCGAACCGGCCGTGCATCACTAAACAATGTGCCCATCTTCTTCACCGCTTGGTTATAAAATACGTCCGGATCTTCAAAAAATTCACCCAAAGGGCTGAAAAACACGAAATCTTGTGGATATCTTGGCATAGCCGCTCGATTAGCCAACACATAGGCCATATCTTCAAGCCAAAAGACATGCCCATGGCCTGTGGTTGATTTGTCAGCTACATGTTCACCTTTCCGTGGGTTTTCCGACATTCGACCACTTGGTTGATGTCGATTTCTTCTCGGATCGAACTGAAGTTCAGCATGGATATTGATATCAGTATTGTGATGAGTTAGGACGGTTTTGAAGTCTACGAAGTCGTCAGGTTTTACTGTGACACCAAAGTATTTTTTGACTAGGATGGTGAAACCGTAAGTCTCGTGGGATATCTGAAACAGTAGAAGTTAGGGTTGTAAATATGTTATAGTAGATGTGATTACGGTATGACTAGAGTGAATTTAGAAAAGTATAGGGCTGTGTAAAGTAGAGTAAATTGGGGTATGGTAGGTTAGTGTAAGATAGAGTAGGGTAAGGCAAAGTAGAGTAGATATGAACTTACCGTATAATACATAAGCCATTGTAATCTAACTTTAAAGCTTTGAATTGACAATCCATTTGAATTGGCAGCTTCTACAATAGTTTTTAGGCCATTTACAGTCCTTTCTAACTCTCTGTCCAAGTATTTTTCACCCTAAAAAAAAATATTACCTTTGAGTTTGTGTAAAGAAAGTTATTGCTATTTTAAAAAAATCTTTTTTCAAACTTACAAAATTTTCGAACCGATAAAAGAATCCGCCATCTAAAATCAGTCGCTTTGCGTTAGGATTCAGTTGTTTTAGTTGATGGAAAGCAGAGTTATACTTGGCTAACTGATCACCATCTTGATTCAATAGCACATCCAAGGCTACAACATCACCGGTTGAAACTTTTGGAACACCATTGTTCAGTAACTCTTCTAATCTTGGTGTGAAAGCAAAGAATCTTGCTGAAATATACTAGTTATATAGTGAATCTTTACCGTTTTGGCATTGTATTAATTTTTAAAAGTTTCAGTTATTTAGGAATTTAGGTGGGCGTTAGATTAGAGCCAATTAGTTACTGCATTTTCTATTTTTTTCAGAAAAATTACAATCGGATTACTAAGAATTTGCTGTAGTAATACACAGATTTCTAGAACAACTATTTCTAAGAATCTGCGGCAGTAATACACATATTCCTAGAAGAACTAAGCTACAACAAAAAAGTATGATCTATTAAAAAAGGTTGAGAAAAACGTGTTTTATGTTTTTGTTTACTGTGAAGAAAACGTTTAATGATTGTAGATAAAACATTTTTATTTTCAAGCAAAAGAGATCATTAAACGTGAGACACAACAGACAGGCAAAAGTGACGGTTAAGAAAAAAATTAGAAACCCCATACGATATACATTGCGATTTTCTTTACTGTACCCTATAGCATATCTCATAATCTACCTATGACTTACCTTTTACTTTATTCAAAGTCTATCTTGAGTAAAGACAAAATCTATCTGATACTTACCATGTCTAAACTTACAGCATATGGCTTATCTTTTTGCTCTTATTATAATTGTCTTACATGTTAGTATCTATCTTATGTCGCTTTATATTTTATCATATCACATTAGGTCTTGTTCTAAGCATCACAGTGATTTACTATATGTAGTTTATCATTTATAGTGTACTATCTACCCTACTTATGTTTATCTCATACTCTTTCTTATGCCATATATCTAAAGAAAGCCGTTTATAATATAAAAAAGCTACGTTTTCAGTTTATATAGATAAATATAGTTAATTAAAATATATTCAAAACAATGAATATAGTATAATTAACTAAAAATGATATAGACGTTTAAACCAAAATATAATAACTCACCATCAACGTGCTCTAACCCAACAATCAGAACACATAGCAAACCTAACCTCGACGACATGACGTTGATGGAAATTAAACTATCCTTTTTTCAACCTTTCCTTTATGTTCCTGTTTTTAAACGGAAAATTAACAACCATGAAAGAAGGTACGACGTAAAACCCGTCAGGTAATTCTTTCAAAAATGCTTTGTAAAAAACATATGATTCGAAATCTGCGTCAAAGGTGGAGGTTTTAATTTAAAACACAACTAATTTGAGCTAATCATGTTGTCTTGACTTTTTGAAATTAGATTATTTTAATTTTTTGTTTGTTTTTTCAAGCATTTTTTAAACTTCATAAATTCAACGGCATGCCCTTTACTCAATACAAAAGCATCTACGATGTCTTGTTTACTTTAATTAGTACGTTATTGATTTGGTTTTGTTGATTTTGATTAAAAATTCAGTAAAAGGAAGACTTGAGCTAGCGCTGCTGCTAAGGCCGTGGCAAAGGTTGTAGAATCGGTAGAGTTGGAAAGGATAGTACAAGTTACTACAGTACTCTCTCTATATAAGCAACCCGAATTGACCGACATTTTGTGTTTACTATAAGAGGTGTTGTCTTTACAGAGGGACTTTTTAGTGCAAATTGACTTGGTGGGGTAAAATTTCTTTTTTATTATAAGGAGTGTTGCTTATACAGATGGTTCACTATATAGAGAGACCACTGTATATTATAGGCCCAGAGCAAAGAACAAGGTTGAGTGATTACATAAAAAAATGGTATCAATAGGGTTGGGGTATATAATACTACAGTAGTACAGGACAAATGGCTTGAGTAGATGGTAGATCAAACGCAGAAACGTAAAGCTAAAAGAAAAGCTATCGTAAGCTAGGTAGAGTACAACAAGGTCAGCGCTAAGATCAAAGCTAAGACTTCAGTTAGGGCTAGTGTTAAAGCTAAAGCTTACATTGTTAGGGCTAGGGCTTTTGGGCATAATTTTTGCTTTTATTATCAAATTCGAGTTGTATTTGGTGCAATTCTCTATTAAGGCCTGCTGGATATTTAGTGAAACTCTCTGGTTAATGTAAGACGGTTACCATAGCAACAATATTTTTATTTCTCATTGCTATAAAATTGCCTCAGGGTTGTATTGGTTTAATTACAAAGCTAACGGCACTTTTTGTTCGAATTTTGTGGCCACACGCGTGGAGTGTAAGTGTGTATGTAAGCCGTTACATGTTAGGATGTAAAGATGTAAAGCTTTTTACAATAAACAACATTTAGTGTAATGTTATCTGTTACTGTGGAAAGTACTGTACAATATTGTAATAGCATTTTTATAGGTTTTACCGTACGTTTTTACATTTACGTTGAAAATTTTACGATCTCAGTAAAAATATGTTGGAATATGTTTTTACTGAGTAGGGTTTAATGTAAAATATCAGAAAAATGTAAAATATAATGTGACATGTAACTGAAATGACATTTAAATACAAAAATTAAATGTAACATACCATTTTGACTTACCATATCTATTTTTTACCATACAGTAAAAACTGTTCACTGCCACAGCCCCACCACCACATTACACACCTATAAACTTATATTACACTACCACACGCAGTGCTTTACATCGACATACGATACCTTTACATCGAGTGTAATTTACATGCGTTAAATAATAAAAACACGTTACTTTACACTGTAAACTAGCCATATGACACTGTAAATTGGCCAGATGACACAGTAAAATTGAATAAAACACGGTAGAAATCAAAGGATGATACCCTAAGGGTAATGAGTGGCGTTTTACATGTCAAAGACTATGGTAATTAGCATTGACATCTCCGCGTGTGGCCAAGCAATCCAGGCCAAGATACCAAGGTAGTTAATTTGTGATGTCTTTTGTGGTGTAATAAGGGGTTGGCATGGCAACGGTAGTTTGAAAGTCGTTATTTATTAGTAATAATGCGATTTGGATAAAACTATGGGTATAAGTAAGGCTATAGCTAGGTTATAAGTAGGGCTATAGCTGGTTTATAACTACGGCTACAGCTATTAGCTCGTGATAGGGCTTGGGTTTGAACTAGGGCTAAAATTAATAAGAAAAGTACCCGACCTGCCTGGCTCTGATTGATTTCAAACTATTTATATAGTAACATAATGTAAATATAAGAACTTCAGAAAAGCACTTGATCGTGCTTTTCAGTCTATCTCGAGAAAATCGAGATTAAAAAATTACGTTTTGAATTTCCCGCCAAATTGGCATTGTGTTTCAAGCTTATAACTCTCTCTTTTGTCTATTTTTAATCATTTTTCTTTGATATACTTGAAAAAAAAACTATTAAATAGATCTACATTGTTTAATTTGTAAGCGTTGCTTGCCTGGAAAGTCGAAAAAAGTGCATGAAACACAATGCCAAGTTTGCCAACTTTTTGAGAAATTCAAATAATTAAAATTTAAACCTCAAAAGCGCCAGCCGAAATTTGTTGTGTACTATTGATGATACAAAGAATTGATGTTAAAATTTTTAACTGATTCTGAGCCGAGCAGGTTGGGTTTTCTTATCCTTGTAAGCAATAAATCGAAATACACGAAAAATTTAAATTTATTGATAAAAAAGATGAAATTAACCAAAGATATTCATTATTATCAACAAAAAAAGCCAAGGTTCACAACATATGAAGATTTATTGAAAGGTCTATTTCTGTTTGCAATTTCAAAATACGCAAGATTTTGGGAAAAATTTGAAAAAATTTTAAATTTTTTCAGTTTAGAAATTTAATTTTTTTTCAAAATCTGAGAAGTTTTTTCAAAATTCGAAAAGTTTTTCAAAACGTGAGATTTTTTCAATATTTGTTTACTATAATATTATAGTTCTTTAATTACCGTGACGTATTTTATTGTGTAAAAAAGTTTATTACATAGTAATAGAAAACCCATTGTGATAAAGTAAATACAAAATATATTGTTACAAATTTCGAGCAAATGGATCATAATGAGTAAGTGGCTGATTGAACCGATTACGAACGCAAGTCCCCCAAGTGCCAAATACACAAGGCACGCCAATCGAATTGTGCATAAAAATGAGTCCTGATGATAAGAGCTGAAATCAAAATAAAAAAATTATTAGTAGTACTGTAGAGTGTTCTAAGAGCCTGAGCGTTATGAAGTTCCGAGTTAGAGGCTTAGGTCCCGTAACGAAAGATTTTATTAGCAAAAATGTTATGGGGTAGAGCAGGGTAAGTGTTACTAACCTTGTACTCAGTATACCCTTGTCCAGTCATAACCCCAGAAGTCTCAAACAAACGACCACTTTTAGTCCAGCCAGTCTCTGAGGGTTTATAGACCCTAATGTAAGTTCTTGAGCTACACGTTCCACGGACACGGTAATTGTGTGTTTCTCCTTTTGTTGTGAATTGAAAACTAAGGTAACGTAAAAGTTTTAAAATGCAAAGTTTATTAGCTTATTACTTTTTATACAACTAACTATAATATTTAGCACTTACTCCGGTGACAACGCTCCATTAGGTTCTTGAATCTGAACTATCAAGGGTATGTCAACTGGACCAACATACTCAATTCGAATTTCAAAATCACAGCCATCTACTATACTAATAAGCAACAGTGCAACCGCACAATTCAGCCACATGTTTGAATATATAAAACTATCAAAAATCGCTTTGAAACTAGTTCTATCCTGATTAATAATGTCATGATTCACACATTTTTCACTTATTATTAATAATTTGCGTCTATCACAACATTTGCAAATACTTTTTTGATGAAAGAAGCGCCATAGTTTGTTTGTCAAAAAATTAAAATTTTTCTAGCTTTGGAGACGAAGCTGCTATGGAGCCAAAGACGACCTCCGAGGTCTTGTATCACGGGGCAGCTGTGGCTCCGGAGCTAGAGCGACAATTCCCCGAAGCCGGCACGACCTCAAAGCTGGAATTAAAATTTCAAAAAAGTGGATTTGGAGCTGAATCGAAAAGCAGCAATTTTAAATTTCTAAACTCTGATTATCACTATTTCTATTTATTTTTCAACCGATAAAACTTTTTTTTCTAATTTACAACATTCTATAATAAACATACAACTTATTTTTATTTTAGCTTTACAACCTTTTTAGCATTATAATGAGTAGTTAAAGTAGACCTACATTAAGATTTTATACAATTTTTGTTATCTTTAATATATATCAGCTAGACGATGGCAAATGGCAACAATTAAAATTAGATATGTTAAAAAAAATAAAATATCAAAAGCAGTATCAGACTAGAAAGAAGTTCTACAAACTCGGTTAATAATTAGCCATATGACACAGTGAAATAGTAAATTAAAAATAATATTCAACTACAATTTACAATTTTGCCTTTTTCTTCTCCAGAAGCCGCAAATCTTTCCTCAGAATCTTTCCAGCTGGACTACGAGGAATCTCTTTCACAAACTCCACACCACCTTTCAAATGTTTGTAGTGCACGGTACGTTCAGCGACGAACGCTTTCACATCCTCTACACTCAACTTATCAGATTTTCGTACGACAAAAGCTTTGGGTAGTTCACCGGCCATTTGATCTGGTATACCAATTACAGCTGCGTCAGCAATATCAGGATGTGATACTAGAATGCCTTCGAGTTGAGCTGGAGGAACTTGAAAACCATTCACCTTGATCAACTCTTTTAGTCTGTCAACAATGTAGAGTAGGCCGCTTTCGTCTTGGTACCCAATGTCACCTGAAAATGTTATTTCATTGTCTATAACAATAGTCTAAAAAGAATTAAATACTAAAAGGGAACAGGAGGGAGAGAACTTAGGCTTAAAAAGCGACCACTAGGCTTGGCCTTGGCATGACCCAGCCCTGGGCCAAGCCCAAAAAGAGGTTTTAAAACAAGCCAACCTGCCGCAGGTGGGCCACAACAAAAAGGCGCAAACCCATATGCAGCTTACGGGCCGGGCCGACAAAAATTTAAAAAGAGCCGGTTTAGAACATGTGACCCGAGGGTCAAAGACCATACCAAAGCCCAATCCGTAAGCCGAGCCAAAATGAATTTAAAAAAGACCTGAGCTGGGCCGGAACAATCATGAGATTTAGTTCAAAGTTCAAAAACATTTTTTAGTCCCGCTTCTTATTCCATTGCGTGTCTATAACAAAACACCTACCAGTATGAAGCCACCCATTAATAATCGTCTTCTTTGTTGCATCAGGTTTGTTCAAATACCCAACCATAACATTAGGACCCTTAATACAGACTTCACCCTCTTTGCCTATCGGCATTTCCTCCCCGGTTTCTGGATTCTGAATCTTTAATTCCATGTTTGGAGCCAATAGCCCAACTTGAGAAAAGTTGTTTTTAGTAACGGCCAAAAAGTGGCTACCAACCGTGCACTCTGTCATACCGTAGCCTTGACCAAGAACACGTAGATTTGGGTATCGTTGAAAGGCTAGCTCACAAATGTCGGAACCTAATGGAGCTGCACCAGATTGGATGACTTCCAAACTGCTTAGATTGTACTTTTTGACAAGTGGGTGGTTAACTAGGAGTAAGATGATCATTGGGACCAGAAATTGGACTCTGACCTGAAATAATTGGGTTTTACAAATTTTTGCTTGGGCTAGTGCTTTGTACTAGGGCTCTGAGCTATCAAGGGCACGGAGTTAACTTACTTTAAAATCTTGGATTGTTTTACAGAACAGCTCAAAATCAAATTTTTTAAGTAGCACTATTGTTGTTCCTCTGATAAGTGTGTTCAAGCTGACACAACAACCGTACGCATGAAACATTGGCATTAGCAAACATATTGTTTCTTTGCCCATGTCAATTTCCAAGTCTTTCATTAGTTGTTGGTCGTAGTAGCTGTAAAAATCAAGTTTGTTTGATTTAGTACTTTAATTTGTACTCTTTTGCATTTTTAAAACAATGTTTAACTTTTTCTTATGCAAACAAGCTTACAAAACCTCTAGACAAAAATATATACTTACGTCTCAATAGCTTCTAACATTGCCACCATGTTACGATGACTTAGCATAACCCCTTTCGGGTCTCCAGTAGTACCAGAGCTGTATGGAATCAGCACTAAATCTGTTTCAGGGTTGATCCGAGGCTGCGCCAGTCTTCTTGGCTTTGTTTTCAGCACGTCTGAGATGGTCGTAACACCGTGAGCATGTGCATTGCTTATCACGATTAATTTTATATTATTCAAATCCTTAGTTGCATTTTGTACCCGTTTCAATGTCTCTTCCCCACAGAACACAACATTAGCCTTGCAGTCCAAGATTTGCCTTTTTAGTTCGAATGATGTGTAATCGGGGTTAGCTCCACTCAATGCTCCACCTCTGCATGCGACCGCGGCCAGTATCACTATGTATTGCCAAGAGTTTGGCGCGGCAATTAGAGCTACATCACCTTTTTTGAAGCCAATATTGTCGAGGTAGGTCTCAACAGACTGTACATGTTCATACAATTGCTTGTACGTTACAGAATTGTGGTGATCTTCAGCTGCTATAAAGGCTTTCTTATCTGGACATTCTCGGAGTTTGTTCTTGAGGTGGTTCATCAGGTACTCATTAAATGAGACCTTTGGCACGTCAAACTTTCCTAGGCGCGAGGGAGTCGGCATTTTTTAAGCTGAAATTTAAAAAACTTAAGTTAATACTGTGAAAATGACAAACGCACATATATTACACGCCGAAAACGATGGGCAAGAGTAAAAAATAGAGCAGTGTAAAAATTTTTTGGTTGTGAAAAGTGTAAGGATAAATCTTATGCTTTTTTTTGCTTCACACAAGCTTTTAAAAATCAAATTAACAAAAAAGTACTCAACATGCCAAATAAAACATGCTTAAAAAGAACGTTTTCTTATGAAAAACAGATCGCCAATCAAACGTTAAAACAATCTAAATACGAACTAACTTTATTTATTGTAGCGTGTCAAGCAAATAGTTCGATTATCACAGCGTTTAAACTAAGGGTGGTGTCTTATCTTTGAAACGGCTTTTTTAAAGAAATTTTTTTAAATTTTATCAAATTTTAAACCATAAAACTTTATTAAAAAAATACATTTTAGCCGTACAAAATAATAAAAAAAACCATAAAATAATAAATATAAACGGAACTATGTTAATTAGCTTACATAAAAAAATTGCCTCGTAGGGGCGCTTTCGTCTAGCTGCAAAATCCCCTCTCATTGCAAAACCAAGCAATAACTAAATATACAAAGTTCTGTATACGCACGACTTTCGCGCAATGCCAATCATGCTTGGTAAGACATGCAGCGTTGTTTATGTGTGAATGCTGCACTGGGGTCACTTGGCGATTTTGGGCGGTGTTTTAGATCAATGATCTTAAACTCAACGCACCCTGTTGTAACAAAGATATGATTTGTTAATAAGGCATGCTTATGAAAGTAATTATAAAAGAAATATTTTATATAGCGGGCCTCAGTTTCAGTCTCAACGTTAGCCTTAGTCCCAGCCTTTGCCTTAACCTTAGCCTTAAAAATATTAAAATTATGGCATGTAAACTACAGTTTTGCTACTGACAATAAGATGCAGTGGTTTCTCTATATAGTGAACCATCTGTATAAGCAAATCTCCTTATAGTAAACAAGAAATGTGGCTTCGCCAAGTCAATTTGCACTACAAAGCTTCTCTGTAAAGGCAACATCTTTTATAGTAAACACAAAACGTCGGTCCCTTCGGGTTGCTTATATAGAGAGAATACTGTAGATTTTTTATAGTGTGAACAAAATTACCGTATTCATGAGTATCAAAGCTTAAAGTAACAGTAAATCAAGTTTTGCAGCTAATATAAAGCATGAAACCTAAATCACACGACTTTAAATTGTTTTTAATTATACCATGATGATTTTATTGTTGTGATGTATCTTTTGAGTTTTGTGGTTGTGTCATTATCTTGCATATGGAAGGTCTTTCTCTCTCCAAAACACAAATACACATTTTGTAGTTTGCTCATTCAAGTTGCGATAAACAGGGGAAAATTCATTGATCTGTCAAAAAGTTTGTCAATTTGATGGATAACAAGTGTAAAAACTGGGTATCAAGCAATATTTTGTTGACAAAGAAAGGAGTAGTTATGTTGCGACTTTTTTTTGACTTGGTAGGTTTGGGGAGGGATATAGCTAGGAGTATGGAGGAAAAAGGGTGGATAAGAGTAGATTTATCCTTCTAGAGTCTAATCGAAAAAATTTAACAAATATAGCAGGGTAGCAGAAGGTAGTACAGGGTAGGAATAATGAAGGGCAGAGTAGAATAATTTGTTTTAAAAAATGGATGCACAGGTCATACGTAGTTTACTAGTAATTCGTAGGTATGTTGCAGCTTCATAATTGATCTCTTTTTGCTTCATTTTGTGTTTTGGTTTCAAAATTGTTTGAATCTAACCAAAAATATCATAAAATAAAACGGATTGACGTTTGTGTTTTGTAGGCAGGATTGTATATTGTAGTCTAGCATCGTATAAATAGAAATGCATTTTTCAAGTTTGCAGAGTACTTTTTTCCGTTTTTCAATTGTGTCGCTGTGTAAATTGAGTTAACATTAAATCCTAGGTAATCTCTTTACAAAACAAATCGTGTTTGAAGGTGATTATAGTGAATAGTTTTTGGCCAGCAGAATCTTTTTAGTAAGGTTTCACTGTGATATACGTTTGAATGGACTTAAAAGATCATGTATAGGTTAGAAACAGTAGAAGAAGGTTAGGATCCTGGGCTAGGGCTTTGGACTAGGCCTCTAGGCTAAGACTCCGGGCTAAAAATACGGTTCTGAACTAGTGCTCTGGGAGCTGACCAGTGTTTGCATGGGCTCCGGAGCCGCTCCGGCTCCGGAGTCGGAGCCGGAACTAAAATTCGAAAATGGTCGGAGCCGGAGCTGGAGCTTGATTTTTTTTTGGCACGGCTCCGGCTCCGCACATTTTTTTTTTCTTTTTTATTTTTTTTTGCTGGGAGAAAAGAAGGGCGGGGCGGGGCTTACGCCTTTCTCCCGAAAAGCGCTTTTTCTTCTCCTTTTCAAAAAGAAGGGCGGACTTACGGGTGCTTTTTCGGGAAAAGAGGACAAAAAACTTTTTTTTGCGATTTGTTGTGATATATTTCCCAAAAAGAAGAGAAACGAAAGAAAAGGAGAACGTGATAATATGGCGAAATGGATAAAGCGTTATCCATCGGTGTTGCACTCGCAGGTTCGAACCTCGCTGCGTGCAAACGCTTATTGCTTTTTGTTTGATTACAAAGAATGCTCTAAAAACACCACTAATAATATACTAAAACTTAATTACGACGCGACTTTAGGCAGACCAGGCCGGGTCAAAGAAAAATTACAAACTTTTAGCTAGATTTACATTCAATCCTTTTACTAGCCGCATTTAGCTACTAGATTCAGCCAACATGAAACAATTCTTTAGCAGATTGCAAGCAGTAGCTCAGTCCAAGTTTTGCAAATCTAAACGTGTTGGTCAGGCAAAAAAGGCTAATAGGGTTTAATAGTTCGTACACAAAGTAAAGTTTAACTTTGTTATGTTAAATTATATTTTTTTTGTTATATCTTTCAATTTCTTACAATAAATATTGTTATATATGGCAAAACACGTCAATAACACCAAATTTAACGGTTTTTAAACATTTTTTTAAAAAATCTGACCCGGAGCCGGAGCTGACTAAAATAAGGGCTCCATAGCCCGGAGCCGGAGCCCACTTTGAAAAAAGGTCGGGGCCGGAGCCGGAGAGGAACCAAAAATTTCAAAAATGCAAACACTGGAGCTGACAAAGAAATTATCCTGCCTGTCCCGCTCAGAATCAGCTCAAAGTTGTTATACTAATTTTTTGTGCCACCAATAGTACCCATAAAAAATTTTAGCTTGCGTTTTTGTGTTTTAAATTTGAATTATTCCGGTTTTCCTCTAATTTGGCAAATTTGGCATTGCGTTTTAAGCACTTTTTTCGACTTTCTAAGCAAGCTACGCTTACAATTGCAAAAAGTAGGTTGATTTAAAGATGTTTTAGTAGTATATTAAAGAAAAATTCTTGAAACTCGTAAAAGGACAAAGTTATATGCTTAAAACACAGTGCCAATTTGGTGGGGAATGGCAGATCGAGGCACTTTCCTTGTGAGCTAGGGCTACTTTTCTTGTCGACAATACAAATCTCGAACTTTTTTTAGGTTTTTTACAGACTAAAACTTCAAAAATCATTGTTATAGGAATATGTCATTATCAGGAAAAATTGCTCTAGTAACTGGTGCATCTCGCGGTATAGGCAAAGGTATTGCGGTAGAGCTTGGCGCGGCCGGAGCCACTGTTTATGTTACCGGTCGCTCACCTGACGCCGCCTTGAACTTCCCGAACACAACCAGCTTAACTGAAGTGGCAGATGAAATCACGAAGAAAGGTGGTAGAGGCATAGTAGTCTACTGTGATCACAGTAAATCTGATGACGTTAAACAGTTGTTCGAACGTATCAACAAGGAACAGAACGGTCGTCTTGATGTGCTGATTAACAATGCTTACGCTGCCGTTCAGTACATTGGGAAGAACGTTGATAAGAAGTTTTTCGAGTATAGTGATGAGCCTGAATACGCATGGGACGTGGTGAACAATGTTGGGTTGAGGAATCACTACATTTGCTCAGTATATGCTGCAAGAATGATGGTGAAGAACAAGAGTGGCTTCATTTGTACTGTCAGTTCGCCTGGAGGCATTAAACATCTCTTCAATATTCCTTATGGCGTGGGGAAGTCTGCGGTGAGTTGTTAGTTATGACAATAATGTAATTTAAAAAATAGTTTATAACAGAATTTTTTGAAAAGGGCGGGGTTTTTTTAATTATTTTTGAAGGGGCAGGGTAATTTTTTAAAATTATTTTTGAAAAAGCGGGCTAGTTTTTAAAATTTCTTTTTTCAGTGCGACAGATTAGCTGCTGATATGGCTTTTGACTTACAAGACCATCGTATTACGTCTATGGCTTTATGGCCTGGGGCCGTTAAAACTGAAATTATTGAACAAACAATCTTGTCCGGTCATGGAAAGGTGCGGTAACTTGTGTTTTTTATAGTTTATGGCGGAGTTGGCTACGCCAGACTATTCTGAGGTGGTACAAGATAGGGTAGAGTACGGTAAGGTAGAGAGAGTTAGGTAGTGTAATGTTGGGTAGGGTAAAATTCAATAGATTGGTTGTATAAAGTTGAATAGAATGGAGTAAGGTAGGGTGTGGGAAAGAGTTGGGTAAGTCGACAGCTAGGGTATGGCTGACGGTAGGACATATCGGAGGCTAGAGCAGGACTAGGGTTAGGGTATAACAGAAGCGAGGGTAAGTTGAAAACTAGGGTATGACTCACGCTAAGATATAATGGAGGCTAGCCGGGGACTGAGGCTAAGGTGTGGCTGACTTTAGAACATGGTTGAGGCAAAGAGAGACTAAGGCTACGTTATGGTTGGAACTGTGACATGGCTGAAGCTAAGGTTAGGGTAGGATTGCTAAAATAATGAAAGTTTCAAAGAGTTACTGTTTCCAGACCGATCCAGCAATTTTTGAAGGTGGAGAGAGTATTTACTTTGCTGGCAGATGCTTGGCCGCAATCATTCCTCGCCAAGACAGCTTTAACAAATATACCGGTAGAATTGTCTTGACCGACGAAATTGCTAATGAACACAATGTTATTGATGCTGATGGAAGTAAGTGTCATATTTTGTAAAAATTTTACGAAAAGATAAATTTTATTAAAAAATGATTTAAAAACGATTTTTTAAACTTTTTTTTTGAATTTTTAAAATTTTTTGTTTTTTGAAATTTTTAAAATTTGGTTTAAAATGCTAGTGCTAAGAATGTTTAATGTGCCTATTTATGTTTATGTTCAGCTCGACCTCGAAACCAATATTACACTCGTCAAAAGCAGTTTGCTGATATGATAAACGCCGTGCGGACTGCCGATATTAAAAAAGCCTCAATCTAAATACGTATTTAATACAGATTAATAAATGTCATGTAAATTAGTACCATTTTACTCAGTTTTTATAAAATATGACTTTTGATATTATATGTTAAAAACTAACAACTTTAAAAATTGGATTTTTAAAGATAACAAGCGCAATATGACCTATCAGAACTAAAAAGTAACTAAAACTATGAAGAACTAAAGCTCTTTATCAAAGAATTAAAAGTTTATTTACTAAAGGTATTGTCCTTGATCAAATTTTCAGTGTTACTAAAATGTTGATCTTCTTGGTTTTTAACTTTATTACCTTCTGTTATACTCTCCCAGTCAAAGATGAGGCTACCATCCCTGTGGCTTTGAAGCAGAGTACGTTATTATATAATTAGCCGTAGCTTAAGTTCTAGTATTCTTATCTTTAGCCATTTTTATTTAGAACCGTACTACACAATAAAAGTTGGCGTAGGAACTCCTCCGCAATACTTGAATCTAGTGTTGGATACCAGTTCAGCTCATTTCTTAATACTTGATGGGATTCTAAGTACGCAGGTTGGTAAGGATGTCAATACTTTTAAACCATTGTAAGTCTTTTTTATGTGGCGTGGGTTTTTATAGCTTTAGCTTTAACTGTAGCTTCGGCTTTAACTCTAGTTCTAGCTCTAACTCTAGCTCTAGATCTAGGTCTAGCTTTTGTATTAGGTTTAGGTCTAGCTCTACATCTGGTTCTAGGTTTAGATCTAGCTGTATTTTTAACCTTATAGCCGAACTTTTCAATATAAAAAACAATTTTAATGGCAAAACTATCATCATCTAACATGAATTGATCTAAAAACTAAATTTTTAGGCAATCCTCAACCTTCCATCTAGACCACGATTTATCCTCTTTCTTCCTTGACACCTACCGCAACCTATACCTAACAGCAGTACGTGCTACAGAAACAGTGACAATCAACGGCTTTAAAGTCAAAAATCAAAAGATAGAGCTAGTCAAAAGCCTAAAAGTCATTGATAACTCTACCTTCCCCAAGATCGATGGTGTTCTAGGTATTGGCTTCAAGCTAAGTGAAAGTCCTTACAAATATTTTGACTTTACTTCGCCATTCCATGACTATGTCAAATCAGTAGATTCTGTTTTTACTGTCTATAACAGGCCTGATGTCAAGGATAATACTAAGTCGGCTGGAGTTATTACATTGGGCAGGGACACTGAAAATTGTGGCGAAAAATGGGTTCGCCCGAGAATTTCATGGCTACCTCAACAGGCTTGGGTCTTTACTGTTAATGGGTAAGTCACATTTTGAAATGGCAGTTTTATGCTTGTTTAGGTTGAACAATCAATTTTAATTTTAAAAAATAAAAAATTTTTTTTGAATATTAATTTTTTTTAAATTTTGAAATTTGAACTTTTTTACATTTCCAGATACATGGTAGGCAACGTCGGCTACCGTCTAGACCCAAAAACTGGTGTAACCTTAGACTCAGGCCTAGAAGCTAGTATAATACCAAAAGAAGCAGTTGAGAACATGGCCAAACACTGGAATTTAAAAAAAGAAGGAGACAACTATTACATAGAATGTGACAAAGTCAATGATCTAGCCTACTTCACATTGATTGTCAGCTACCCGAATGAATTAATTGAAATTTTGCCGAAACGAATGTTTAAAAAAGTAAGTTTCGAAGCCTTATCTCAAGTCCCTAGCTCATATTAGAGCCCTAGTTTAGAGCCCTAGCTCAAAGACCTATCTAGAGCCCTAGCTCAGAGACCTATCTCGAGCCTTAGTTCAGAGCCCAGAGCCCAGAGTCCTAGCTCAGAACCCTAGCACAGAGTCCTGGCCCAGAGCCCTAGCCCAGAGTCCTAGCCCAGAGCCCCAGCCTAGAGCTCTAGCCCAGAGCCCTAGCCCATACCCCTATTCTAGAGCCCTAGCCCAGAGCCCTAGCCCAAAGCCCTAATCCAGAGCCCTAGCTCAGAGTTCTAGCCCAGAGATTTAGCCCAGAGCCCTAGCCCATAGCCCTAGCACAAAGCCCTAACCCGAGAAATCTAGCCCAAGAGCTCTAGCCCAGAGCCTTATTCCGAGAGCCCTAGCGCAAAAGCTCTAGCTAAAAACCCTGCTTCTATACTTAACCATTTCCGTAGCCTTTTCCTAGCCTTGCCCTAGCTCTAGCAAAAACCTTAACCTGCCTTATGTTTTTCGCGAGCCGTGGCTCTATAATAGCTCTAGCTTTGACTCTACCTAACTCTAGCCCTGTCACTAGCTATTTTTCCTGACCACACTAGCTTTTATCTTCAAATTCATAGCAAATATGTGATTTCAGACGAGTGACAACAAGTGCCAGCTAAATGTAAATCCAGGAGTTGGTGTTTTTACGATCAACAATGATTTATTGATCGATCATTGTCAGTACTATGATGTAGACACGAAAGTGCTTCAATTTGCTCCAGTCAAAACTTAAAAATCTTATTTTTTAAACTGGATTTAGGGTTTTACATTTTTTAGACTTATAAATTGACTTTTACAAAATTTTAAAATTTCAAAATAAAAAAATCTGTCGAAACTGATAAATATTAATATTTATTGACCCATTTTGTGTTGCAAACGTTGCTGTAAAAGTGATTATTGTACAAATGTAGTTGTTATTGGCTGAGACCTGATTCGAAGCGGAAAGCTCATTCGATATAAATGTCTTCGGTGGGATGGGCGAATGCCATGTACTCGTCGTAGGAACGTTTGAAGGCACGTCTGAAAACGTTTTCGTATAGATTTTCAAATATTAAAGGCCGGTAAGACAGGGTTAGTTAGAGCAAGGTAGAGTAGAGTAGAATATGTTAGAGTAGGATAGAACAAGGTAAGATAAAATCAGGTAAGGTAGGCTAAAGTGAGTGTAAGATAGAGGAAAGAAGGGCAGGGCAGGGCAGGGCAAAGGCAGGGCAAAGGCAGAGCAAAGGCAGGGTAAGGCAAGGCGAGGCAAGGCAAGGCAATGCAAGGCAAGGCAAGGCAAGGCAAGGCAAGGCAAGGCAAGGCAAGGCAAGGCAAGGCAAGGCAAGGCAAGGCAAGGCAAGGCAAGGCAAGGCAAGGCAAGGCAGGGCAAGGCAAGGCAAGGCAAGGCAGGATAGGGCAGAGTAGAGTAGGGTAAGTTAAGGTATCGTAAAGTAGGATACGATAGAGCAGGGTAAGGTAAAATTATGAACGTTTTTCAAAAATTGTCGTGCATGGTGTTCAATAAACCTACCCAATGGACTCAACGATAGGTTGAGTTGAAGATTGTGACAAAAACACATGACATGCGAAGCGAGGCAGTAGCGGATGTTTGGTCAGGAACCCAAAGTACCGTAGTTGCGTGGGATGAGCACCACAAAACGATATGTTTTGCAGCGAATAAAAGTAGTCAAAGGTTGGGCAGCGGAAGATCTGAAAATTTTGAAATAAGTTTTTTTTATTTTTAAAAACAAAAATTTAAAAAAATTATAATGTTTTAAAAAGTATCAGACTAGCACACCCTAAAATTAAATAAATAAGGGGGGGAGGGAAAATATAAAAATTTTTTTTCATTTTTTGTTTTGTAAAGAAAGTTCTTGCCATTTATCAAAAAACAACTGTTTTAAAAATCAGGTAAAGGCCAAAAACATTAGTATGGTACGGTTTAGTATGGTATGATAATCTTAAATTAAAATTGTTTTAAAAACTTAAACCCACATCTTTTTTCCTTTTGTCGATAATATGAATTCCACGGAATGACACTTCCATTAGCACGGTTTGAGGCACCAGTATTTCTTCTTTTCTCTGATACATTTCACAGACTTTGTTGATGGCCTGGACCAACACATCATTACCTTTATGATGTGCTACTTCTACTGAAGCCAACATAGTAAGGTAAAATGTGTCTCGCTCTGATGAGCAGGGGGTTTTTTCTGAAATTGGAAGATTAAAAAATATTTTTTTTTATTTTCTTTAATTTTTTGTCATTTTTTTGTGTGGTAAAACACTAGAAAAGTCTTGTCGTCAAGTTACAAGTCTTTTAAAAGAAAAAAACGACAAAACTTTCTTTTCCGCTGTATTATATTTTCTAACGTGCCATTTTTAAAAGCATGCAAAATATTTTTAAAAAAATTTTTTTTGAAGTTTTGTTACCTAAAATTCAAATTACCCTACCCTACTCTACCCTACCCTACCCTACCTTATCCTACAATACCATACCCTTGCCCTATCCTTGCTCTACCCTTGCCCCACTTTTGCCTTACTCTTGCCCTACCATACCCTATCTGTGCTCAATCCTAGTTCTACCCTTGCCCTATCCTTGCCCTATCTTTGCCCTACCCGTGCCGTACTCTTGCCTTACCATTTCTTTTTTTTGCCTACCCTTGGCTTACTTTCTCTCTACAACCACTTGGCTTTATTATACCACAATATAAGATTGACTCACCTGGACCACCAGTATTAAGAACACTATTACTGATCTCTTCAATCAGATCAATCTCGCAAACATGAGCAGCCGGGAACAGTCCAGTCTGGCCTGTTCTCAAATTCGTACCATAGCACCAATGGTCCTCGTATTCCCGATCCACCCTTAACGCATCCCCCACCTCCATCAATACTTCATCGTCGTGCCGTGGGACGAACGTGAATTGAGCACGGTGAGTAGGACCGCCCGAGGGGTTGGGGTCGGATGTGAAGGATGAGATACCCGATGAGTCTTCGGCGTTGTAGCCATGTTTCTGATCGAATATTGTGGTATTACCGTTAATACCGTCTTCATAATAGCTGTCTTCTAAGCCATAGTTGGTCGTGGATCGGACTAACGACTGGTCGATACCGTAGCTAAGTTGATACTCATGTCGGTGACCGGCTTGGGAAGCCATGGTGCCTCGAGGCACGACTTGATTTGTTAGGTGGGGACGGGGAATGTACTTGGGAACTGAAAAGGAAAATTAAACATAAATGTGATATGTTTATGTTAACGTAGGCTAGCAAAGGAGTAGGGGAGTGGATTAGGGCTCTGGGTTAAAACTAGCACTAGGACTAGTTCTAAGTCTCTATGCTAGCGCTAAAACTAGGACTGTGGGCTAAGGCTCTGGGCTAGGGCTCTGGGCTAGGCTTCTGAGCTACGCTAGGCTTCTGAGCTAGGGCCCTGGGTTAGGGCTCTGGGCTACGGCTCTGGGCTAGGGCGAACTCTAACCTAGCGCTCTGGACTACGGATCTAGACTAAATCTAGACTAGGATCAGGAATAGGACTAGTGCTTAAGCTTCAGCACTTACCAGTCGGAACGTTGCTAGACGAGCCCGGCTGTGGATTCCCATACATATTATAGTTGTCTACGGGCAAAGTCGGCAACCTTCGCGGCACATGCACCGAAGGTTGGGGCGAGCACTGGACAACTGTTGTCGAGTGAATCCGCTTAGCGTTTTCGACTGAATTCGGCGTGGCTAGGACAATATTATCGTTAGGGTTGTCTTGTTGAATAACTTGACGAAGTTGCTGATGTTGCTCGTGAGTAAAGGCACGGACCAGCGGCTGAGAGGGGGTGGGATGGACTGAAAATGATATAACTTTTAGAAAAGTGATCAATAGATTTATAAAAGGATTAAAAATTGATATTTAAATATAAAAAAAAGTGAATAAAATATTAAAATGTCCAAAAAGTCGTGTGCCCCCTAGCACCAAGACCTTGTTTTGAGAGAGAAGGCAGAATTTGCTAAACAATCCAATAGAAAAGCCATTAGCCGGCTGTCGTTGAACATAACAACAGTTTGACGTCAAGGCTAGTGAAATTTAGATCGTCATTTCAAAAATTGCCTTCAAAAACTACAATAATAACAAAATTGAAGTAAAGAATACAAATTTCGCTTTAATTTTCTATAAAAACAAGAAGAATGTATATAGAAAGACCAATCTTCAAAAAAAAAGTATGCAAATACGATGAAATATGTCAAAGATATTTTTTTTGGTAGAAGATGCCTTCAAAAGATAAAGTGTTAGCTATATGCATAAAAGGTCTGCTACATAATATAAAATCGTATGATGTTTAAAAATGCTTAGACACAGGGCATTGGCAAATTTTCATGCCATTCCCTGTGCCCTGCCCCGTACAGGGCATTTGACTTTCATGCCTTGCCCTACAATGCCCTTGTCCTGCAGGGCATCAGGGCCAGAGTTCTTCTCGTACCGGACCGGACCCAATGCGGGAGTCCGGAATTTGAATTTTGTTTTCCCGCGCTTTTTTTCTACCGGTCGGATCGGTCTGAAACTTTTTCTACCCCCTATTTGGAATGGTGCTTACCCTTCTAGATGCTGTTAGTTTTTTGATATCTATAATATTTTTCGAGATATGAGTTTGGCGGGAAAAATAAATTCAAAAATCCAGACCGCACGGACCGGACCCAAAAGGCAAAACTCTGGTCATTTACAGAGTATTTACAAAGCATTTGGGTATATATTGGCGTACACAGTGTAAAGCATAAAAAAGTCTTGTCGTTAAATGGCGAATGTTTGCACAGTAAAAAACGGCAAGACTTTTTGCTTACGCAACTCAAAAAAAGTTTTTTAATAATTAAAAAAAATTCGCTAAACCTCAAAAAACATTTTTTACATGTTTTTAACTTATCACACCCTTCCCCACCCAAAAAAAATCCTCCCCCCCCTCCCTACCCTTAAAAATTTTTTTCATTTGACCCCAAAATTAATTTTTCAGCCTTACTCTGCCCAGCCCTATTATGTCGTATTTTACCCTAACCTATCCTAGGCTGCCCTGCCTTATACTACCCTACTTTTCGCTGCTCTTCGCTACCCTATTCAGCCTTGCTTTATCCAGACGTACCCTACGCTATTCTACCTTACACTACCCTACCCTTCGCTACTCTTCGCTACCCTACGCTATTCTACCTTACACTACCCTACCCTTCGCTACCCTATCCTACCCTTCCCTAATCAACCCTACGCTACACTACCTTACACTACCCTAACCTTCGCTACCCTATTCAGCCTTGCTTTAACCAACCCCCTCCCCAATTTATATTTTCAACATTTAATTAAACACCCATACCCCATCTTCCAAAAAAATGTACAAAACCAATAAATTTGCAAACCTCGTGCCCAAGCTCGGCTTTTTACATTACATTTTTTAGAAGATTAAAATTGCCGGAAGGGAGAGATGAAAAACGACTCCACAGAGCGCTTCTCAAATAAACAAAACCCATTCCAGAAGGCTTTGAAGGAAAACTTTTTTGGCTAAAATGTTGTCATCCTATGACAATTTAGAGACAATTTCGTCATAGAATGATGCTTTTGGCATTGAATAATGCATGAGGTTATCATAGAGAAGGTATAGGAAAATGGAAAAAATATTAACAAATTTTCCCTACCCTACCCTATCTTGCTCTATATTGCCCTAAACCATTTTATCCTGCTTTACGCTACCCTATCTCACTCTATTCTGCAGAAAACTACAATATTCTGCTTTACTCTACTCCTCTCTGCCTTATTGTAGCCTTAACCTTGCCTTATCGCATCATATTTTACCCTACCTTACCCTGTCCACCCTAATTTTTTTCAATTTTAAAAAAGCTTTAAAAAAATGTTTTTTGGTATTAATATATAAGACAAGTACAATTCATGTTAGATCAACATAAACTATACTATCCCCATTCTTATATTACTATTAGACCACTTGTAAGGCCGCCATCTCAGAAACGACATAACAGAAGACTGGAAAGAGAATAGATTGGACTGTTCAACGCAGAATTGGCCTAATTTGGCCACAAATATTGCGTTTTTTGTATGTTGTGGCAACGCATGATCATATAGTATATAAAACGTCATTACTTACCAAAATATTTTATTAAAAATTTTAAAAAATCTGATTTAAAGTTAGGGTACTGCTTGACATTGCTCTAGACTAGCATGCTCCAAGTCTACCCTACCCTAATAGAACACCACCCTTAACTGCACCAAAAAAGTCTTGCCTTACTCTACTCTGCTCTAGCCTAGCATGTTCTAATTCCATAGTATACTATACAATTCTACCCTACACTATTCTAGGCATATCCTTTTTTCATTTACTCTACGTTACCTTTATAAGCCAATAGAAAAAACCCTATAATATTTTTAAAAATCTTAAAACAACCCCTCCTCCCTTACCAATATAAAAAATTGCAACTACCTTGCCAAAGACCCCTACTTTGATTTAAAAGAGCCTTCTCGAAAAAACATTGATCAATATAAAAATACCGTACACTACCCTAACCTACTCTTACGCAATCACGCGGTACCTTATCATGCTCTTCTTGAATTTACTATACCCTGCACTATCTCAATCTAAAAAGTAATACACTAAAAATTCTTTGTTAATATAAAACTACCCTACACCAAAAAAACCTTCCTTCATACATATAAAAGAGAATACTCTACCCAGAAACGCTGCCATCTTCCCCTCCAATACCAAGTACAAACCCTGTCAACGCTGCATAGTACAATCGTATGACCTTGGAAGTACATTATCCCCCCTCCCCTGCCTCGGGATGGCTTTTTGTGGCCTTTCCCTCGCCAATAATGTCACTAAAGGCAAATGAAGAAACCGGAAAACTGGCTTCTTCGGCCGTCTGAAAGCACACATTGCCTTAGGGGCTTCTCGGCAAAAACACTGCGCAATCGGCCCCCAGAATTTATTCTCCAACAGCATGATGAAGACGGAAAAGGGCATGTTCGGGGAAGAATTTGAGAAAAAAAAGGGGGGGGGGAGGAGAGAGGAATAGAGATAACGTTCCCCCATCAATAGCCAAAAAATAGACTAGCTTTAACTTTATCCCAGAGCCCAAGCCCAGATCTCTAGCCGAAAGCCCTAACCCTAGCCCAAAGCAATAGCCCGGAACTTTAAGCCTGCCGTAAAGCTCCATCCCTCACCTCATCACTCTAGCTATAAGCCTAGCCATACTTCTGCAAACTTAAAAAAATCACCCCTTTTCCCTACTAGGCCAAAAGAAGAGGAACCTTCTAATAAAAAAGTATTGATTCCAAACTTTAAAACAGAAAGACAGAATAAAGTTACATTTTTTTACACCAACGTTTTTTAAAATTTATGTTATTTTGAAAGAAAAAGAAAACACAAACAGGAAATGTAAAAGAAACAGCCAAACAGAGAGTGCAAGTTTGCCCAATAATAAAAGAAAACTTTATACCCTACGTATAAATTGAGTTATTGAAACAAAAAAATCAAGCCAGACTAGGGCGGGTTTTTAAACAAAAAAAATAAAAAAAAGTAATCCTCAACGCAAAAATTTTTTAAAACGTTCTAGACTAGGCCTAAAATTAAGAATTTTTTGATCGGACCGGGACTGAGCAAACTGAAAAACAAGTCGGGTGTAAATTTTAGCTTGAAAAGTAAATATATGGTACCATACGTTACCCTTCCCTACCTTACCCTATTCTACCATGTCCTACTCTACCCTAAGCTTTTCTACCTTATCCTATTTTACCCTACCATGTCCTACTCTACCCTAACATTTTTTAAAACAAAAAAAATTAAAATCAATAAAATTTTTTTTTACTTTCCCATTCACAACTCTTAAAAAAAGAATAGCCCCAACTCTAACTTCGCCATGCAAAAACTGCCAAAAAAACCTTGCCAAGAACAATTTTTACGCCATTATCAACATATTTCTTTTATAAAAATGAAAAAATGGCTAATAATTCAATTGTGAGTAATATAATACCGTCAGCTATACGAAGCCGTCGTTTATAAATATGGCTTCGCTCAAAAACTCGCCCTGCGGCATTTTATTGTTTTTGGACTGAAAAATATTTTCCCCCAATACCAAGCTAAATACAACTTTCATCTTGATACAGAAGTTTTAAGTTTTATTTCAGACAAACAAATGCATGATGTCATGTCATTAGAGAAAACTGTGCTATTTAGTACGAGAACTAAAGTACTGTGCTATATAGTACGAGTTCTGTAGTAATTGCGCTTTGGATTACAAAAACTGGAGTAACCGTGCTACATACACGAGGTCTAGAGTTACCGTGCTATATAGTACGAGAGCTATAGTAATCTTACTACAGTGGAACTCCTGTATAACGAACTCCTCTATAACAAAACTCCCGTATAACAAACAACTTTTAAATCCCCGGCCAACACTACACAGTGCATTTAAAACTCCTGTATAACGAAACTCCTTTATAACGAACAAATTTCAAGTCCCCGAGCGATTCGTTATAGAGGAGTTCCACTGTATATAAGAATAATATTTTTTTTGAAAAAGTACAATTTAATGTAAAATACGAGTTTGATTCAAAAACCCTTTTAGTATAAACCAAAATTTGAAATAGTTCTTACCTTGAGCTGCTGGGATATCATCAGGCCTCATGGGTAATATCCGCCTTCTTGAGCCAAAGTTTAAATTCAACCCGGAGGGTGGCTGAAAGTTTTTATTATATTACACTAAACAAAACTGGCTTTCCATATATATTTCCATAAAATACTTTTTCAGATATCAAGCTTATTTCAAAAAAAAATTTTAAAACATGAAAACAAAAGTAAGTTATTTAACTCGTATTTTACTAAAATAACACCCGCTATGCCCAGGCTTAGACGCAGGGCAGGGTGCCCTGTACCATGCCCTGTTACAGGGCATGGTAGGGCATGGTATAGGGCATGTTTTAAAATTTTTTACAGGGCATGGTATAGCTTGGAACATAGCAGGGCATAGCATATGCCCTGCATTACCCTGCAAATGCCCTGTTTGTGCCATGGTAAGTTTTAGCGGACGCCTCCGCCGAGCGGTCGATAATCAGCGGACGCCATAACTTATTTAGTTTCGTAGCTATAAATATGTAGTTAAATTCAGAAGTTATAATATGTCATAGGCTACAGATAAGAGCATAGTTTTAAGATTTTAAAAGTAGTATTGTTATCGACCGGTTGATAATTTTTAGTATATTTTAATTGCAAATTTTATATATATTCTTATCGCTCTTTTGTTCTAAATCGTACAGAAATTACGTTAGGTACAATTCTTAGTAAAAAACGTTGTTTTTTGTACAAATTAAATAATTGTTAATTATCGACCGGTCGATAAAAATATTGCTTTCAAACACATAAATTACTGCCTTAACGTGTAGATTATAACAGATAACAACTTCTACACTTAACTACATGTTTCTAGCTGCTAAACTAACCAAGTTATGGCGTCCGCCGATTATCAACTACTCGGCGGAGGCGTCCTCCGAAATATAACCAAATGCCCTGTAAATACCCTGTAAATGCCCTGATGCCCTGCAGGGCAAGGGCATGGTAGAGCATGAAAGTCGAATGCCCTGTACAGGGCAGGGCATTGCAGGGCACAGGGCATGGCATGGAAATTTGCCAATGCCCTGCCCTGTGTCCAAGCCTGGCTATGCCTCAAAACAACCACAATGTCATGTCCGTACAAAACACACGCCCAAAGGCCAGAAAGAAGCCGAGTAATATCCCGAAACCACTTAAAACAAGCCTTCGGAACAGTCGTAATACCCGTCTTCGGCCGGCCCTTACTTCAATTTTCTCCCTTTTCGACTTTCCCCTCCTCTAATGGGCAAAGGGATTAATTTTGCAGAATAAATTAAAAGTTTTTTTAAAGTTATGAAAAAGTATTAGAAATAATCAAAAAAATAAGATTTTTGGTCTGAAATAGGGCTATTTCAGTGAAAAGAGGGACAATTATCGATAAATCAAGCAAAAAACGAATTTTTTCCAATTTTTTGATAAGGAAATATCAAAAGCTGTACTCAAAAATAAAAAATAAATTTTTTTAAAATGACTTTTTATGGCAAGAATCCCGAAAAACAGAAAAAACGACCAAAAAAGCTGACCTCCCCGGCCGGAATCGAACCCGGGTCTAGTACGTGACAGGCGCGGACACTTACCACTATACTACCGAGGAACATGGCTTAAAAGCGCTTATTTTTACTTTTTACTCAGAATATGATAATACAACAGTAAGAAATGGAAATAACCATTTTAAAATTTTTTTAAAACTTAAATAAAAATACCCTCCCTTACCTGATCATTCTCGAAACATTGTGTTTTGCTCTTCCGTAGCCACTGTGCAGTTTCCTCTAGTTGGTCACGTTGATCCTTAACCATCTCCTCGGCCAATGTCTCAAATACGTCAGCAGTGAAGGCGAATGACGGTAGGGATGAAGAACCGGCCATTGCGTACAAGTGATGAGCGCTCAGCTCGGACTGACATGCCGTCGACGGCATGTTGTCCTCGTCTTCGCTGTCTGAAACATTAAGAAGGTTAATATTAGGTAATATATTGGTGTTGAAACGTTAAATTTGAGTCAAATGTTATAGTAATATAAGAGGTAGATACTGTACAGTAGCTCTACTGCCTTGCCTTGCCTTGCCTTGCCCTACCTTAACCTACTCTATCTTACCGTACTGTACGCTGAACGACTTTACGTAACCCTGCCCTGCCCTAACATACCCTACCCTGCTCTCTTCTAGTCTTTTCCTACCTTACCTTGCCCTCTCCTGAACCTGTCCTACCCTGCCCTGCCTTGCCTCGCCATGTTTATCTTTTCTATCCTTTATTCCATGCCTTATCTGAAACTTCAAAAACAGTTCTACCCAGCCCTGCCCTGTCACTACCTTTAAAACAATTTAGTACCTCTGATACACCAAAATAAACTAAAGTATATCGCTTGAAATACACGCTTCTTAAAGAGTAATAACGGTGTCGAAAAGACATAAGAATGGCGGTGTTCAAAAACAAAAATCTCACACCAATATCCCCTAATTTCGGGGCGTTTTTCCACTTCGGTTACCTGACCGTAAAAGCCACAATAAACATTTTTCCACCGCCCAAAACAAATAATAAATCCGTTGGGCTATTGTTAAGAAAATAGGTAGTTGTAGGGCTTTAAAATAGCTTTTTCAAAGCTTTTTTTAAAGAGAAATTCCATGCTGAGTCAAAATTTAGCAAATATTAGTCTTTAGAGCTTAATTTTCAAAAATTTACAAAATCTACCCCGCCCAACTTAAAATTTTTTGTTCAAAAAGTTAAACTTGGTCCCCCCCGTAGATTTAAAAAAAAATAAGAGGATGATTAGTAAAATTTGCCCTACCCTATTTTGGTATACCCTACCCTAACCTATCCTGTTATACCTTACCCTAACTTGCCCTACCCGTTAAAAAAAATTAATAACAAATTCTAAAAAAAACTAAAAAAACTACCCCACCAGTTTTACCCTTCCCTCCATATGCACCATCAAAAAAAAATTTTGTAAAAAAATTGAACGTGATTAGCTACCGTGCCCCTTTATTCATTATTTTTTCAAAAAAACTTCCCCTCTCCTTACCTCTAAACTAAAATAACCTGCCCGGTCTCATTTTTTGAGGCCCACCCTTCTTACATTTTTTTCGACTCGGCTAGCCCTCGGCCTAGTAAGCCAAATTTCATCTACCCGTAACTCATCGTATCATTGTATGACAACCCTCTTTGACCTCTCTTGACCCGCCTCTTCCTCTCAATACAGAAAAAATTTCCTCTCGCGCAATACAAAACCCGATCGAAAACCGCAGAGCTTTGCAGAGTAATTTCATTGCCACCCGCAGTGTATGATCTTTTGATTGAAACTTGTTGCAAAGGGAGAGAGAGATCAATCACCACAAAGAATTGTTTTTCAAACGAAAAGGTAGAGAAGAATTTAAATACAAAAAAAATTTTTTTTGAAAAAAGTTGATCGTACCTTCACCATTTTGACTTACGAAAGCTTTTTTGATCCCCCCCCCTTGCTCTTAGAAAACAATCTCTTGCCCCAGACTAAACTAGTCGGACTTGCACTGAAGAGCTTGTACTTTTCAAAAAAAAAATTTTTGTCTGTATCTCCCCCTCTAGACCAAAATCACCCACCCAGCAGTTCCTATACTTTATTCTTGATCCTACCTATTACTTTCAAGAAAAAACCTTAAAAAGTTAGTCTATTTGAATGACCACCCGCAGCCCTGACCACACACCGTGGGAACTCGATCAGGGATTGGAGGAGCGGACAGGTAAGTAAACAAACGGCGAAGACAGATATATATGAAGGTCGTTTTTAATTTGTATGTTATAAATTCAAGAGTAAGAAACTAATTCTTACACAAAACTAGTTTAAAAAGTGTTTTCTTTTGTAAGACAACATCCAAAATAGCCATTAAAAAATTTTGAGTCATGAGCGGGTTAAGGCAAAATCTAAAGCTAGGGCTAGGGTTTAGGCCAGAGCTAGAGCCAGGGGAGGTGATGAACAGAGTGAAAGATCAAAGCTGATACTAGGGCTATGAGGAAAAAATGAAGTGGTGGGGGGGGAGATTAAGAAAAAATTGCGGGCGGAGTAATTTTTAGAAAAATGGGAAAATGGTAAAAAAAAATTTTTTTTTTAATTTTTTGCTGTCTAAAAAACATTGAAACATAGAAAACCATCCCCTTTCCCAAAAAAAACACCCTCCCAACCCTACCCTACTCTACCCTACACCCTCCTACCTTACCCTACCCTACCCTACTCTACCCTACACCCTCCTACCTTACCCTACCCTACCCTCACCCCATCCTCCTCCTCTTTTAAACCCAATACACTGTAAATTAAACCCTTTCAAACCCAACCTTCCTACCGATAACTCAACAACTTAACCCGCCAGCCAGTATTAACATAATCCGTTTGTTTTGGCAGAGTAAAAGCATGCTACACAACCCTTTACATTACATATGCATCGTGAGAAAATAAGAGAAGAGCTTAATTATTTATCCACATTTACTCAGAAAAAACATTGGGAGAGAGAGGTTACTACGTCAATATGACGTACATTTCGGTTATGATACTATTACTACTAGGGCTAATATAGCAGTCGGCTAGGGCATAGTATGATACTAAGGAAAATAATGAAAATAGTATCATAATATGCCATAGCCAAGAGGTTGGAAGAGCGTGAGAAATTCTTTTGCAAAATTATGTTTTGAGAAGCAAAAACTTTGTTTCCAAGACCTTTTTCAACACAAAAAAAATTTTTTTTAGCTAAAACTTCAAAATTTCAAAAAAAATTTTTTTTGTTACAGTAAGCCTCTTATCCCAAAAAACCACCAAGACCTGAAATATCGCTAACTACCCTACCCTAATTTACCTTACCCCTAAAAACGCTAGGCAATTTAAAAAACGTTAAAAACCCTTAGGCAATTTAAAAAACGTCAAAAAACTTGAAAATTCCGCAAAAAACTAAAATCCTTTTTGAATTTTGCGGCCCTGCATGCTTGTCATATTCAAGTTTAAAGCCGAACAAAAGACCAAGACAACTTTTAAACCACCCCGGCCTTTTATCCCCTTCCTCACTTAACTCCGACGTCCACTTTTGGCTAAATGAAAGAATGCCAAAAGGAATGCGAAGCTCGGAAAAGTTTTGAAAAGAAAAAACTTTTTTTTTGGAAATTAGGGCAGGGTAAATGCAAAAAGTGGTTTATAGAAATAAAGGTACGGCAAATCAAAGACGAGCTGGTGCTAAGGAAATACATGCATCAGGACTAACGCAAGGTGAAGGCAAGGCTATTGCTTAGACTAAAAAAAACAGAAAAAAGTAGGGCTGGGCTAGGACAATGCTAGGCTAGAATAAAGTCAGGGCAAGCGTAAGTCAAGTCTAAGGCAAAGCTACAGAAAGGCTAGAACAAGGCATAGATAATGCTAGGACAAGCACAAAACAAGGCTAAAGCAAGGCTAAGGCTAAGGTTAGTGCAAGGGTAGGACTAGGCAGGGGTAGAGCCAAACGTCACTCTAACCTCTCCTCTAACCTTTAACCAAAACTTTTTTGTATCAAAAAGCACGCAAACCCCCCAAAAGCAATAGAAATGTTTCCAAATCTTTTAGAGATGAAGTTGTAGACAACTTCAGATTCCCCCCAAGGCAATTCGCACTCAATCCTCGGCGGGGTAATACATAGTTGGCCCGAAAAACCATTCCCGTTTTGGCTCGTTTAGAAAAAATGTTTGAGCAAACTGCTTTTTAAAGGCCCACAAATTGAAATAAATTTGATTTTGAATTCCATAAAAACAGTTTTAGTCGAGTTACGCGATGTTAACAACGTTTTTACGAATTTTAAGCGGAAATTTGGAAACATCAAAAAGAAAAAATAAAAATTTTGGCTTTGGATTGGACGTGAGACATAAATAATTTAATAAAAATGGCACATAAAATCTGGTTTTTAATACAATGTCATGTTTTTTAGAAAAAAAATGTTAAATATTTCATTTTTGTTCCTCTAATTATCCAAAAAAACTAAATATTTTTAAAAAAGTTCATTTTCAGCCTTTTACATACATGAAAGATCAAAAAATAGTTGATAAACTTAATTTTAAGTAAGCTAAATACATAAAAAAAACTAAACTTTTTTATATTTTAGGTAACAAAAACCGTCATTTTGAAATTTATTTTACGTTTTTTGTCTTTTAATTGACGTTTTAATGCCCAAAAAACTAAAAAAGTTTTTGATCTCGGGCGGGCTCGAACCGCCGGCCTTCTGTGTGTTAGACAGATGTGATAACCACTACACCACGAGATCACGGCTATGCTTTGCCTTGTTTTAGCCTTTCAAACTACCTACCCTACCCAACCCTACCCTACCCTACCCTACCCTACCCTACCCTACCCTACCCTACCCTACCCTACCCTACCCTACCCTACCCTATCCTACCCTACCCTACCCTACCCTATTCTAGTCCTGCCATACCATATCCTATTATACCCTACTCTAATTTACATTACACTACCCTGCGCTTTCCTTGGCCTGTCTTACCATTTTTTACCCTACCCTACTCAACTATACACTAAATTAATCTACCCTTCCTTAAAAATTATACTTTTAAAGTTTCTTTGTGAAGGCCAGCGTTGTGATTTCACCCTTCCCTACCGTACTGCACAGTACCATACTCTACTTTACCATACTTCAATTACCAATTTTGGAATTTCTTTGTTAATTAAAACCTTAAAACAATGATCAACCACCCCCAAACCTACCCGTCCCAAAGTCGTGTACCAAATCCCTCTGTCGTGAAGAGAACGGCACGTCCACCGCTCCACCAGTCGCCAATTGCCTCTCCAATTCGCTAATCTCACTATCACTCAACTCGTCTTCGGAGGCGATGGGCGGCGAACGGCGGCGTAGTGCAGGCTTCGGCACCTTCGCGGCTGGAATGTTGACTATGGCCGTCTCATCGTCGGCCATCGGAAAGTCGGTGCAATCGCCAGAGAAGGCCGACATCTGCAACGAATTTTAGTGTAATTTGAGACTGAAAACCAAGACTTTGGGCAATATTAAGATGAAGACAGTGGAATGAAAGTTTGTGAAGAGAAAAGGAGAATAAAAGTTTATGAAAATTGATAGCTATTAGAAATTCATGAGCTTTCTTTAATTTTTTTGCAATTTTTTGTTACCTAAAATATAAAAAACAAATTTATATTTAAAGTATTTTTTTATTTTAAGCAACAAAAATCTTATTTTGTAAATTTACTCCCCGTATTTTATCTTTTACTTTACGTTTTAAAGTCCAAAAAGACCAAAAAAAGACTTTGATCTCGGGCGGGCTCGAACCGCCGGCCTTCTGTGTGTTAGACAGATGTGATAACCACTACATTACGAGATCACGTTTTGTAAAGATATTTTTTAGACCTTCAAAATCTTTATAACTATTCTAAAAAGCATTTTGAAGTTAAAAAAAAAGTATAAAAATTTTAAAAAATTTTTTGAAAAGACACAATATATTATAGTAGACATCAGTTAACTAGTAAAAGTAAAAATTTAAAATTTCAATCTAAGATTAGAAAAATAGATAGCAATGTTCAGCCAACCTTACCCACAGCCTCCATGTTCATGTATTTTCAACTCTACAGCCTTTTAATTAATATCAAATATAGCAACCTCCAAAAAACAAGGTTAGAAATGCGTGTTTTGTCCCTCCCAACAAAAACAATTTGGACCACCGAATTTTAGTGGACAAAACTATTTCGAAAAAACGACGGAATTCATTCATTTCAAATCCAATTACGCTTCCTGCTCTCCCAATTTCATTTTTCCCCCGAGGCCGCGGCCCAAGTTCAAGCTTAACACCAAAATTCAAAGTTTCACATTTGGGACCAGACATTGGCCTATGGTAAGATGGGCAAGGTTTACAAGGGAGGTGCCCGACATGCCTTGTTATGATTGACTTCAAGCTTTATAAGTCGAATGAGCATGTAAATATAAGATCAACAGCTAAGTACTAAATCTCGCTTTCTATAAAATCTTGAAAAAGTCAAGACCAAAAAATTATGTTTTGAATTCCCCGCTAAATTGGCATTGTGTTTCAAGCTAATAACTTTGCCATTTTTGACTTTTAAGCATTTTCCTTTGATATACTGGTAGAATACCTTTAAATGGACTTTCATTTTTCAATTTGTAAGCGTAGCTTAACTGAAAAGCCAAAAAAATGCTTGAAACACAATGCCAAACTTGCGCAATTGACGGAAACTTAAAATATTTTAGTTTTAAAACGTATAAACGCGAGATAAAACTTTTTATAGGTACTATTGGTGGTACAAACGATTCAGATAAAAATTTTGAGCTGATTCTGAGTAGGGCAGGCTGAGTACATTTCCTTGTTAAAAATTAAAACAAGCCCAAAAACTTCTAAAAATAAGTTTTAAAAACGAAAAATATGGCTATTCGATGAGATATTAAAAATTCGTACCAAAAGAGTGAACATCAAAGACTGGTCGTGTAACATAATGAAATTTGGTCATATTTTGAAGAAAATTAAATTTGAATAATATTTAAAAAAAGGCGTAAATGGTAGCATTTAGCTTTTAGGATTCATAAAGATATAAAAAAATTACCCTACCCTACCTAGATATAAGGAACGAGCCGGCCTTGACCCAAATTTAGGTCGGATCGGGCCTGAAAATCAAAATCCGGCCCGTTTGCACGTAAAAAATTGGGCTCGGTCCGTTCCTCATTCTACAACTCTACCTTACCATAGCCTACCATACTCTCTAAACCATCACTTTTTCGAATTTTACCCGCTAAACCAACTTTTAGCAATATAAAGTTAGTTTGAACAGTTCTAAACTAATCTTAAGTTAAACCCTCATTAATTCTCCATTTTACTTTACTGCCAATCCTTAACATTTAACAAAACTAGCACAATGAAACCCGCCTAAACCGCTTACAACAAAAAATAAAAAATAACAAATTTTTTAAAAATTTAACTAATAAAACACCGCTTTTCACGTTAAAATAATGTCGTAAACAGAAGTAAAATTTGTATGCAAATAATTTTGTTCCCCGACATTGTTGGCTTAATTAGACCTCTCTGTGGTCACTATGCCAACGGCTAGGATGAGGTACAGAAGTTATTAAAATTGAAATTTTCTGAAATGAGAGAGCAAAGATTAAGTTATTTGTAATAGTATTTGAGGCTATTTGGACATAAAAATGGTTTTATTATGTTAAAATAAAAAAAACTACCCTGCCCTACTCTTCGTCATTCTAGCTTACTTATTTAGTGCCGAAATAAAGAACCCGCCATTTTTTACACAAATTACAGAAAAAGTGTGTCGGTTTCTTTATGTTGACACCTAATACCTGTCTTACCCCTACAAGCTACAAAACTATGATATTCTCTCCCTTTGCCTTCCCCACTGCCTGCGACAAAAAGCATCACCCTTTTTTCCCAAAGTACTGTCTTAGTATTGTACATTACTATAAGAAAACCAAAGCACTAACCATTCAGTTGCACTTAAAAACCAAAAAGAAAGTTAAGAATAACCTGAAAAACCGCCTTCACAAACAACTTGAAGAGCTTGTCAATCCAAGTTATGGCATTTTCAAACGTTTGAAAATAGGCGTATCATACTTCAAACAAAAAATAAGTAGCTGTTCATGAGTAATATGACATTTTTTGAAGAGTTGGAGATAAGGAAAGGCTAATCCATGGCAAGAACTAAAGTTAAGACTATGCTTAAGGCTAGGGTTATTGCTAGAAGTAGAGGTAGAGCTAAAGCTAGAGATAGAGTTAGAGTTAGAGCTAGAGCTAGAACTAGAACTAGAACTAGAACTAGAACTAGAGCTAGATCTAGAACTAGAGCTAGAGCTAGAGCTAGAGCTGTAGCTAAAGCTAGAGCTAGAGCTAAGGCGAAAGCTTTAACCAAAGCTAAGGATAAGGACAAATCTAGACTAAAATACAGTAATTAGTAATACCTAAAGACCAAAAAATCACAAACGTATTTTACTTACGTCTTCTTTGGAAGTCCCAAACAATAGTTTAGCCACCAATGGAGCCGGATTCTTGATGCTGCTCAAACTGTCATCGTCTTCTGGAGTCACATACTTATTAATCCTTCCATTCTCTGTCGTCTCCTGTCTTTCAATGCTCTCTAACGCATTTGCCATAGCTGTCAAAGCAACAGATTCAAGTCTTTTCCTTAGGTCACCAGTCTTTTCCGTTTCATCACTCAAGGTTTTGTCTGGAATCCAGCTTCTTGGCAGACTTTCAGCACGGTCTGGAATAGCGTTAGATAGGAGAAGATCTCTTTTTCGTTGCCGGTTAACAACCCTAGGGTTTACAGTAGTTAAATTCACATTTTCTTCTGAATCCGTTTCCCCAGAAGTCTTCAAATTTTTAAAATTCTGTTTCCGTAGCCGAGTAGAGCCTTGATCAATAACCCCAAGTTCTTCCAAAGATCCAGTAACTTCATCCATAACATCCAACGGTAAGTCTTCGTCAGTGTCGTCTACATTATCGTATGTTGTTGGGTGTTCGGTTACTGTATGCATGGTAACATCTTCATCTTGATATTGTAGTGGAAAGTGTTGAGGATGTAGAGAATGAACTGGGGGATGATTTTCCTTGGTTTCTTCTTGATTCGAGGCTTCTGGAGGATCGTTCAAGCCACTGTTGAAGGCTGTGAAGGCCTCTGCGTCTCGAATATGATCTTCTTTTTTTGACTCTTGGTATATTTTATGTCCTACTTTATTTTCTTTATGTTCTTTATGTTCTCTTTCATTTTCTTTTTGTTCTTCATGTTTTACTTCATCTTCTTTATTTTCATTCTGTTCTTCTGTATCTTCTGTATCATTTTGATCTCTTTCTTCCATATCTTCAAAATCCAAGCTCATCCTCCCTTCACCAACATCTTTAGTCTTATCTTCTCCTTCCAGCTTGTTAGTAGACCCACTTTCTTCCGTGAAATGACTGTCACGTGACGTTGACGGACGACAGGACCCTTTTGAAGGTGATGGACAACATGAATTCAAACTTAAATTGTAGTCCGTTTTACTGCGTGTCACATTGGCCACATGTTCTTGAATGTCGTAGAAGCTGTGAGTTCCACGAAGACCTTTTGACAGTAGTTGAGAAGATGACACTGCTGGCTCTTCTTCAGATTCTGAATCATCAAAAGTTGAAGATTTTGTGATTTTTGGTTGACAATGGTTTTGGACTTCTGAATCTTTGTTTAATGGTAGTAGAGGCTTTGATTGAACGTCAGAATCTTTGTCAGAAGCTAATAAACTAACTTTGACCGGATGGATTACTTCAGAATCTCTGTTTTCTTCTAAATCCTCATTAACTTCTGAATCCTTGCCTTTCGGCAAATCATCGTAAGCTTCAGAATCCCTTTTATCTTCTACATCACCGTCAGATTCAGAATCCTTGCATTCCCTTTCCAAACTACATCTCAAGCAATCATTCAAGCCAAAACCATGATCGTTAGTTCCATTATCAGCATGTTGATCAAGTCCAACATGATACGACTCGACCAGTTCATCATTATCTTCAACTTCTTCTTCTGATTCTTCTAAGCTACATCGTTGTTCATTCTCTAAGGCAAAGCTTTCGACTAAGTCTTCAGGTAATGTTACCTGACGCTCTCGATCGTTGTAGTCTTGAGAATCTCCTGAAGGGTGTTGCTTGGCTTTTAAGTGACATTGACTAGCTTCAGAAAGCCCTGGATAGTCATCAGAATATTCTTCATGACCAGAATACCCTCGATCATCTCCATCGTCCCCACCATAGTACTCAACAGTACCTTCATGATAAGTATGGCTATGTTTAAGCACCTTAGGGTTTGAAGTCTGATTAAAACTCCACGATCGTCCACGTAACTTCCGATTCTTCAACTGTGAATCGCTCTTACTCTGCGGTAAAACCCCCTGTTTAGCAATAAAGAACTGTGACCTTCTTCTAGCCGAAAACTCAGCCAATCCAGCATCCAACGGCTCTACAACATCATCTTCTTCTTCGTCTTCTAAATCCTCGTCCATATCTTCTACGTCATATTCTTCACCTTCATTTGCTTCAAAGTCATCTTCTTCTAATGACATTCGATCTTCATCCAGATTGAACTGCTGATGAATTGAGGAGGACATTGAAGGGTTGTCGTGGTCTGTGTCGTTTCCTGCTTGGAGCTCTAAAATTTAAATTTGAAACAAACAAAACAATAAAAAAATTATAAAACTTTACCCTACCCTATCCTACCCTACCCTACTCTACCCTACCCTGCTATGCTGCCCCACTCCACTATGTTCTACCTCACCTTACCCTAATATGTCTTACCATACCCCAACCTTCTCTAAATTGCATCATACATATCTTACCCTGAACTACTTCTTGCATTTACTCTACCTTATTCTACCTTCCCTTTTCGCTCCTTAAAAGATTTAAAATTCTAGCAAAAAATGCCTGAGCATCTTATATCTTATAAAGCTGTAACAACTATCATCTACTAAACTTTATCTAGAAAAATGTATTCTTTTGACGTTGTCATGGCAATTAAAATATGTAATTTTTTATAACATTACACTCTAAACAGATTACTCTTGCGTTCTTTTGTTCAGAAACAAACCAGAAGTCTGATATTTTAAGTGTTTTTTTAGAAAGATTACCAATTTTTATTATCATAGTATTAAATATATTGACGTAGGTCATTGTTTGTCTATTTTTCAATTTTTTTGAGTTTTTTATTACCTTACTTAAAAATCAGTGCTAATTTATAGGTAAAGCCTAAATTTTTTAAAATTTCAAAATTTTTGATTTTTTTAAATATTTTTTTTAAATCAAGTTTTTTAAGATTTGTTTTATTTTTAAATTTTAAAAAAAAAATTTTTTTTCAATTCAATATATATAGCCTTACCCAACAACTTATCAGCCTCCATAGTCTCTTCATCTTCATAATATTTCCCTTCATTTTCGCTTTCATCTCCTTCTCTGTATTCTTTTCTTCTATATCCTGGGCTGGCAGTACTATTAGTATTATATTCACCATGTGTTTTTGTACCATTTAGATCACTTTCTTCCTTCGTACTGAGAAGTTCATATTCATCTTCATTTTGTGTACCAGTAGGACCACATTGAGCTTCTAGTCTAGTGCCATTAGGACTATATTCATCTTCTTGCCTAGTACCATTAGGACTAAATTCGCCTTCTTGCCTAGTACCATTAGGGCTATATTCACCTTCTATCCTTGTGCCATTAAGACCATATTCACCTTCTCTTTGTGTACCATTAGGACCAAATTCCCCTTCCATTCTACTACCAACACCACTATATTCACCTTCCACTTCCAAGCTCTCTTCAATCGGATCAAAGTCGTGATGACTGAACCCAATAGTACTAGTCCTTCGCCGTTTGCTCCAAGAATTTCGTCGTTTCGAAGCCTTCAAAAAATCCGAATCAAAGCTCTGACTTCTTTTTATCGATGAATTGGTTTGAACATCAAAATTTGAATTTAATTCGTAAATTCGAAGACTGTCATCATCAATGATTCTGGAGAAGCGACGGGCTTGTGGAGTGTTGTAGAGGTCGTCAAGGATTTCAGTTGTGTTTAATGGAGGTTGTTCAAAACAAGCTGGTGATGACCATGAACGAAAGAGTGGTCGACGTGGTGCAAATGGGGCTAGTAGGGAGGCGGCCTGAAAGAAGTAAAGTTTAAGTGGTTGAAGATTAATATTTTTTAACTTACAGCTTAAAAAAAATTTTAAAAAAAGTTAGAAACAATATTAACCCCCCTTTTAAGCCAATAATCCAGCCTTTAGTATAGAATTAAGCATTCGAAAAGTGTAATTAAAGTTTTAGCAGTTCCGAATGGACTCCCAAAAACAAATAAACCCAAATGACAGCATAGTATGTTTCATGTCACAGTTATATCAATTATTCAGAAACTAATTTTATTTTAAGCCCTAGCCCAGAGCCCTAGCCCATAGCCCTAGCCCTAGCCCAGAGACCTAGCGCAAAACCCTAGCCCAGAGCCCAAGCCCAGAGCTCTAGTCCGAATAGCCGCGAGCACTAGCTTTAGCCTCAATTCTAGGTTTATCTTAAGCTCTTGTTCATGCTGTATCCTTACCCTACCCCTCTCCTAAGCACAAAGCTTTCTTTTGCCATATCTTTATGAACAAACACAATCCTACCCTTCATAATCTACTCCATTCTGTAAATTATAGACCTTTTATTTCCCTACTCTACCCTCCGTATTATTCCACCCAAAACTTGTTAAATGAAATACGAAGAGTAATTTACCTTGATTTACCCCTAGAAGTATTATTCGTTATTATACCCCCGCCTTCTTTTGAAATATACAATTTTTTATCAAATCCACCCCAAAACAATCATATTTCCTAAGTGTTCCAACCCAATGAAATGTTTTGTTGTTTCGAAAACCCGCTGAATGCCGCTTATTTCCCCATTCCCCATGCCCAATGTTATTTCCCGTCTCTTTTCTGTTTTGTTGCGCAATACTCTTAAGGGAGAGGACGACTGGTATTGATATGTTCTTTTGCCTCCAGAAGAGACGCAAAAACAAAAAAAATTAAAATTTGTCCACAATGTCTTCTATTTAACACAATAGAGACAGTGTTATATGGGCCAAGAAACAGTTCAGAAAGTGGTAAAAACAAAAATACAGTATGAAAATAAGTAGTTTTTATATATTATGTAGACAAAAAGATTCGTTTTGTTAAAAAGCCAAGAAAAAAATTTTTTGGACAGGTACATCAGGGGCGGGCGAGGACTTTTGTTCTGGAGGCGGGGATCGAAAAAAGAAATTTTCCAAAAATCCACAGGGGGGGGATCACGTTCAACTTTTTTCGAAAATTTTTTTCTGGGGGGGGTTCACTTCTCCCCCCCCCCAGCGCCCGGCCTTGGGGTACATTTTATTTTACTTGATGTAGAATTGAATAGGTGATATGTGATATTAAGAGCCTAGGTAAAATATTTTTTGAGGTATGGGCAGGGCTGAGCGGGGACTTTTGGTCTGGGAGCAAGGGTAAAAAAATCTGATTTTTCCTTTTAGATCCTCTCCTTACGCAATTCAGACTTCTTTCTCATCCTGTTAAAAAATTACCCCTCCCAAAAATCCCTTTCCCCACACCTTTCACGTCATCCTTTCCCAAAAACAACTCCTTTCTTTTACTGCTAAAAATAATCCTCCCTTATCGCCTTCTCAAAAAATTTCCCCCACCCCCTCCCCAAAAAATCACCTCTCCCCAACCTGTGTCAATTAAAAAATCCCTTTCCTTAACTTCTATCAAAAACCCCTCTTACCTCCCGTTCAAACTCGCTCTCACCCAAATCACTGTCATAGTCATCTTCCTCTTCACTTTCGTCTTCGAAAAAGTTGCCAGGAGATGACCAACATCCATCACTAATACCCATATCCGGATTTGTTTCATCCACCTGAACTGCTACAACATCTCCACGCTTCAGATTGACTGTTGGATGTGGAGGTATCCTTAACGAAGCTTGATATTGACTCATATCCGGGTCTGGATCAGGTTCAGGCCATATTTTGTCAATTGAACTGCCAGCGGCTGTTAGCACATTGATCGAGGCTTTGCGACGATACTCGGCGAGGAAGGCCATCTTTTGAGCTTCGATTTCGGACATTATTTCGGACTGCTGAAAAAGTAGAATTCGAAAGATATAGAGTTATAAAATGGCATAAAGCTAGATTCGGATGCTAAAAATAGCAAGAACTTTCTTTACAAAACAGAAAATAGCAAGAATTTTCTTTGCAACACAAAAAATAAAAAGAACTTTCTTTAAAAAACAAAAAATGGCAAGAACTTTCTTTACAAAGAAAGCAATTGCAAGAACTTTTTTTACAAAACAAAAAATGGCAAGAACTTTCTTTACAAAGCACAAAAGTAAAAAACAAAAAAAAACACTTTTGTCTTTTGTATAAAATGGCACGCGCAAGCTGCAAAACCCAATAATTTCGTTTTGTCTATTACAAATGGCACAAAACTTTCCTTACAAAACAGAAAAATGGCAAGACATTTCTTTACAAAACAAATTTTATAAACTAAAATCTAAAATTATCTTTATTTTGTCATAACTTCCTTAAAAAAAACACGACGCTTAAAAATAATCATTGTCATTGAAGTATAACATAAGACAACATAATGTAAAGTAATTACAGCGGAATTAATCCGAAGTAAACGAAAACAAGAATGTAAAATCCAGATGTCTGAGAGAATGAGAAAATAGGATAGAAAACTTGCTTTGCCCTCAGGGAATCATAAAAAATATGGCCGCTTAGTCAGGCAAAAGTGCAAAGTTTAGGCTTAATTAAAATGTTTCGCGGAAAATGCAAAAATTATTATTAAAAACGTCATTTTAATAAATAATAGATAAGTTTTATCAATGTTCTTGTCAGTTCCTGCTTTGTAAAGAAAGTTCTTGCCATTTTTGTTTTGTAAAAAAATCTTACACATTCAAGCAAAAAGACCTTAAAACTACCCCTCCCTTTCTCACCTCTAAACATCATTGCCACCAAAATTCAAAAACAAAACCAATTTGATACTATTAGCCATAAATATTATATTATCATAGCTAAAGTATGATATACCTAAATAACAAAATAAGAGTACAAAAAACCCAATAATTTCCTCAAATTACATTACAATCCCCCATCCTATTGCTTATGTGCTGCTTATGTAATTACATTTTGACTTTTTTGGTCCGTAAATGAGTATAAAATTAGAAAGTGAACAAAAAATATAGCGTGTTATACGTAAATTGACGTATTTCACTTTTTTTATGTGGTAAAAATAAAAAAAATATTTTCCAAAAATCAAAATATTAAATTAAATTTAAAAAACTGTAAAAATTTTGCAAAAAATTCTATTTTTAATAATTTCAAAGTTTTGAAATCGAAATATTTTGTAAAATACGGAACATCGTGGGCAAATGTCTCAAACTTTAAAGATGATATGATAAAAATAGCAATTGTCTTAAAAATTATAAGCCAAAGTATCAATAATTAGAACCATAATCTAAGGCTAACCTACCTTACTCTACTAGAAGAAAATCAACCAAAAATAAGTTTTTAATTTAGGACATAGGCCCCCTATTGATAATTATTGTAGCCTTACTCCCGTTCTACCATAGTTTCAATTGTGCCCTACAGTAGCCCTAGCCCTAGTCTTTCTTAACTTATACTTAGCCTCACAATCAGACTAGCCCTTCCCTTGCAAAGAAAAAAAATTTTACCCTCCTGGCCAAAATAAGCTGACCGGTTCTGCCAAAACCTATGAATAAGCATGTTTTAAGAATTTTGCTCCCCAACCACTAAACTCATTTTTACTTCCTCTATTTTTTATGAGTACTATAATATAATACCAGACAAAAGCGCCACACTAACACTTCTGACAATTTACAATTTATATTGTTGAAAAAAATAGAAAAAAAAGATTTAATCCCCTGTTTTTTTCCTGTCTGTGCCATTATATATTCTACTTTTCTTATAATACTAAAACTATTATAAATACGTCAAAAAAAGTGTTTCTTCCACACTTGTAAAGACAAAAATCACATTTTATAGTACAGTTACCTTCGTTAAAAAGAGGTTTTAAAACACAGTGGAATACCTGTAACGAATTCCTCTATAACGAAAATCCCGTATAACAAAACAACTTCCGTCTACTACTACACAGTGCATCTAAACTCCTGTATAACGAAACTCATTTATAACGTACAAATTTCAAGTTCCCGAACGATACGTTATACAGGAGTTCCACTGTACAATTTTTCTAACTAAAATGACCTTTTTACAGTTAAAAAAATTGTTTTGTATCCCCCCACCCCCCCCCCTTAAATTCAATTTTGAAAAGATACGGCCCTTACACCTTCGTATATCACCCAAAAATCAAAAATTTTCAAATTAAAAAATTTTTTTTAAAAGTTGACCGTAGTTCCCCCTCCCCCTGTTGATTAAAAAAATGCACTTTCTTCACCATTACCTCCTCACCCAAAAGCTTTACAAAAATCACATCTCTTATTCAAAATCATATTCTTATTTTCAACCATAGACCAAAAATTTTAAAAATAAAAAAAAATTTCGAATTAAAAGAAATTTTGGACTTAAAAAATAAAACCATACCCTTTTCCGTCGCTCCTTCTCCATCTGGTTGTTGTAGGAATTGAGCTGGCGAAGAAAGCCGGCTGTCGAGGATTGGGACTTCCTCATTGGCAACAGACTTTTGTGGACGTAGAACTCTTCATCACTGTCCAATTCCTCTTCGTCTTCGTAATCGCTCTCCTCTTCGTTCTTGGGCTTGTTTTTGTTGCTCTGACAAAATGTATATTCATATTTACAATTACATGATTATGGTAATGGATAGTCAGAAATAGGGACACTTATACTTTTTGGTATGGCTTTAGGACGTCAAAATAAAATTGATATTGGTGGGGCTAAAGTAGTGGTAAGGCAATGTAAAGTAAAAGTAAGATAATGTAAGGGTAGGGTGACAAAAAATGAAAGACTTACCATTTGAGCCAAATCGGCATGAGCTGACTGGCTATTAGCCATAAATTTGCTGACCATTTGCTCCAGGTCTGAATCATCATCATACATGTTTGAATATTGAGAAGAGGTTTCTTCTGAAAATTGAAAAAAAACTTTTCCAATTCTAAAAAATTTTTAAACAGCATTTTATCAAAAAAATTTTTTAAAAAAGTTGAACGTGGTCCCCCTTTGGATTTTCGGAAAAAAAATTTTTTTGACCCCCGCCCCAGACCAAAAAGTGCCCGCCCGACCCTGTAAGTCCTAAAAAACAAGAAAGTAAAATTAAAAACCATACCTCGCAAAGGCATATTAAACTGTTGATACCCGTAATTGTTGCGGTGAGAACTGCCAGAAATGGAGCTCATATACTGAAATAAAATTATTGTAAACTTAGAAAGAGTAGCAGCTAAAACCTCCAAAAAATAGAACAAATTCCGCAAATACTTTACAATTACAGTTGAGTTACTGTATAAAAAATCGCTCAAAGATTTAAATTTCGTTATAACAGAGTTTCGGTGTAGAAAGACGACCAGAAAAAAAATTGAGAAAAGTTGATCGTGGTCCCCCCTGTGAATTTTAGAAAAATTTTTTTCCGACCCCCCGCTCCCACAACAAAAATCTCCGCCCGGCCCTGGTGCTCACATAAAGAACCCGCCATTTTTACAAGAAATTACAGGAAAATTATGGCGGATTCTTTATGTTGGCACTTAATATAATACATACAAAGAAAATCCTATATAACGAATAAAAAATCTTTGTCTATCACTACCAAATGCATTTAAAATTCTGCTATGCCAAAACTTTTTTATAACAAACAACATAACATCCCTCCCAGCAATTTTTTATACACGAGTTTTTACTGTCTAATCAATTATATTATTTGCATCTCTATGTAATCGAAAGTTGCAAAAACCTTTGCAAACTCTCATATAGTTAGGGCATTATAAATCTTCCAAAACGTAGTTAATATTATAAAAACGTACATAAATAAACAAACGTCTTACAAATTACAGCCTAGTAAATTAATAATATGTTCTTGAGCTGAAGTTTAAATGTTGCTATTACTGTACAAAACGCAGTAATAAAGTGAAACTTAAAGTTCAAAAAAACTAATTTTAACATTTCTGCCCTGCTCTACCTTGCCATAGTCCGTCCTACCCTGCCCTGCTTTACCTTTTCCTTCCCTACCTTACTCCCATTCTACCCTACCCTATCCTATAGAAAAGAACCCACTGCCAAAGTCAACACCACCGAGTCCGTCAAGTAGTCCGACCCTATCACGAACGTAATTAAAAGCCCCGTGGCATTTCAATTAGTGCCGTGTCCAAGAACAAAAGCCGGAACAAAACCCAACCAAAATGAGAGGGGAAAAGGCGTTGGGAACCGTCGTGGGTAAACACAAAATGTAAAAGAATATTAAATTTATGGCCCAAAAAACAAAAAAAATTCATGCGTTTTGCACTTGCTGCTTTCGAAAGGTTCAAATAATCTATAATTATGTTTAAATTACAATTTTTTATATTTAAATTTTTAAATTTTCTAAAACTCGTTTTTAAATAACGTATTTTACTCTCCTCCCACTAAAAAGAATTTACCCGCTCAACATTGAATATTATTAATAATAAGTTCTTGTTTCTCCCGGTCTTTCTTCTCAACCCTTCACAAACTTTGTGCCCCACATCCATTTTAAAAAAAATTTAATTTAAGCATAGTCCTTCTTGTAAATTTAAAAAAAAATTTTAATTTACTTTACCCTTCTCCCACCCGCTATTTCAAAATCAACCCTGCGACTTTGTTCATACATACCATATTAATACAATATAAAAAGAGTTTTATAGATGACATAAACAAAAACACCAAAAACAGTAATGAAAAGTCAGTCATATGTTGTTTTTCCATTCTTTTTTATACAATTTTTTTAACATCTTGGCATGTAAGAAGTGTAAAAATGAGTAAATTCAACCATAGTACAGTAAACACTTGTTGCATGCAACCTCAAAAAAAATTTTTTTTTTAATTTTTCATTTTATACCTATATTAATGTACACCCTATCCTATCCTACTTTACCATACATTACTGTATCCTATCCTACTTTACTATACATTACCGTACCCGACTGTACTCTTCCCTGCCCTATCATACAGATCAACGTCAAAAGCCAATTAAAATTATAAAACGGTCTCAAAAACTACCAAGAAACAAATTAACTTTTTATAATATTGTAGTGCCCTTTTGCTTAGAACACCACGCTATAATTACAGCCCTGTAATTAACACTTGTCCTCAAATGGTAATTGTTTATACGTCAAAATTATCGTCGCAAAAATTAAAAATCCAAACTTTAAAATTAAAAAATTAAATATATAAAAATTTTTTTGTATGCGTAAAAAACGGCAAAAACTTTCTTTACAAAACATAAAATGGCAACAACTTTCTTTACAAAACAAAAAACGACAAGAACGTTCTACAAAAGTTAAAAAATAGCAAAAACGTTCTTTACAAAACATAAAATAGCAAAAACTTTCTTTACAAAACAAAAATTTAAAAAAAAAATTTTTAATTTCTCTTTTCCAAACCTAAATTTTAAAAATATTACTATTTTATAGTCTTAGGTTATCATATTTTATATCAAAACCTGTTTCAGTTTCAAAATTTGTTCAAGTTTCAACAAAAATTTTAAAATTTAAAATATTTTTCCTAAAAATTTCTAAACAAAAACACTCGAGAAATCCCATAAAATCCGGAGGGTTTCTCCTTTTTTCGTCCGAAGCCCAATTTTTTGCCAATTTTGAAAAAGCCAAAAACGGCCGAAAGAGCCTCCAGAATAGATGATAGATACGAAACTTGACTGAGCAAAGCCAATGCCTTCTGAAGCGATAAATTCCGGATTTTAAAACAAAAAAAGAGGAATGGCTTGAGAATTTTGGAGAGTCAAATAGTAGGGGTGAGAGCATAATGACTCTACTTTACCCTACCCTACCCTACCCTACCCTACCCTGCCCTATCCTACCCTACCCTACCCTACCCTACGCTACCTTACTTTTCTCTACAATACCATATCGTACCCTATACTTATTTACCTTGCCTTATCCTATCTTGCTCTACCCTATTCTACTCTCCCCTACTTTAACCTAGACTACACTAATTATTTCGCTTTTCTCTACCTGGTTTTGCTTTACCCTGACTTACTTTATTTTACTCTATCTTACACTACTCTACTTTAACTTATCCTACCCTATCCTGCCTCAGCTAAAAATTTTTTTTCAAAATTTTTGAAAAAAATTTCTAGCGAAAAGAATATTAGAGGTGTCCATACTAAACAAAATATAAATACAATTTTAAAGTAAAATTGAAAAAACCAAATTTAAAAACTAAAAACTGCCCTATAAGTATTATGTTCCATCCAAAAATTCCACGACCTTCGAACAATAAACGCTCTTTTTGGCAAAATAAAAGGCCAAACGTTTTTTTATATATACATACATCCACAGACATAAAAAAGCCTCCAGAAATCGTGAAGAACGAGAAAAAGAACACTGGCAATTTTGAGGAAGTTTCTTTTGAAATTTCAAATTTTTTTTGGACAAATAAACAAAAATTTTAAAATTTTTGGTTTCTTTATAGCCAGAAGAATTATTAGGAAAAGTAAATGTAAAAGTGGCCACAAAATTTTTTTTCTATATAGCATTCTCCCCCTGTTAATTTTCAAACAAAAGTTTAAAAAAATTTTATTTGTACCCGCCCCCCTTTTTGCAGTTTAAAATTACCCGCCCGTAACCCTGCAAAAAAGCCAAGGCAAGCCTAATGAAAGCTGTGGTTAGGCCGGACCAAACCGGTTTCCTTTTTAGATCTAGTCCGCCCTTTTATCCGACCGACCCTTCATGCCATGATAAACTTTTGAAAAACACTAAAAATTGCATTTTTAGACCTTCCAAAAGAAAAAAAAACATTTTATGTCGTTTTTCCTGAAACATAATTAAAATAAAAGTGTTTTTCATTTAGCCAAACTCAAATTACGATGTCATAAAAGAAAGAAAATAACTAAACTACTGTACAGAGGGCCGCCCCTTTCCAATAAGTAAAACTTAAAACTTTTTTCAGAAGCCTAGTCATAGCCTTATTAATCTTCAAAAAAACTTTTAACCCACCCCCTTCCACGCTGGCTAAAGTAGGGATAAAGCAGGCTGCCCTACCACAAATTTGTAAGTTGTAAATAATGACTAACCCATAAGCTGTAGCTTATTAACCCATAATGCTATCATAATCTCTATATCAAGTTAAAGTTTAAAAAAAGTAGTGAAAAATGTAGGTCTTAGACGTCGTGACTAGTGCAGACTGTTACTGCAAATGGTGATTATATCTATATCACAGTAATTCTTGTTTCCAAAAAGTATTAGCTTATTAGTGCTAAATAAGACACTTCAACTCAATTTTTTAAATTGCACCGCGCTGCCTTAAACCTGAACTGATCTGAGACAAGCCGTTTTTAGGCTAAGGTTGGCTCTGGTTGGGCCAGACCACACCATGGTCAAGCCGGGCCTAATGGGTGCAAATGTCCTTTTTTAAAAACCAATGAACAGAACGTTTAAAAAAACAGCGTTCTGTTTACCTTTTTTAAAATGTTATTATACTATGATTATTCATAGGCTTTTTACTCGTATGAAACATAATACGCATTCTGTTTGCCTAATATCTAATGTTATCTTTTCAAGTATCACTTAGTTCAGAAATGACATTTCTGAACTAAAATTATGAATAATGTCGTCTTGTTGGCACGTTTAACCCGTCTAATCTACCTTACCCTAGTTTACCCTACCCTGCTATCCCTGTATTTTCACCCCTACCCTCTTCTACAAACGGCTTTGAAACTGCTATAACAAACGTTTACTTCAATATATATAAACTTCATATTACTTCAAAGTCGACCCCCAACCCTTCAAACACTACCACCATCTCCAGAATCCCAATCCCATAAATACACATTTAAAATCTAATTTATACCAATTTACCCCCAAAATAGCTTTTTAACAACCCTAAAATAATGAGATTCCCCACAACACTATAAATTTTGCTTTGAATATTCACGGAGAAGAGAAGAGATTATCGCTTATTGCCAAGTATATCAACAAGTCCCAAAAGTTTCGAAAGAAAACCAAAATATTACGAAAAACGGCGGCGCACGTCCGAAGCGATTACGAAAATTGTGAAAAAAAGTGGAAAAACAATTAAAATTTTGTGGGCAAATTACACAACAAACTTGTGCTCATTAGAGTAAGATTACCCTAGCCCAGAACCCTAGCCCAGAGCCCTAGCCCAAAGCCCTAGCCCTGAGCTTTAGCCCAGAGCCCTAGCCCAGAGCCCTAGACCAGAGCCCTAGCCCAGAGCCCTAGCCCAGAGCCCTAGCCCAGAGCCCTAGCCCAGAGCCCTAGCCCAGAGCCCTAGCCCAGAGCCCTAGCCCAGAGCCCTAGCCCAGAGCCCTAGCCCAGAGCCCTAGCCCAGAGCCCTAGCCCAGAGCCCTAGCCCAGAGCCCCTAGCCCAGAGCCCTAGCCCAGAGCCCTAGCCCAGAGCCCTAGCCCAGAGCCCTAGCCCAGAGCCCTAGCCCAGAGCCCTAGCCCAGAGCCCTAGCTCAGAGCCCTAGCCCAGAGCCCTAGCCCAGAGCCCTAGCCCAAAGCCCTAGCCCAGAGCCATAGCCATGAGCCTTAGTCTAGAGCCCTAGTCTAAATTCTTAGCTTTGATACTTAGCGCCCATAGCCCTAGCTAGCTTAGAGCCCTAGCTTTGGTTTTTTTTGTCTACCTGTACTCGTAGTATATCTCTATCCCTAACCCAAGCCTTCTATCCTAGCTCTTTATCCTAGCATTAGTTTAGTCCTACGCTAGCTCTACTCTACCTTTCTCTTACTTTAAGACAACTTTTAAAATTTTGCCTAAACTTGAACAATCCTTTCAAAAATTAAATCTTTATTATCTTTAGAGTTATGACTAGACTAAGCTTAGTCTACCCAAAATATTAAATAAAAATGATGAGTTTGTAAATCTAAAATTTTCAATAAATCTCCGCTACCATAATTACCAATTAGAGCTTAAAGCTCTGTTAAATCCTGTTGAAGAAGCAATAAACAAAAAATTATGCAGGAAATGACGTGATCTGGCACTGTCTATTCTGATATTCTTCATATTTTTAGCGCGAATCACGTGCATCCCAAAAAAAGTGGCCAGACTTTGGTGATAAGATTTTTCGAATTTCCGGAGCTGAGTCACTGAAATTAAAAGGAGTAGGTATAAGGATTATAAGGCTGAAACAATTAGTTGTGATTACAATTCTTGCAACATTCTTTCATTTTAATGCAACTAGCATTGTAAAAAGCGTTAAAGAAAATGTGGAACAACTTGAGTCGTACTTCTTTTTTAAACAATTAAACGTTTTTAATTTTTCAACTCAATTCAAGATTTATCCTTATGTACATAGCTCTAAAATCATATCTGTTTTACACCTAAATCTTTCGTTGCAGGACCTAAGTCGGTTCACTGGAGCTTTAAGTTAAGCCACGGCCCTCAAATCCTCATGTACAGGCTCAGCTCGACTTCTTTAAAATTTGCTTCGATTAGGCTTAAATTCATCCGAGGCTAGCAAATTCTTTTTCAGGTATAGTTACTGAGACTTTTCCTGTCTCTGAAGATACTTTTTCTAAAAATAATATCTCCAGAATGATTCAATTTTTGCATTGTCGAGGTAGTGACATCTTTGAAACAATAAGCTTAATACATTCAAAACTGTATAGTACAAGCATAAGAGACTTATCTAAACCTGTCCTTTTGATTGTCGCACTATACAGGTAATTTTTGATAGAAAAAGTTGAGTGTACATAGGTCGAGAGTTTATGTTTGCTATACAATTTTTTTGTTATAGAATAGTTTGTTGTACAAAAGTTCTACATTAACTTCTTATCCTTTTTTATAAGAATTGACTCTTCCTAAAAAGTTGTAGGTATAGTTATACTATATTCAATCAAAACCCGTGGAAACAAAGGCTTTGCGAATAAAAAACTTGTTCCGTGAAACTCACCGGAACAGTGTGATTTATATGAGTTTCCCTAAAGCAAAACAAATGACTGGAAGACGGAAAAAGCCTCCAGGTCTTTCATTAAAAAATAAATTAGGCCTTTTATTTTGAAATTGAATCGGATTTGGATAAACTTTGGGTTTGATCTTCATGTTGACATTGTTTTTGTTTTGCTTTGCACGTGGTGGGTTTCATTCGGTAGCTGGTTTTTATGTTTTGGCACAGTATGATAGTTGGCTTGGGTGATTTAAGATGGTTTAATAGTTGTTTTAGAGAGTTTATTGGGTATAGTTTTTGTTTTAAAGGTCTATATGCAGGCTTGGACGCAGGGCGTTGCCCCTGTACCCTACCCGACCCGGCTCTGGAGTCGTAGTTGTAGTTGTAACCGGGTAGGGCTTGCTCGTACAATTTAGTTACAGTGGAACTCTTGTATAACGAATTGCTTGAGGATTTAAAATTTGTTTTTTATGACAGGGTTTTGGTATAGAGGGGCTTAAATTGCACTGTGCAATTTTTGTCAGAGTTTTAAAAGTTGTTTGTTATACAAGAATTTTGTTATACGGAGCTATTTAGTATTTTTTGTAAAATACGATGATGGCAAGTGATTCTTGAAATCTACATTTACTATTTCAAACAAGATACCAAAAGAATCCTTGACGATCTTAACCTATAGTTTCAGACTTGTTCCAATAATACCAGGTTAGAATAGAATAGACGTCTTTTTTGTTGCCTAGCTATCAAAAGGAAAACCTTGTTTTTATCTTTTTATTGTACAATTTTCGTAAAGTCGTCGCTTTTTTTAATTAAAAATATATTAGCACTAACAGGAGGAGTCTACAACCTCAGAATTTGATTTCTTTTTGATATAATTATATACCGTTGTGAGTTAATCAGAAATACTTAGTTTCTTAAGCTTAACAACATATTATTAATATAAAAAAATTTTGAAGTTAGTAGGGCTACTAAAAATAGAAAATTTATTAGTACTTTGTGGTTGCTTAAACATAGTTTAAGTTAAAGTATTTCCTTATAGTAACCTTGTGTTAAGCTCTAGCATTGATCTCAGATCTATTCTAATTTGTAGCCCTAGCCCAAGCTCTAACCTTTGTCTTACAGTTGTTAGCCTTAAGTTAAGCTTTAGTCCAAGTCTTAGCCTAAGTCCTAGCATAAAACTTAACCTTAATTTCAACCCTAGTCATAGACTTCGTCTAGTTGTACTCTTAGCTCTAGCCTAAGCCTTTCTTTGCAGCATTATTATGAGTTAGCAGGCCCTTATCCTATACCTAAGCTCTAGCTTGAACCCCAGTCTAATTCAAGCCCTATTCTAATTCTTAGCCATAGCCATAATCAAAACAAACCTTACTTTCCAACATTATCTCAAAGTACTTTATGTTACGGTATCCAATCCTACCAACTACCCCCTACCTCTACCTAAACCTCAAAAGCTGTGACGTTGTTAGTGACTAGTACAATGCGTGTTTATAAAACATAAATTCATGATATGTCACAGTTGCATATTCGGTGTTCTCCCTCGAGGAATGGGGTTGGAATAGCCAGTTCCGGCATCCCATATGACTTATTTGTCTTTTTCGACGTCTTGTCTAATATATTTATTTGGTATCAAGTTCCTGGAATGTACTATTTTCTACATATATTGTTACACTAATACTTGGTCATAATTTTGTGGAATTGTAAAGCTTTGGTTTGTTTTAACACAGTTACAGTAGTCATAGTAAAGTCATTTTTGATTATTTATTTACTTCTGCAGTGAAGAAAGCTGTCAACACATTGTTACAAGCTGTCATTTTGACATAATTTTTGGAACAAATAATAAAAAAATTTAAAAATTTGATTATATTTGCTACTAACCATCTACATTACACTATACATCGTATTTGTTAAAAGAAAGCTTAGCTTTAGTTGTTCCCTAGTAAATCTTAACGCTACCTTTCCCTAACCTACCGTTTCCTACGGTACTGTAAAAAAGAAGGTACTGTAAAATATCGTACCTTATTCTAGCCTTCTGTGTCCTACCCTACCCTTCTGTGCCCTACCATACCCTACTCTACCCTATTTACGTTATATTTACTCTACACTTCTCTATCCTACCCTTTCTGTAAACTTCGTACAGTACTTTTTACTTTACTACCGTATAATTATACTATTTGACATATGGATTCAAAAGATAAAAATGTGAATATAGGTCAACGGAAAAGCATGGCGTTGACCAAAAAACCCTTCCGATTCCTACTAGTATTATGTGCAATGGTACAGTTGGTTAGCTTCCTAATGGCCATCAAGTTACTGTACAATCAAAGCAGTGACAGTTCGATTTTCAAACGATTTCAAGTTGTTACTGTAAGTTTAAAACTCATTTTTAAGCTTGGTATTAATAAATTGATATACCGATTATTTTATATTTTTTAGGTATATTATTATTTGATTTTGCTGAAAACTTTAACCCTTTTAGTTAATGTTTATGGTGGTGTTTCAAATAATTACCACAGTTGTTGCCTTTTTCTCAACGATAAACTTCTTCGAGCTAGCGTGGAAAGGATCTTATGGCAGTGGAGAAGATAGAATGACTAAAATTATGTGTTATCTCGGTATGTTTCTTATGATACACCTAATGAAAATAAAAAAACATTTTTAGGATTTGCTGCATGTTGTGTATTCCTGACAGCCGGTGGTTATTTACGTTGGAAACACGCTGACAACTTTCGTTATCATGGCATATTCTTTTGGCTCATTGGAATTACTTGTTTTCTTTACGCTGTTGTATGGTTTAGAAGGTTTAGATTGGTAAGAGCTTAGTACTTTTATTATAAATTTTTAAAAAATTTAAAAATGTCAAAAAATTTTTTTTTTAATTTTAAATTTAAAATCCAGAAAAAGAGGCTTTAAATCAATTTATCTTAATCTTTCAGACAAACCAATTCGTATCAGACGCTCTGCACGCCAATGGCCTTAATTGCATTCCCCTAACCGAGCAAAATGCTCGAGATTTGTATCAAATTCGAGATTATGAAACAGAGGTCCTTACCTACATCAACAGTCCAAGCTGGATGGGTTATAAGCGACATTATGGGTCGATTAGACACGCTGAATTCTATGCCATTCAAAAATGGATCGCTCAGTTAGAAAGATTGATGCATCTGGAGGATAACAAGGAATGCATCAGTGGGCTGATCAGGGTAGGTGGGGGGTTTTTATGGATTTTTGGCTAGGATAGGCTAAGGCAAACTTTTAAAATGTCATTTCAGGAAATGACAGAACGCTGCCGGATATTTAAAATCTCCGAAGACACGGAATTCCGCTACAAACAACTAGCTCAAATGCCTTTAATTTTCGTTCCGGTCGATGAATGTACTTGTTCTCATGATGAAGAAGATCTTGACTAATTAAAAACCTATATTTTTAAAATTTGTTGACTTTTATTTAATAAAACCCATATTTTCAAAACTTTTTGAGTTTAAGAATCTATTTTTTATTTAATTTTTCATTAACTTTGACGTTTATTCCCTCCCCAAACAAAAAAAATCGGTTCGGACTACCCAAACCTCTCAAAACTTTCAAATACCCAATCATTCAACAAAACGATTTAATTATGGTAACAACATAACAATAAAAGTATAAAAAATCTGAGTTAAAGTACCGGTATTTTGTCCTCCTCGAACTGGACGACTTCATTGTTTTTAGCTTGTTCAATTTGGTTTTCAAAAACATCGACCGCTTCGCCTTTTTTCACTTTCAAATCGAGCCAAGGGTCTTGGTCGATGAGTTGTTGTCGATAATTCGAAGACTGCTCTCGACGTTTCTTTTGCCATTCTGTTTCTTGTCGAGCAAATTTGACACGTACTGTGTTTGCTACGACTGGAGCGTTAAGTTGAGCAAGTTTGGCATCATCTGAAGATGGATAATCTCAATTTTTAATTAAAAAGAGAAAACATAGCTCCAAAAGTCTTTAAAACACATCAAGCTTTAAATAACAATAGTTAAGCCACACGTATTTTACAAAACTTACCAAGTTTAGCCTTTTCCACATCGTCCTTTGACTTTTTACTGTAAACCCGTCGTTGCATATCATATGTGTTTTGAATTGGAACCAAGTACATTTTACCTAAATTTCAAAAATTACAAAGCTAAAAAACCAACTTACCATCATGATAAAACGCACATGCATGCTTTTCTAATTGACTTGCTGATGCTGAAGATTCACCAAAATATTGACCATCAAACACGTCTCTATAACAACATAATCAGTATTTTCTATAAAATAAACAACAGGTTATACCTAAATTGTATATTAAAAGTTGCAGAAGATTATTTTTCATACCATAAAATGCGTTAAAACTACTAAAAGCTATACAAAATTGATGAAATTATCAAAGTCTTACTTATTATTCCCAAACTTTGACGTTGATGAGTTATATGCCAATTCCACATGTTTAACTTTGGCCTTATGTTTTGCCGTGCAGTTTTCTAATGTTGCTGGTTTTCTGTGATTAAATAATAACCTATCCACTGACTGATTATCCGGCGGTCGTAATAAAATTAAAGGTATCTAAAAACATAGATGATTCATACTTTTTGTTGTAACTTTTTAAAAACCAAGAAATTCGATAATGTCTTAAATTTAACAGCTAACCAAGAAAATATTAATAAACCATAAAAATTTTCGAAGCTCAATTTAGGCTTTAAAAAAAGTTATGGCTTAAACCATAGTAATGATCACTATCCTTGCTTAATATACAAAATTTTCCTTCAAGAAAAAAAGTACCCTAACCCGTTAAAAGATGTTAAACTTCTTCAAAAACCCATCTAAAGACAGAAAAACCTTATAAAAAACCTACTTCTGCCACTACAGCTTCATCGTCCTCTATGTTTTTCTTAGCATCATTCGGCTCCGAATGAACAGAACCATTTCCATTAACAACTGCCTCGTTCGTTGGCTTTTCAACAGTAGTTGAAGGCTCTGGCTTTTCATCCACTTCCATCTCCTCATCGCTTAATGCGACCACGGTCTTGGTCTTTTTCCGCCTTTGGCCAACTGCTCTCGGCATTTTGCTAAAACAACATTATTGATTGAAATTAGTTCTTTTAAAGCAAAATTATAAATAAAACAAAAAAAACGAAAAATATTGATGTTAAAAACGACGCTTTTATACTAAAAACCCGTAGAATTACGCGTAAAACATGAAAAAATATCCTCAACAAAAAATAGCAATATTAATATTTGCGCGACTCGCCGTCGAATAAATGCGAAATGCGGCGCCATTTTTATACGAAGAAAACTTTATTTCTGAAAATAATTATTTTCAAAGTAAAAATAATTGAAGTTTCACAAGTTTGATCTAAATATGCTCTTATGTAAATTGGAAAGCATGGATTTTTTGTTTACAACTCATTTCAAATTTGTTATTGTATTTGGTGCGTCTCCGACGACTGGTAGGTGTCATTTTCTAGTGGTCCAACCTTTGTTTTCAACCCGCTAGATTCGTATCAAGTATGCAAGAAGCTCAAGCTCATATTTTGGAGATCATCAAGGATCAGGTAAGGCTTTTGGCACTGTTTATCGTTTTTTGTGATTTTAGGTAACAAATGTCTAAAATTCGAGGTCTAGAAGCGTTATTGTGAGAGGGTACCGTCTTTGTGTCTTCAAAAAGAATATACAGTTAAAATTACCCATTTTCAGAAGCATTTCACAGCAAGATGGCTGAAACAAGCGCGTATCAAGTCGGGAATCGAAGAGGAACATATTGCTGTTTGCATCACGGCCTGTGTCTTTAGTTATTTGGCGATTGGAGAACATGCCCAATTCCTGGCCAATGCAATTTGTGTTGTAGTGCCTTTGATCTTGACTTTTGTCTATGTTAACGAAAAGCCATCGACACAGAACATTCAGCTTTACTGGGCCGTTTTCGGCCTTATCACCTTGTTGGACACTGGATTTAAAAATAGTATTCCACTTTACTACATTCTCAAGGTAAAGTCTGTTTATTTTATAGGTGTTTTGGCTTTAACTTTGCCTACAACAAAAGTTTAGATTACAATGGCTACTATAACATCGATGTTAATATCAAACACTCAATTAGCTTGTTTTAGTTGATCAAACACACAATTAACTTGTTTTAGTTGATCATACTAGCCCTTCTGTTCCTAAAACCTTTCATGTTGGCGGAGAAAGTGATTGAATTTGCACGACAATTCGAAGACAAAGACAAGAAACTGGAGGATACGATCAGTGAAATTGAACAAAAGTCGAAAGGAAAGAAGTCGCCACCTCCAGAAAAGCCAGAGGCAGAAGATGACAAGATTGTAAAGGAGACCAAGGATTCGCAGTCAGGAAGAGTGAGTTAAAATGAAAAAATAGAGTTGGTTTATTGAGAATGGACTTAAGCTGACAAAAATAGGGCTGTGTTATTGATAATAGCTTTTGCATAAAGAAAATCATCAGTAGATATAAGAAGAATCAATTTTTAAACAATTTTTTGTAAAAGTATTACCTAAATTTTTCTTTTTGATAATAAACCCCATTTCCAGGGAGCATCCGAGCCATCTCCAACCACTAATGAGGCAGGAGCTGGAGGAGCGGCCGCTGGTGGAGCTGGAGGCTCTGGAAATGATGGAGGTGCTGGAGCTGGCGCCGGAGGAGCTTGTGCAGGTGGAGCCGGAGGTGCGGGAAGTGATGCCGCAGGTGGTGGAACTGGCGGTGCTGTAGCTGGAGGTGCTGGAGCAGGTGGTGCAGGAGGAGCAGGCGCTGGTGGAGCTGGAGTTTCAGGAAATGATGGAGCTGCTGGAGGAGCTGGTGCAGGTGGAGCCGGAGGTGCGGGAAGTGATGGCACAGGTGGTGCTGGAGCTGGTGGGGCCGGAGGTGCGGGAAGTGATGGTGCTGGAGGAGCTGGTGCTGATGGTACTGGAGCTGCTGGATCAGGTGCAAAATCTCCAAGCAAAGCCAAGTCGCCCAATGCTAAGTCACCTAATAGTGCGACAGCCGTTCCTTCCGGTAAGAGAAAAAGGTATAGAGATGGCTCTAGTTATAGTGAACAACATGTGATTGTATGTTTGTTACCATTATTATTAAAAAAACATAATTTTAGGTACAAGCCGCGACTCTGAAGGCAACCCAAGACAGAACAGCAACTACCGCGATGAAATGGCCAAAAACACCTCTCAATATCGCTTGTCCGAGGACGGCGAAGGCATGAACTTCAAGGGCGCCGCAATGCCAACTGCTCACAATGACTTTGTCACGGAACCGGTCAATAAACTGGTCTTTAATGCTCCATTCGATGAGAACGTACTGTCATACTACTTGACTGTCCGCAACAACACTCCAAGAACCATGGCTTTTGCCATGAAGTCGAATGCCATTCCTAGAATCACCGCGAATCCACCCAGTGGAATTCTGAAGCCAAGACAGAAAATTTTGATCTGGGTTAACTTGCAGGTAAAGTCATGGTTTTTTTAAAGCTTTAAAAGAAGGTCTATAGAGTCAGCAAAACTTAATGCCTCATCTTTTTATATTACCGATAAAAAGGGCTGGTATTCCACTTCTTTACCTAAAAAACCAATTTTAGCCCTTCAAATGGGACTCTATTGACGTGAGCCGAGACCGAATCGCCTTTGACTACGTACTATGCCCGGCAGACACCAAGAAATTTGTCCACAAACTCTTGCAAGGCGACGAACCTCGACGTAGAAAGAACATCTTCATTCACTACAACCCATAAATCTAATCAGCTTGAATTATATAAAGTTGGTTTTAAAGATATTCATGGTTCTGAGTTGATTTTTGAGTGAAGTTTTTGGTATCAAGGTTGGTATTAAAGGAAGACAAGATTGAAATACTGACAAAAGTACTAATAATAGTATTGTACTGCGTTTCTGAAGCTAAACAGTTTTTCCAAGTTTTAATTTTCATCAATAAAAAACTTTCCGCAAACCATTAACATACGTAGTGATATTGTTTATCATCAAATACACAAGAATTCGCAGAACGTTACAACTTTATCAACAATAATACAATCAACAGTGACATTAAAAAAGTACAAAGTATTATAAAGTGAGTGAGTATATGTTAACTTATTCTTCAGTATCAACCTTTGATTTCTTCTCGGGAACCTCTTGGGCTTTCTCTTCTTCTTCCTCACCTTGAGCTTGACGCTTCTTGGAAGCTACATCTTCAGATTCTGGTTGATCACCAGCCTGAAACCATAAAATATTATAAAAACAATATTAACGTTGAGCATTAGGGGTGAGAAAAGGGCCCGGCGCAGGCCCGGGGCCCAACGTTTTGGCCCGGCCCGTTTTCAATTTTCTCCCAGGCCGGCCCAGTCAGAAAATTTCTAGGCCCCGCCCGTTTTAAAAAATTTTAAAACTTAAAAAATAAATGGAAACTTGGCTTTGCATTATTCTTTTAGATCATTTATGTATCATGGTACCCAATAAAATCAAAAAACATCAACGGGGATTCAAATAAAAAATTTTTAAAAATTTAAAAATTTGTTTTTGGGCCCGGGCCCAATTTTCAAGCTTGGCCCGTTTCAATTTTAGCTCAAGGCCGGCCCGATCGTAGGGCCGGGCCTAGACGGCCCGTTTCTCACCCCTATCGAGCATCTTACTTGCCCTCCAAAGAAAACCTAAAAACCACAAAAAAATATGATTATTACCTAAAATAATGACAAACCAAACAAAAACAACTTACACCAGCCAAGCTCTTTTCAGGTTCTTCCTTTGCCTCTTCCTGAGCTTCCTCCTTCTTCTCTTCCTCTGCTACTTCCTTCTTTTCTTCTTCACCTTCTCTAGCCGGCTCTTCAGTCTTTTCTTTCTCAGCTCCTTCAACCTTGGCTTCTTCGGCGGTCTCCTCAGCTTTTGGTTGCTCTGCTGAAGTGTCGCCAGCTTTTTCAGCTGCAGTGTCAGAACTACCAGATCTGTTCAAAATTTCATCCAACGATTCATTGGCACCTTCGGGCTTTGCCTTGCGGGAGATAGAAGGACGTCTTGGCATGTTGATCTGAAATAACAACAATAAAAATAGACATCAACATGAAATACACATTGGAATACAAAAAAAATGTTACCTAAAAAACTATTTTTCAAAAAAAATCATGTTTTATACCTAAAACAACACAAAAATTAGCAAAGAAAACATCAATAAGTATTTTTTAGCCTGAATTTCACTAAAATATCTCAAAAACCCAAAATACAATAAATTGTAAACCAAAACGTACTTAAAAAATCTAAAACCTTAATTTAAATAAGATAATTACAAAATAACGATAAAAAACAACTTACATCAAAAATAAGAGCAAATTTCAAGAATTTGGCGGAGCTGAGAAATTCTCGGAATTAGGAAATTTGAATCTCATTCACGACACCAATACGGTACATTTCGTGCTGGGACTTAAAAAGTTTCAAAAGTTATTTTTTAAAAACTAGCTGCGGACACCTTATACGATGAAAGCTATAAAATGTCAAAAGTTGAGGAATTTTTATTTTCTGTTAGTTTCGTTTTGACATTTTAGGCTTGACTTCAGGAGTCTTCACTTTATTGAGGTATATTGCTATGGTATCGATGTTGTTTTACATCTTCAGGTGGGTTTTTTGGGTAAAATTAGGGTATCTCTTGGGTTATTGGTAATATTACCTAATCATGTTAACCTTGACTATTTCAGAAAAATGAAATTGGTGTATTGTTCTATCAATACAGTCTAACGGGCATGGAAACAGTTTGTTTCAACGTTGGTCGAACAATATTGGTTTAGGTGGAAGCTACGGTTATGAATAGTATGTCTTTCGTGGAAGCAGTGTCCTCAACAACTTTTCGATGTATTTTGCACCCTGGCTTGAAGTAATTTCATTGATTGCTCAGCGGCAATTCATGTTTCTGTTTTGAAATGAATGAATTGTCTAAAAATGATAATTTCATGTCTAGGTAATGGTTTTTTATTTGTTTTGAATTTTTAGGTATGAAATCGTGTGTATTATTGGAAGCTGTTACTATTTCCGATTTTAACATAGCCATTTGTTGATGAGGCTTCAAATTTTTAGCGTAATGTTCAGTCTGAAGCAAGAAGATTTATAATATTTCAGACTTTCTAGAGTTAATATTCATTATTTGGACCAATAGCTTGGTTTAGTTTTAATTTTGCAGCTAAGCATTTCAAATTCTGAATTTTATTAACTCATAAAAACAACAAACAATAACAAGATACAAAACAATGATAAATTAAAGGTGTGAAAGCTTATGCTTCTGTTTTCGCGCGTTTTTCTGGTATTTCATCTTCCTTTACTTCAGTTTTTTCGTTTCTTTTCAGGTTGTAGATGTGTTTTCGGCCAAGCTGATGACGTTCCCAACATATTTCTCCATGAACGTCGCGGTTACACACCTAAAAATTTAATTTTTATTAACGAGACATTTAGATAAGATACTTATTGGTAATTTAATTGAAATTTCAAGCTTATACAGATATTATCTTATTCCCAATACCAATTGTTTTGTCCAACATTACCTACCTCGCAATGTGTCATTTGATTGGCCTTTTTTGCGTATTCAGGGTCAGTGATCGGCTTGAGATCATTTGTGTCGATTAAGCATGTACTAATAGCAGTTTTGTCAAATGTTCCATCGTTGAAGAAGCTTTGTGTTTGTTTTAGTGCAAATGGTACCGCTTTTTCGTAAAAATCGGTTGAAGTGTCCAACATTAAAAGGTTTGGTACCTGAAATGATTGCATTCATTTCAATAATCCAATATTATAAAAATAAACAAGTTTCAGTAAGATACCGTTTATCAAAATGGCACTACTATGATTTAGGCAACAATTGATATTAAAAATCATAAAATTATGTTAACATACCTCTCTCAATTCAGTTCGCCGTACAAATCTCATTGTGAACCAATTCCTCTGTCTTCTAGCGTACTTTCTAGTATTTGATTTCAAAGTTTCAGCGCAGTTCTTTAAACATTTTGCGCCTTTAGTTGTAGAACGAGCTTCTTCCGGCATCTTCAAGTAGGGGAGATACTCCTTGATACCTATGGATTGTTTTATTCCATGTGATCCCAAAGCTTCTCCGTACTAAAACATAAAAGAGTTATTTTGTGACAAAAAGTATGAATAATATTAATTTATGTAGAGAATCTTTCACATACGACGTCAAGAGAACCGTATAGGCGCCTACCTTATCGTAAAATTCTGTCAATTCCTTCATCAACCCTTTGGCTTCCATCTTATCAACTCTTTTGTCCAACCTATTATCTAAAATATCTGTTTCCGCGTCCAAAATGAACAATGCTGTGTTCTTGAAGCGCAATTTGCCTTGTTCTCCAATTAGAACAGCCTTTTTCGAGTTGCCAAGCATACATATTTCGAGAGCACGTTGAACTCGAGCTCGATTATTCGGATGAACTTGAGCAGCAGCGTCTGGATCTTTGTCCTTCAAAATATGATATAGATCAGTGTCGCTTTTGTTCTTCATTTCTTGTCGTAATTTCTCTGAAACATGGCTAACATAACATTTTTATGAATGTCTTCGAAAATCATTGTTAAATGAACGGAAAATAGACTTTAAAACCTCAATATTATCTTTGGCAAACTTATTCAGCCCTCACAATAGCCAAAAACTTACCAATTTCCTCCGCTGTACCAACTTTAACAATAGCATCGTTATAGATAACGCCCTCAATGTAATAAGCCGTGCCTCCAACAATAACTGGCAGCTTTCCTCGATTCCAAATGTCGTTTATACAGTCCAAACATTGTGTTTGAAATTTATGAACATTAAATTCGTCTGTCGGATCCAAAAAACCAATCAAATGATGCTTTATACCCTGAGCTTCTTCATCTGTTATCTTATTCGTCACAATGTCCAAACCTAAAGCCGAAATGAGACTAACGATACTTTCATACCTTTGTAAAGTTGCATAGAATCCGCATTGATAACTTCTCCATTATATTTCTTGGCTATTTCCACTCCAAGGTCTGATTTTCCGGTTCCTGTGCACCCGGCAACTACTACAAGATAATTTTTCGGATCAAAAGAAGTTGAAGCCATTAAAGGAATAGTTTTGATCAACTGGGATGCTAATTTTATCAGTCTTTGGCTGGAAAAAGCCATAGACAATATATTTTTTGTTTTTATTTATTAGGTGAAGCTTTACGCCAAAAAGGTTTGGCGTGGTTTGTTTTCGTGGTGGGACTTTGACTCATTGTTGTGTAAGTGATAAATTGACGTTTCTATATGACCTACGATGTTCACAATCACAAAGATAAGTTATACGACCATATTTTTACTATCCCTAACCATAATTTTAAAAAATATTCAACTAAACAATAATTTCATCAATATTACTTTATTGCCTTATAATAAGTACGAATATCATTAATTTGAACTTGGTACAAGTAGAACCTTGTGATTTTGTGGTCGCAAATCCATTTCTTCGTCTTGTGCTGGGTTCTTAGCCAAGTATGAGAGTACATTGGCTATGAAATTGGGGTCGACTTGTAGTTGGGTTGGGCCGGCGTGTTCGTTGGCATGGGCGTGTTGAACGTATTTCGTCTTGTCGGTTGGCTGAAAAAGGTTATTTTGAGTAAAATTGGTTTACAAAAGCATAAAGTAGGTAAAACTGGGTTGAAAATATAAAAAGAGATAACAAGAGTTAAAAAAATTTTTTAAATTCAAAAGGTACACTTACTTCAGGTTTTGCTTTTGCTTTCCCAATAATATACGACGAATTGATGCTTGCTAAAAAAGAATAGGTTAGAAAGTTTTTAAGTAATTTAAAAAGGCATTTTGTAAAAAAATGCTTAGAATTTTTGATAAAGGCTACTATTGTTGAGTACGGTAACGTTTCCGTAGCTCGCCATAGTATCGCCCTAGCTTTGTCCTGGCCAAGCCTTGCTCTAGCCTTGTCTTAGCCCTCTCTTAGATAAATCCCTGTTTTAGCATTGCCCTGCCCGAGCTTTAGTCTAGCCTGGCCCAAGCCTTGCTCTAACCTTGCTCTAGCTTTGTGATGGCCTTGACCTAGCCTTGTCCTTGCTCTGCCTTGGTTTGCCTTGCCATGCCCTGGCTTGCCCTGCTCTAGCCATGTCCTAGCCTTGCCGAAGCCTTTCCTTAGCCCTGCCCTAGCCCTATCCCTACTCTATCCTTATTCCAGCTCTGTCCTAATCTCTCTTTGGCCAAGCCTTACCCAACCTTAACATACTGTGAAATTCAGGCCCGTACACTCAAAAAAACAATCTTTTTACTAATTTATGAATATTAAGCACTCCAGTACCTCATCACTACAATATAAAGTATGCAAAACGCTCCATTTTCATGTGACTTTTCGCCACACCAAAGCGCAGTCCATTTTTGACCTCGAACCCTTCATTCTCTCCTTTCCCTGATAACAAAGTGTGTTTCCAATATATTATTTTTTTCGAAAAAACTGGACACCAAATTTAAAAAACTTCCGCAATTCCTTTTTATATAAATTTCTTTGCTCTTCAAAGTTACCATGGTAAAGGATGTTTATGTAGGGAACGTTTTAAAGAGGGGATTTTTCAAATCCTCAGGGTTTCTTTTTTCAACTTTTCTTCACGGAGCTACGCTTTAATGTGCCGTTCAAGTGAAACATTTTAAACGTTACCAACGTTTGAATTTCAAAAATTTTCCCGACGTTCGAATTTCAAACGTTTTCGAAAGCGCTGGGTGAGGGTGAAAACGGCCGGTATTGAGTGGGGCGGGGAAGGGAAGGGGGGGTTTGTTTTTTAGTAAAAGGAGGGGTTTAGGATATTTTTAAATACTGTAAAGAAAATTCTTGCATTTTTTGTTCTAAAAAAGAAAGTTATTGCTATTTTTTGTAGTGTAAAGAAAGTTCTTGCCATTTTTTGTTTTGTAAAGAAGGTTTTTCCTAACTTCAGAATCTATATCCTTTGTGATTTCAAACCAAAATCAATGCCTTTTTCCATATTCTTCCTCAATTTTCGCACGTAAAATGCGGTTTTTGCGTTTTCTGGAAGAATACCTCGGTTAAAATCGGGGCATTTGGCCATTATTTATTTATTTTTGAGGCGCAACATAAGGTTCGTATTCCAAAGGAGCAAAGTTTCATTTTTGGCAGGGCAATAATATTTTACTTTTAGGGTTAAGGTAGGGTAGGGCAAGGTGGGTAGGTTGTGGTATGGTAGGGGTAGTTGTAAGGGTAGGGACAGTTGTAAGTTTATGGCAGTAGGGAAGGGATAAAAGTAAGAGCAGACGTAATGTGGGGATAGGTGTAAGACTAGGGATATTGCTAGAAATAGGGTCTCAAAAACCTTGTATTTACTTAAAAATGACGAATAAACAAAACTTTGGCTATGTCAAACCTAAACTTCACCGTTTTTCACGTTTTTTGTAAGGTAGCTTTACTATATTTATAAAAAGTGTAAAAAATCATTTTTAAAATTTCCCTTTTACAGATCATGCCAATCAGATACGTGGCCAAACGGCCGAAAAACGTTCAAATTTTGAGCGAAAAACTGTATGCTGGCAGCACTAAAAAGACCATTGGTAACCGGTTATTAAAAGTGAGTTTTAAACTTTTTTACTAGCTAAACTGTATTTTTTTATCTTTCTCTTGCTAGCATGTTTTAAAAGTAGCATTTTAAAATTTTTCGAATTGCAAAAAAAAAAATTTTTTTTCGAAATTTTTTTGGCTAAAATTTGCTATAAAAACAAGACAAAATTTTTTCAAAAACAAATGAATAAAAATTTAAAAATCTTTAAAAATTTTAAAATTTCAGGCAGCTTTGACTGAAAGAACAGCTACATTCGACCCGAAGAACCTGGAATACTCTGGATTACCAACTCAAAAAATATTGAATTTATATGAAAAATGGTCGAAAGGAGGGTTTGGGGTTATTGCTACTGGTAATATACCAGTCGATCATGTAAGCTGTAGTCGAAAAAAGTGGAAAAAACATCCAAAAAACATATTTTAAGATTTTTTGGTCGAATGTTGAATAAAAAATTGGATTTTTTTTGATTTTCTACAAACTTTTTGACCTCTATTTAAATTTAATTTTATTTTCATTCCTTTTTCAGAAACATCTGGAATGTGGAGGTAATATGTGGTTGGAAGATGGCTACATAACTGAAGAAAGGACTAGAAAATTCAAAATGTTGGCTAGCGCCTGCAAAGCCAATGGGGACACTGTAGCTTTCGCTCAGTTGAGTCATGTAAGTTGGAATGACAATAAGTTTGTTTAGGAAACAGCAAATGGAAATAACTCTCTTTCCGAAAACAAAAAATGGCAAGAACTTTCTTTACAACACATAAAACGTCAATAACTTTGTTTACAAAAGACAAAATGGCAGAAACTTTCTTTGCAAACCACAAAATGGCAAGAACTTTCTTTACAAAACAACAAATGGCAAGAACTTTCTTTCCAGGCAGGCCACAAGACCCCAGCTGCGCTAAACCCTGCTCCGTTTGGAGCTTCAAACGTTGGAATTAAACAAGCCTTCCACGGTGTACGATTTGGTACTCCTGTAGCACTAACCGAAGAACAGGTCAAAACTGAAATTGTGGACAAATTCGCATTCGCTGCTACAGTATGCAGGAACAGTGGGTTTGATGGGGTTCAACTGAATTCTAGTCATGGTGACATTTTCGCTCAATTCTTTTCGCCACTATTTAATAATCGAAAGGATAAGTATGGCTATGTGGATGGGGATCGATTGAACATCCTGAGGGAGGTTATTGAGGGTATACGGTAAGTTTTCAAAACCTTACGTATAACAGATAAACTTGTGTGTTTAGTACAGTGCAGGGTACTTTGAGGAAAAAAGAGGGGAGAGTTGGGTCTGGAAGGCAAGTTGCGGGCAGGGTAAGGTGTGGAAGGGCAAGACGGGACAGGGCAAAGTATGGAAGGGCAAGATGGGGCAGGGTAAAATTAAAGTTTGGAGAGGGGATATAGGTAGGGTATAGGGTAAGGTAGCATAGGTGTAGGGATAGGGTAGGGCAGGGCAGGGCAAAGTAAGGCAAGGCAGGGTAGGGGATACTAAGCTCAATTATGACACTGTAGACTAGCCTATCACCTAATTTTCTCACTTTTTCTAAATTTCAAACTCAAAAATCCATTTTTTTTTTCAGAAACTCAAACCCAGAAACAAGTGGATTCCTGGTTGGAATCAAGGTGAATCTAATGGAATTCATTCAAGATGGTCTTTCAGTAGACCAAGCAATTGAAAAAGTTCAAAAAATTGGAAAAATTGGAGTGGATTTAATCGAAATCACTGGTGCTTACATTGAAATGCCTCCGGGAATCGAGAGAAATATTGCTGGAAAACAACAGTTTGACTACACTATTAATGTGGCTAAGCAGGTAAGTGGATAAGGATAAAAGAGGCAGTGGTTCTTTGTTTTGTAAAGGAAGTTCTTGCCATTTTTAAATTGTTAAAGAAAGTTATTGCCGTTTTTAGTTTGTAAAGAAAGTTCTTACTCTTTTTTATTAAACAATTCCAAAAATGGCATTTTCAGGTAAAATCAGCAATCCCAAAATCCTTGGTCTACCTGACCGGAGGCTTCAGAACTGCCGAAACTATGATTAAAGCTATCGAAGAGAAATGGACTGACGGAATTGGCCTTGGCCGTCCAGCCTGTGCTGAACCTGGTAAGTTTCTGGAATTTTTTGCTTTGTAAAGAAAGTTCTTGCCATTTGTTGTTTTGTAAAGAAAGTTCTTGCCATTTTTTGTTTTGTAAAGAAAGTTCTTGCCATTTTTTGTTTTGTAAAGAAAGTTCTTGCCATTTTTTGTTTTGTAAAGAAAGTTCTTGCTATTTTTTGATTTGTAAGGACAGTTATTGTCGTTTTTTAGCTTGTAAACAAAGTTCTTGCCATTTTCTGTTTTGTAAAGAAAGTTTTTGCTATTTTTTTAATTCGAAAAAGTTAATTAAAAAATTTTCAGACTTTGCCAACAAGATCCTATCAGGCCAAGAATCGGCCGCCTTGGCCAATTCCTTTGAATTTGACTTTGATTTGGCCCAACTTGCGGCCAATTCGCAAATGGAACAAGCCGGCCGACAGTCGCTGGAAAAGAGCGGATTCTGCGATGGAATCACCAACTTGAGTACGATTCAAGGATCGAAAAAGTTCAAACAAGAACTGGAAAAGTATTATGTTGAGATGACACAGCGTGCCGAACGGGGCGAGGTTTTGTCCGGAGTTTTTGAGTTTTACGAGTAGGGCTAGGGTTGATTTTTCTTGCCTAGGGCGGATTTTCCCATTTTTTTAGTTTTTCAAATTGTATTTTAGCTTTTATTATTCATATTGTTGTTGTAAAAATAAATTATTTTTGAACTTGTTGGTTTTAAGAGTTATTGAAAAGTAGGCTGCAAACAAGGTTATTGCCATTTTTTAACTTGTAAAGAAAGTTGTTGCGATTTTATGTTTCTTAAAGAAAATTCTTGACATTTTTGTGTTATGAAGAAATTTCTTTCCATTTCTCATCCTGTAAAGAAAATTCTTGCGATTTTATGTTTTCTAAACACCATTATTTCCATTTTAAGCCGTAATCACCGTAAATTTTGATTCTGCAACCTGCGGGTGACAAGTTATACGATAAGCAGCCTTTTATCAGCTTTAAAGAAAAACTTCTCGCCATTTTAAGATTTACGTAGGGCAAAGCAAGACAAGTTTAATATTGCCATGTATGCCTTCTTTTTCTATAAAACCATTAACCCTGCCGTTTACCTCCTCTCTTTCACCCTTCCTTCTCCTAAATAAAAACTAACAAATCCACCCACCTCTAGCCAAGTCGGGTCGGTTCTTCTCCGCCATTGCCAAGATCTTTTTCCGCCGTTTCTCAATCTTCAGTTTGGCTTCCCTCTTCACGAAATGACGAGCATAGCATATCCAACAAAGCCAAGCAAATATCAACAATAATAACATGGTAATGAAGATGTACAATGCGTTATAGGCTGTCGAACTTGCCACACAACATGCTGAAAGGTGGAAAGTTAGTAGTTTAAGCATGGTTTTTGAGTATACATTAAAAATATACACCATTTTTGAGTATATTATTTTAGGTATTCAAAGTAAAAAAGCATTTACAAGTATTTAAAAATTCAAAAAATTTTTGTCGTTTTTCCTTACCAAAATACATACAAATGAACGACAAGACTTTATTAAACCATTATATACATCTTGCATTGTTAAAAAAACGATTACATAGTAAATTCTGGTTATAGTCTCGCTACCGTATTAAGAAAGTAGTAATGGTAAAAAAATTAACAATGACTTACAAGAAACAATGACATCTGAACTAGAAGGACGAGATTGAGACGACTTGGACGGCTGACTTGAAACAAACTCTGCAAAAACAATAAAATTAGCAAAGACTATATATCATTACAAGACTAAAAATGGCAAGAACTTCCTTTACAAAACAAAAAATAGCAATAACTTTCTTTACAGGACGAGAAATGTGTCATAAAATTATTATGAATATTGTATTATTAGCTAGTTACAGTATATAAAATATTTATTTATCCAAAAATATAAAATACGACCGATCCGCGGTCTAGTTGGTTAGAGACTTTTTAGTTTTTGGCCAAATCGGCCTAACTATAAACAGTTTTTGCAAGATAAAAAAGACCTTCTTTGTTCTGGACCGGTTCTATATTTTTGTAAACATGTTTTTGTATTTCTTAACTCGCAACTTCGCGACAAATGGCAAGAACTTCCTTTACAGAACGAGAAATGGCAAGAACTTTCTTTACAAAGCAAATAAGAAGCTTACCAAAATCTTCTATATAATCCGTTAATGAAGTTGTTGTTCTACTCGGTGCCATAACGACCACCTTCTTAATATAAAAATATAAAAATGATTTTTTTTTAATTTATTGATTGTTTTTTACAAATTTGAAAAATTGTAATATTTCAATTTTTAAAAACAGAAAATTTCAAATTTCAAAATTTTTAAAATTTATAATTTTTGTACCACTGAAAATTGGTTGAAGTGTTAAAAATGACCGAAAATTATGAAATTATAAATTATGTTCAAGATATAGAGGATGTGGATACAAAATTATATGAGAGGTATCATCAAAAAGGTAGGTTTTACCGATTTTCTTGGTTTGTAAAGAAAATTCTTGCCATATTTTGATTTGTAAACAAAGCTCTTGCCATTTTTTGCTTTAAAAAAGAAAATTTTGCGAGCTAGAGTTTGGAAAGAAAGTTTTTGTCGTTTTTCATGTTGAAAAAAATGTGAAAAGTTTCAAAAAAAAATCTACAATTTTCAAAATAAAAAAAAAATCATAATTTTTCAAAATTTGACCCTTAAAAACCACCTTTTATCCTACCCTTTCCACTTCCAGGAGGCCCATTCTTCAACGCCTGGAGCCAGCTCTACATTTCAATGTTCCTCCTGGTTCTAGTCATTTCTGCCTTCTTTATCGCCGGCTTCGTACTTCGTCACATATTAAAGAATAAGTCGAGTAAAACACAGAAAATATATGAAGAAACAGTCGGTGCTCGAGCAGAAAACCGATTTTTGAGTTGGAAAAACGATCTGGACAATATTCTCAATCAGAAATAGTTGGGTGACGACAGGAAATACTCTCTTTTGAACGTTTTTACTTTGTAAAAATATATACTTTGCAAAATATTGTCTATAATAACATGATTTTATTGAGTTTGTTGAACAGAATAAAATTTTTATTGAGTTTGTTGAAAATGTTAGGTATTTTACACGTTTTCCCATTTGCACGTTCTTTTCGAAGTCTTCAACGAAGAATTCGTCTGAAAAATGTGTCAGACTGACGTTTTTAATCTGTCATTTTATATTTTTTCTGATTTTTCAACGATAATTTATTTATTTATCCAAATTAATGACGAAATCCAACTTGTCAGTTTATCGACGGTAATAGTATCTAAACCATAGACAAAGGGATTCAACAGCTAAAGCAACAAGGGTTTTATGGATAACATAAACTTGGCACAGGTAAATGTCCTCGAATCTCAAAGATTTGGCCAAAAATGGATACATTTTAATTCCAATGGTAAGTATTATCAATATATTTTTGTTGAATTTTTAGGCTAAGGTGATCATGAAGAAATAATGAACGAGAAGTGGGATAATATAGCTCAATTTGTTTTTTTGAATGTTTAGGCATAATATCGTTTACAAAATAGAAAAATAGGTAGAAGATCATAGAGAAATTAGTTTATGTTGAGGAGAAGACATGTATGCGTGTCTTATGATATTATTTTAGGCAATAAAACTTCGATTTTACAATTTTCAACTGATTTTTTAGCCAAAGGTTTTAAAAATCTTTAAATTTGGTGAAATAGTGCCATTTTTATACACTTTCTATACTTATGTTGGTTGATTTTTTGGGAAAACTATTATAAAACATATTCTTGAGTTGTCGATAACTCTAAGCAAGTCGGGAAAGATAGTGTTCTTAAGACTATTTCACTAACTTTAGCAGTTACAACAAGGCTATGGATAAGGTAACTCAATTTTTTGGGTTTTCAAGAGAATTTTTACTTTTCTTAATCCAAAATTTGATAAAATAACAATTTAAGCTTTCAATTTTCAGCCAGAAGAAGAGGCTTCACCAAAAAACTACTGTTTGACCGCGGAAATTGACTTTGTTCTGGTATACGAGGAGAACAGTGAAAAGACGAAAAAGGCGGAACGTCGAAAAGATTTTGAAGAAAATTTGACCAGAATTGGTCTGAAGTTACAAGAAGGCCCCGTTTTACAGAACAGTAAGTATTTTAGTTCTTTTAGCTTGTTTAACTTATTAAAAATTTAAAAACTTCAAAATTTTAGTAGTATTATTAGAGTATTAAAAAGTATTGTCGTGATATATTAAAAGTTAAAAATGAGTGTTTAGATTCGACCAAGTACAATACCGTATTGATTCACTGTCCATTCAAGATTTTATGTCGCCAAGCTGAACTTCATCACATTCGAAAGCCAACTTTATTCAATGATTTTAATGTAAGTCATTTTTTTTGATTTTTAGTTTTTTAAATATTCAGGGTAGGGTAGGGGAAGGTAGGGAAGGAGTGCATGGTAGGGCAGGGAAGGACAGCGCAGAAGGTAATGCAGGACATGGCAGTGTAGGGCAATGCATGAAAACGCAGTGTTGGGTCGGGTACAGTAGGGTAGGGCAGGGTACTATAGAGTAGGTCAGAACGGAATGTGGTATGAGAGTCCTTAAAAGCGGGGTAGATTATTGAATGAGAAGAGAAAACTGATAAGCATTTTAAAATGACCAATTTTAGAAAAAGTACAGGAAAAGAGAATGCCAAATCTTTCCAAATCTTCAAAAACTGCCGGACGAGGTTTTCAACCGATGGAGAATGTCAGACTTTTTTTATGAAGAATTCAATCACAAACGCATTGAAAAGTAAGGCTTTTGTAACATTATGTTGTTCAAATAATTCTGTGCTTTCTAGCCCCGAAAGTTTACTTTGTGAGGGGGCACACAATTATTTGAACAAATTAATATTGAATAAACCAACAAAAATTGACAAAATTGATGTTTAGGTACATTGGCTCATCAGACGAAGCCAATTTCTTTACATCAGCTGAACGAAGTCGAATTACGTATGATTTGTTACTACGAACACGGCACGATGCCAACAATGAAAAGAACCTTGAGTTTGGCATTGAAAGACTTATCTCGGAGAATGTTTATCACTGCTGTTTTCCACTTCATGAGGTAGGGTTTTGACAAAGCTTTTTAGATATTTTTGTATTACAATGGAAGTTCTGTATAACGAATCGCTCGAGGATTTGAAAGTTGTTCGTTATACAGGAGTTTTGGTATAAAGGAGCTTGTTTTGTTTTTTAAATGAAATTTCAGAGCTTTCATTACTCGGATCAAGATGAAATCGTCGATATGAATGATCGAGAAGTGCTTTACCGATATTGGACTAAAATTACAAACTTTATCAGTGCTCAGCCATTGGATCTCATAAAGTAAGTTTGGCGTTTTACTAGGTAGAGTAGGGTAAAGTAAGGTGAGTTAGAGTAAGGTAACGTAGGGTAGAGTAGGATATGGGAGGGTAGGATAAGGTAAGATAGGGTAATGTAGAATAGGAATTGGTAAGGTAGGGTTGAGTAGGGCAGGGTAGGGCCTTGTTTAGCTTTTTTATTAAATCAATATAGTTTTAAAAATGACTTTATATTAATAATGATTTTAGGAAGTACTTCGGATCGAAAATTTCGTTTTATTTTGCTTGGCTCGGTTTCTACACGCGATCTTTGATGTACATGGCCGCGATTGGAGTTTTGTTCTGTTTTGCTGGCATCTTCTTTTCGGTTTTTGATGTACCAAGGTAAACTTATTTTTAAAGTAATGTTATTTTTACAAAAGGATGGTGGTGTATATGGGATAGTACGTTAGAGTAACTTATGTTAGGTGTAGTGTAGGGTACGGTAGAACAGGGCAAGGAAGGGTTGTGCAGAGTAAGACAAGTCAAGGCAAGAGTGGTTAGGGCAGAGTATTTAGTGCTCAGTAATGGGATGTTGTAAGTTGATGCATGACAGGATAGCGATGAGCGGATTTTTTAAAAATTTATATTGTTTTAGTGACCAAATATGCAACAAAAGTTACGGTGGTAAGATATACTTGTGTGCGTTGCATAAACATGTCGAAGGAAACAAGCTACAGACTTTTTATCACAGCTGTCTTTATGCTAAAGTGAGTTTGTTTGTTTTTAAACTTTTTTGAAAAACTTAATTTTTTTTAATTTTGAACTTTGTAAAAATTTAAAAATTTTGATTTTTTTTTAATTTTAAAAATAAAAATTTTTGCTTTCCAGATCTCCTACGTATTCGACAACCCATGCACAATAATAATGGCTGTGATAACGGCAGTTTGGGCCACTACTTTCCTAGAGAGTTGGGGTCGTTTTGCGTGGCAGTTGAAGTACAGATGGCAGTTGTTAGGACACGAAGAAGAAGATGAACTAATCAGACCTCAATATCAATACAAGTACATGAAGAAACGTCAAAATTCAGTAAGGGAAGACTTTGAAGATACGGATTACATGGTGAAGAAGTCACTGTTCTCTCAAATCGTCGCCATCTCGGTTTCCTGGCTTACTGCACTCTTTTTTGTAAGTTTGGGCTCAAAGTAGGATAACTAAGGGGTAGTATGGTGTTATAGCTCCAGACCTGTAAATAGGCCCCAATTTAAAAATATTTGTTTAACTCTACTTTTACCCCTAATAAACAAACTTTTTTACTTTTAGATGCTTCTAATTGTTGGAGCATTAGTAGGAATGTTGGTATACCAAGTCATTCTGACTAAACTGATCCGCCCATTTGATCCTACAGTAGGCACAGTAATCGTCTCAATATCAGGAGCATCGATCAACTTTATCTTCATCTTAATCATGGGCGTGGTGTACCAAAAGATTGCTTATCGACTAACTGAATGGGAATGCCCGATGACTCAAAACCAGTTTGACAATCAGTATGCGGTCAAGGTGTTCTGTTTTCAATTTGTCAACTACTATTCAAGCATCTTCTACATTGCTTTCTTTCGTGGCAAGTTTAATGGAGCACCACCGGTGAATGATGAACATGACCTGAGTGGAGATTACTGGCCAGGAATAAGATTGTTTGGTCATAGAACGTCGGAATGTAGTCCGGCTGGATGTATGGTGGAGTTGATTATACAACTGTTCGTTACCATGTGTGGCAAACAGTTTTTGGGATTGGTTGTGGAGGTGTTGTCACCGTAAGATTACTGTTATAATGCGTTGTAGGGAGGGGTATTAAGACGAAAGTGGGGATGAGCTTTTTTGAAATTGTGTTAAAATTTTAGTTTTTAAGGTAGTGTGGCGATAAGATGGGGTAAGCTGAAGTAAGGCTAGGCAAGGTAAGGTACGGTAAGGTAAGGTAAGGAAGGTAAGGTAAGGTAAGGTAAGGTAAGGTAAGGTAAGGTAAGGTAAGGTAAGGTAAGGTAAGGTATGGTAAGGTAAGGTAAGGTAAAGTAAGTTAAGGTAGAATATGGTAGGGAAGAGTAGTATGGAAGGTAAATTTCTTATTTTCAGGACAGTAACCCACTGGTGGCGAGAAAGGCACGTGAAACAAAAAGGTGACAAAATGGCCCCAAGAGACGATGTTCAATTGATCAAAGAGAATTTTGCAATGAACGCCTTTTATTCACAACATTTGTTTCAGGAATACGTGGAAATGGGTAAAGATATTGGGTCAAGTATCGAATAATATGGGGGGGGGGGTGGATTCACTCCCCAGAGCCAATCCGGAAAAAATTCCACAGGTAGGGGTAGGTCTGTACACGAAAAATCGAAAAAAAAATTTTTTTTGAAAAATCGTGTGCAAAAAAAATTTTTGGGTCTCCCCAGAAAAAAATAAATTTTAAGGTGGAGTAACGAAGGGGGGTATAGAGTAGACTATGGTAGGTTAGGGCGTGGTAGGACGTGGCAAGGTAGGGTAAAGTAGTGTATGAGAGAGTAGAGCAGAGTATAAATTAGAATAGTGTAGGCTATGGTCATGGTAGGACGGGGATTGGTGAAGGTAAGAGCTAGGATCATGACTAGGCTAAGATTGATAAAAACTAAAGCGGGAATGTTTAAAACAATGATTTTAGTGATTCAATTTGGATTCTGTGCTATGTTCACTGCAGCCTTCCCCCTGACTCCACTATTTGCACTACTCAATAATTTGTTGGAAGTTCGAGGCGATTCCTATAAATTGGTCAGGATGTACCGACGGCCAGTCGCTTTAATTTCAAATGGCATTGGCATTTGGGCACAAATTTTGAATTTGTTGAGCAATCTGTCTGTTTTCATCAATGTAAGTGGGAGGGGTAAAAAACGGAAAAAATTTTGGGAGTGGGTTTTTAAAATTTTTTGGGACGTGGTACTAAAAAATGTTTTTGGGATGGATTTTTAAATTGTTTTTGGGCGTGGTTTTAATTTTTTTTAATTTGAAAAGCAAGGGTGAAAAAAATAAAAAAAATATGGGGGTGGATCAAAAATTATTTTTTTTGGAAAAAAGTTAAAATTTTTAAAATTGTTTATTTCCAAAATTTCAGGCTATGGTAATAGCATTTTCGTCCGATTTGATACCCAGACTGTTCCACATGATCGAGAATGACTTTTCTCTTGAGACTTATTGGAATGTGACGTTGGATTTGATGACAATGGATGAAAACAAGTTTGCAGGTGATCGACCAGTCAATGCCACAAACTGTTATTTTAGAAATGATTGGAAGAAGCTGGACAAACGATGGTACATGATCATGACATTGAGATTGGCATTTGTACTGATTTTGGAGGTAAAATGACGTTTTTGAATTTTTTCAGTTTTAAAGCGTTATGAAAAAATGGCAAGGGCTTTCTTTATAAAAAACGAAAATGAGCAAGAACTTTCTTTACAGAACAAAAAATGACAAGAACTTTCTTTATCAAACGAAAAATGCAAGAACTTTCTTTACAAAACAAAAAATGGCAAGAACTTTCTTTACAAAACAAGAAATGGCATGAACTTTGTTTACAAAACAAAATATAAATTTTTTTACATTTTAAAGAAATAAAAAAAATTCATTTTTACCTAAAATTTCTCTATTTTCAGCACCTAGTACTAGGAATAAAACGTCTTCTGGCCTGGATGATACCCGATGTTCCGAAGAAGATAGCAGCGATGATGAAGTACCACAAATACCTGAAGAAGAAGGAATTGATGAAAAGCGAGGGCGTTTCGAATGTCATGCACTTGGCTTATCAACCAGGCAAACAAAGCGCCGATCAAACGTCAAGTTGAAGTCCTACTCTTGTGGACTTTGTTTAGGATTTTGAAGATTAAATATTGCTTGATTTGTGGGCTTGGATTGTTTAAAGTATATATGTTGACATTACATGTGATATTGAAGTTTACTTTTGTGATATTTATGTGTGTGCCCAGGGACGTCGCTACGGTTTTTCTCTGGGGGGGAGGTCGAAAAATTTTTTTTTTCGTTTTTCCGCGTACAGGTCCTGTGGAATTTTTTTCGGGTAAGGTAGGGTAGAGCAGGGCATTGTAGGGGGTATTTATGGAAGCAAGAGAAGGGTGTGTTTGGAAAATAAGGGCAGGGTAGCGCAGCAAAGCTAGTAATGCTACGTATAACAGGATGGAGATAGGGTGGGAAGGGTATGGACTCCGTATCATACTATGGAAGCAAGAGAGGGTAGAGTAGGGTAGGGTTAGGTAGGATACAGTAGGTAGATTAGGTTAGAGTAGGAGGGTAGGGTATAATAGAGTAGGGAAGGGTAAGGTAAGGCAGGGTAAACCATGGCATAGAATATGGAAGCAAGCGAACGGTAGTGTAGCAAACCTAGGGCAGTTGCACTTCATAACCAGAAACTTTGACAAGCAAGAAAAATTAAAATTTTATTATATTATAAAAATTAAAATAATTTTTTTTTGAAATTTTAAGTTCATTTTTTGAATTATTTGAATTAAAAGTTTTATTTTTCCTAAAAACCGTGACTTTTATGCAAATTTTTTCAGGGTATAAAATGCAGATCTTTGCCATTTTTTGCCATTATTCAACGTCGTTCACCTCCCAGTGTGGCCGTTTCGAAGTTCGTTTTTGGATTTGTGCTGCCCATTCTTAACTGGTCGAGCAATGAAGGCAATTCTCATCGTCTTCTGCTTTATGCTTGCGGGTCTTGTGATTGGTGATGATGTTAAGTACACTCTGTATGTTGATGGGTCGGCTGTGCAATTTGGCGAGTTGATGGTGAGATTTTTTTGGAAATTTTTAGTAATTTTTGCAATTTAATTTTTTGTAAAGAAAGTTCTTGCAATTTTTTTTGTTTTGTAAAGAAAGTTCTTTCCATTTTTTGTTTTGTAAAGAAAGTTCTTTTCATTTTTTGCTTTGTAAAGAAAGTTCTTGCAATTTTTTATTTTGTAAAGAAAGTTCTTTCCATTTTTTGTTTTGTAAAGAAAGTTCTTGCTATTTCTTTGTGCTTGGAAAGAATGGTTTTGTTGAATGCAGTGAATGCAAATTTGCTTTGAAAGGACTACAGAATTATGCGAAAATCTTGATAGAACTTTTTATTAATTTGAAATTACAAATGCGCCTGGGTCGGGCGGAGCAGTCGGTCGCACCTAAGTTCGGTAGTTTATTGGTCGGCGCCACAACCGGCTGAACAACAGCCGCTTTCCTTTTCTTACAATTTTTTATCAGCACTTTTTAGACGGTCGGTACCTACGGTAGGATAATCAAGGATCACGGTCTTAACAATGACGAAAAAGCTGTCAATGAAAATGCGATGCTATATGTCATTGACAATAAACGCATGCTGACTATGTACGAAACTGTTTTTCCATTAAAAGCGCCCGCTGGCAAGAGCTTCACATTCAAACGTTTCAAAACCAGTATGTTTTTTGTTTTGAATATCTTGACTTTAGCATGCCTTGTCTTAAAATGGTTTGTGTCGTAGCCTCGTTTTGTTATTTTTTGAATTTCCTCGCTCTTTATGTTAAGTTAACGTGTATTTTTTAGGTGAAAGCAATTTGAGAAATTTCATCGTATCAGAAGTTTTAAAAGATGGACGTGTTTGTGCTCGTTTCAAGGACCTTCACAGTAAGTTTTATGTCTTTTTTACTTTGGAAAAAAAAGTTGTTGCCATTTTTCGTTTTGTTAACAAAGTTCTTGTAATTTTTTGTTTTGTAAAGAAAGTTCTTTCCATTTTTTGTTTTGTAAAGAAAGTTTTTGCGGTTTTTTTGTAAAGAAAGTCCTTGCTATTTCTTGCTTTATTCAAGTTACTCTTTTGAAATTTTAGTCTAAGAATGCTAATTTATTTTTTTAGGCGACGGTGAAGTCCTCTACCAATGTGGAATTTGAGGCTCGCGACTTGGCACCGTCAACGGATCGTTACTCTTGGACGTGCAATATTGTGCTCTAATTTATTTGGCTTTTTGTAGTAAATGTTTGTAGTATATTTGTCGTATTTGTTGGTTTCGAAGCACTGTTTTTGTTGGCTTTGTAAATAAAGTTTTTGCTATATTTTGTCTTGTAAAGAAAGTTCTTGCCATTCCTTGTTTTGGAAACAAAGTTCTTGTCATTTTTTGTTTTTTAGGGAAAGTTCTTGCCATTTTATGGTTTGTAAAAAAAGTGTTTGTCATATTTTGTCTTGTAAAGAAAGTTTTTGCCATTTTTCGTTCTGTATAGAAAGTTCTTGTAATTTTTTGTTTTGTACTGAAAGTTCTTGCCATTTCTTGTTTTGGAAAGAAAGTTCTTGCCATTTTTTGCCTTGTAAAGAAAGTTCTTGCTCTTTTATGCCTTGTAAAGAAAGTTCTTGTTATTTTCTGTTACGTAAAGAAAGTTGTTGCCATTTCTTGTCTTGTAAAGAAAGTTGTTGCCATTTTTTGTTTTGTAAAGAAAGTTCTTCCCATTTTTTCTACGCAACAGCCCCAGATTGCCAAGGTTAATATAAACCCTTTATTAAAATTCCTTATTGCCATGACTTTTGTAGCTGATTGAAGTATTGTTGTGCCACAGCTTCAGCGTTCTTGTCCACCATAAAGTGGACTGATCGTTCCGTTTGTTGCGCACTTCTGCCGAGTAATCGAAACACGTCTCGTCGTACTTGCTTCCGAAGATATTTGTTACAGTACAGAAAGCAGAACATGTGAAACAGTGAGTAGATGTCAAACAACATGTAGCCCAGCTAAAATGAGGTTGTTTTAGGTCTAACGTGAATGAAGTTAAACGTTCCAATTGTTGTATAAATAAGAATGAAGATGGTCGTAAACAAAAGTTTGAATATTTTAATTTATGAAAATGAGCATAACAATTAAGAAGAGCATGTAGATTAAGATGAACCTTATTAAAAGTAACAGAATAGCCATAGGCAAGCGCTCAAACTAGGCTAAAACAAGGCGAGACTATTTAGATTAGGGCACGGGGAAAAGATTGAGCTAGGGCCAGAGTTAGAACTAGAATTGGGCTTGGTCATAAGCTTAGACAAGGTTTAAGCATGAGCATTTGCTTAAGCTAGAGCTAAGGCTGGAGCTTTGAAAGTAAAGCTAGGTCTAGAGCTGAATCTAAGGCTGAACAGCTAAGATTAGGAAGCTGGGTTAGGTCTCTGGGCTAAAACTCTAGGCTGGAGCTCTGGACAGGGCTCTGGGCTAGGGCTCTGGGCTAGGGCTCTCGGCTAGGGCTCTGGGCTAGGACTCTGGGCTAAGGCTAGGGATCTGGGATAGGGCTCTGGGCTAGAGTTCTGGGCTAGGGGTTTGGACTAGAGCTCTGGACTAGGGATAGAACTCCGGGCTAGAGGTCGAGGCAAGGACTAAAGCTAAAGCGAGCTTGCAATAGGACTAGAGTTTGGGCTAGCCCTGGGATTAATCCTAGTGCTAAGGCAAATGCTAGGACACAAGCATGAACATAAACATGATTATTAATATATAAAAACAGACCAAAAAACAGAAAATCCTTACATCAGTAGCCAGTTTGTTCAAGATGAAGCTCTCGCCATAAGTGTCAACAAAGTATTTCCTCGTGAAACTCAGTATGAATCCACAAAACGTCATCACCATATAGCCGACCATTGATGGTGCTATGGCATCGTTCATAGCCGAGTTCTCAGTTTGTTGAAATCGAGCACTTAGGCTTTTTAACATTAGTCGATTTCTGGTCAATCGACGGTTTTTCTTTTTTAGCCATTCCATCCACTAAAAGTGCAAAAAATTTAAAAAAATTGTTTTTTAAAGAAAGTTCTTGCCATTCTTTGTTTTTAAACAAAAAAGTTTTTGCCATTTTTAGCTTTGTAAAGAAAGTTCTTGCCGTTTTTTGTTTTGTAAACAAAGTTTCTGCTAACTTACCAAAGCAGCTCCAGTACAAGTAACACTACAAGCGCTGAACCCAGCCAATGCCAGCTCCCAATGTAATTCAACAGCGATACAAGACTTGAAGGACGTGTGTAAATCAAACTCGTCTTTCATATACAACCAGTTTAGCACTATTGCTAGTGGCACGCTTTGGGCAAACTGAAAATTTAGTTTTTACATTGCCGTTTTTACTGCATAAGGAAGTCCTATATAACGAAAGTTTTTTATAACGAACAAATTTTAAATCCCGAATTTTTATACACAGGTAGCATTGCTGTACTTGCAAGGAGATTACCCGACCTGCTTCACTGAGAATCAGCTCAAAGTTTTTCTATGGATCCTTTGTATTATCAATAGTACTCATAAACAATTTTAACTCGCGGTTTTGAGTTTAAAATTTAAAATATTTGAATTTCCCGCCAATTTGACAAAATTGGCATTGTTTGCAAGCACTTTTTTTGACTTTCCAGACAAGCTACGCTTAAAAATTTAAAAATCTAGATCTATTTAAAGGTTTTCTACTAGTATATCAAAAAAACAATCGAACAGCTAAACTATAAAAATAGCAATTTGAATTGTATTTACAAGTTGACTACAACATATGACTCTAATTGTAACTAAAATAACCTTTTTGCGTTTGGAAAACCTATTTCATTTGCATTTGCAAAGTTGTGAGATAGATTTGGCCACAAACTAGCTTTATTTAATATTTAAAAAATTTCAGATTTTGAAATAATTTTTTTAAGATTTTTTTTATTTTTTAAAAAATATCATGTATATGTTAAACATGTTAAGCCTTGCTAAAATTGTAAAAAAAACACGCCTACCCCTAAATTTTTTTACCCCGCCCTATCCATTCCCTTTTTGTCCTCTCAAAACCTAAATTTCCGTCTACCCTACCCTTTGCTTTATTAATATACATAAATAAACATAAACCACCGTATTACATTAGTCCATAAATAGTTTGCCGTGAAAAACCTACCACAACAAAGATTAATATCACGCCCACCGTGCAGCTCCTCTGTTCGTAATCTTTGACCCATACCGTGGCCAAATGTTGTTCGACAGCCAACATATTCATACAAAGAACAGAGCCAAACACCGATATCATGTGGATATTGCTTAGAATTAGACATATTAGGTTTACTACGTATCTATCAGTAACATCGGCAGTCGCTTCTAACATCACTTGGACTGTCACTCTAGTACAGCCTAGGATTTCGAATGATAGGGCTGCACTGCACTGAAAAAGTAAAATGTAACACATATGTAGATGCCCTACCCTACCCTACTCTACCTTACCCAACCCTACCCTACCCTACCTTACTTTACCCTGCCCTACCCTACCCTACCCTACTCTACTATATCCTAGGATGCCCTACCTACCCAGCCCTGCCTGATCCTGCATTGCCTTACCCCACCATTCTATCGTACTTTGTCCTGCCCTACCCTGCTCTATCTTACTCAACGCTGTCCTGCCCCGCTGTACTCCTCTTTACCCTGATTTACAGTAACTATACTATTATCTTCTTACCCTGCCAAAAAATTTTTAAAAAATTAAATTTTCTCAATTTTTTAAAATGAAAATCTTACCAGCACTAATCGTATGTTCTGATGTATCCGTTGAGCTTTACATAATCTGTACAAAAAATAGACATTCAATAAGAAAGTGACAACAAAGAAGATTCTATGAAAGTAAACAAATTTGTTATAAACTGGCAACCAATCTTCAAACGGGTAGACCATCATGCAGTTCAGGCAGTTGTCTTCAGCCATACGCCTGAAAAGTTTGAAATTAATACGTAGGGTAGGGTTGGGCAACATAGAGTGGAGCAGATATTGAAAAAATATTGGGTACCTATTGAAAGTTTTACATTATTTTCAACCTTATATCAGGTTGAACCAAAAGTAGTGGGACACTTTTTAGTTTAACAATAAGTGAAAAATGTCCCGCTACTTTCGGTCCAACCTAATACTTAAAAAACAACGACTTTAATATATAAATGAGTATGTTTTACGTAGTAATAAATAATTTTTTTACAAATGCGTTAAATATAGATATTTATAGATGAATATGATGATTAAAAGTCATTAGAAGTAAAATTTATTTTTTTTAAATAACTTATGTTCTAAGAAAAGATAAGCTTTTTGCGACAGAATGCCATTGAAATTGAATGAGCGAATCGGTCCTTTAAGAAAAATTGGATAAAAACGCGTTTTCAAATGTTAGATCCCATTTTTAAAGCCTAAAGAAACTAAAACTACAATTATCTGCCCCCTCAAAAAACAAACTTTTAGCGTTAAAGAGCACGGAATTAGTTGAACAAACTGATACCACAAAACCTCGACTCAAAACATTGAGGTTCGTGTCAAACATTAGGCAATATCAATATGTAATAACTTTTTTTTGCAAAAAACCTGAGCCGGTCGGTACAAAATTGGTAAATCATTGGCCAATGCGGTGGCAAATCCAAATTGAAACCGACCCGCTTAGCCAATACTTTGCCCTAGCTTTTGCCCTAGACCTAGACATAAACCTTCTGCCCTCGACCTAGACATAAACCTAACCCTAGACCTAGCCTTAGAGTTAGCCCTAGCCCTAGCGACCCACTCTTCTTTTATAAAAATGATTTTAAATAAAATTTCCAAATATTTAAAGTTTTTTGCGACAGAACACCAACGGTTTGCGAGGACCTTTGGTGGTCCTTCAACTGCCAAACTCTAAGTTAATTGAATACTTTTTTTATGAGTTAAAAGATAATCTATAGTAAACTATAGTATCATAGTGCACTTTATACATAGTTGATATCACAGGAAAAACAAAGAGTCGGGGATAAAACTTTAAACAAGGCAAAAGCTTAATAAGTAGTCTGACAAAACAGATAACAATTATCTTATTAAAGTGTCAAAAAAAGCTTTATCGTCATTTTATATACAATATCTGCATCAAAAACGCCAAAACTTTTTTACAAGACTTTATGACAAATACTAAATGATGATATATACTAATATTCAGTACATAACATACATAATATTAACATTCTTTAATACCTAATGATGAACAAATTATCACGTTTTCATACAAATATTAGCCACCATAGTAAAATTGTATAATACCTATTAGACACAAGCTTAAAATGTTGCCAAATTCTACTTCGAAGCTATATTACATATTATAATTACGTAGGACATATTGTAGTTTAACTACACTTCAAAAACAGAAGAAGAAAAGAAAAAGTTCCTTTTTAAAGTGAAGTGTAATGAAATGGACATAAGATACGAGAGTTAACTATCATCTTAAAGTTAAAAAAATCCCTAACCCTAACCTTAGTCCTATACCATGTTCTATTCTTAGCCCAAAGTCGTATCCTTACATTATTAGCTCTAATGATATCGCTAGTCCTAGCCCTTACCTCAGCTTTAGCTCTAGCCACAGCTTTAACCCTACTCATATCTCTAGCCCTAACTTATGCTTGTGCCCAATACTTGTCTATGTCTATGCCATTGCTCATTCTAATTATAGCTCGGTTTGGTCCTAGATTAAACCACTGACAATGTCCGCTTTTAAAAAATATTGGAGAATCTAAATTCATTATTTTAATGAAAAAAAAATAAAATTCATTTTGAAACTGCCATTTTTTATACATGCCGTATACAATGTATATAAGATTTCAAAACACCTGAATTTGGAGGAACTTTGTTTGTAGCCTTTTTGGACGTCATAGTTAGTTATCATAGTGTTTGCAAAACTGTACGTATGTACTAAACTTACAAAAAAGTAGAGTAATATAAAATAGGTTATCATAGTTGAAAGACAGGTTTAGGCGTTAGAGAGGATCTCAATTCCTATGGTGAAAATGGCCATTTGACATTGGAGTAATGTTAGGGATAGAGTGGACCGTAGCGAAAATAAAAGCTAGCAAAAAAACTGTAGCTACTAGAAGGGGTGCTAAAGCTAGAAAAAAAGCAAAGATATAACCTCTAACGCTTGGACTAGGGTTAAGGCTATAACTATGGCAATTGCTCTGGGTTAAGGCATTTTCTAACTTTAGGCTAATTAAGCTAAAGCTAGTAAGCTAAGGGTAAGATAAACTAATAGACAACAAGGAAAATAGAAAAAAGTATAGTAATGTCATTACCAAAAAATAAATTTTAATATTGAAAAAAAGTATTGACGCTTCAACGTCCAAAACTGTTTATATCGATGCCAAAATTTAATTGTTTGTCCAAAATTAAAAAAATTTAAAAAACCAATATCCTAAGTTACTTGACTAAACATCTTTCTCAATTCGAATTACAAATAGTTATAATACAACTTCAAAACCGAGCACAGTGAACAGGTTGTGAAATGCTGTATCAAAACATAATAAATTGCAGCTGTACATAAAAAATGTAGAATTACATTTGTGTTTTTGGTAACCGTAACGCAGTTATTTTGGCCGCGAAACAATAAACGACCAAGCAATAATTGTCAACAATAATACTCAATTAAATGTTAATGTCCGTGTTACACTACTGTTCGTATTTAGGCTAGTGTAATAGTGGTCTACATTAATGTTCTAAAACGTGATACGGAATTGTTGTAATGATCTATGACTTAGTACTAGACAGTATTAGTGAGCTAAGGCTTAATACTAGACAGTATCAGTAATTTATAAGCTAATACTAGATATTATTTATGCTCTAAAGCCTAATATAAATAGTACTTACAGTATAAAGCGTAATACTAGATAGCACTAATGTTCCGAAGCTTAATACTATATAGTACTTATGGTCTAAAGTTTAATGTTAGATGATAATTATAATACAAAGCCTAACGCTATATAGTACTGCTGTTGTGCGGTTTAATACTAGATATCAGTTATGACATAAAGCCCAACACTAGATAGCAATTATGATATAAACCCTAATACTAAATAGTACTCGTAACACAAAGCCTAATACTAGCTAGTAATTACACAATAAGGCGTAATACTGTACAGCATTAATGTTCTAAGACCTAAAATAACTGCTATCCATAGCATAAAGCCTAATATAGCATTTATAACTCAAAACCCCATACAAGATAAGACTAAAAGCCTATAGTTCAATACTAGACGGTATTAATAATCCATACTAGACTCATTGCTGTTTTAAGAAAGCCTGAAGCCAAGACAATGACATTTTAAACCAGAATTGTGGTTATTCAAGTAACAAGAACCCTTTTTTTTGTAGCGGTGTTACGTGCAAGTCAAAGTGTAAATATGATGATGTAAAGTAATCATAAGACATTGTAGACCGCCTTGCCGTGTTCAGCAAGTGATTTTTGTCTAAGCCAAAAAAATCAAAAATTTTTGAGTTTTTAAAATTTAAAACATTTCTGAACGTATTAATCATAGTCAATTTTTGAAAAAAATCTAAAGGTACAAAGGTAGTAAACAACTTAACTAACCTAGACATGAAACGAGTTCCACTAGGCACGGCTGAAACAAATTTAGATTTAAATTTACGAGCTGGCCGTGTAAGCCCGCAAGCCGAGCACACATGAAGGTTTCAAAAGCATAACTTAGGTCCAGTTCAAAAATTTTCTTTTATAAAAGTCTTCCCCTACCCTGCTCTACCCCACACTAACATCCACTACCCTACCCTGCCCTATTCTACCCCACGCTGACATCCAATACTCTACCCCGCCCTAACTAGGTCTTAAATGTTAACAAAACAAATAAACATTATCCCTTACTCTACGTATGATACAAATTGCATTACAAAAATATTCGATTATGATTATATATTATATTATCAATGTGTGAGATACTAAAAATATCAAAACAAAACGTTTAAAGAACAAACTATATTTGCTGTTTTGCAAAGGTATTCCTAATACAGAGATGTAACGACAATTTACGATTACATAAAACAACAAAACATCTTGAAAAGATTGTAGCTCAAAGATTCGAAAAAGTCAAACAACACTAAAATTAAAGTACAAGTTATAGCATGACATGTAGTATAATATGAATGGATTAGCAAAAATCACAAAAGGCATGATTTTTACACTTTTAAACCCTTCTTAGCTTAGCCTGCTCTACAATATAATATCCTACCCTACTTACCACTACCATACTATATCCTACCTACCCTGCATTGCCTTCATTCCCATGCCGTACCCTACCTTATTCTGACCCAACCGTATCATAATTTATACTACATTGCTCTGCTTTACTCTAACTTATCTCTACAACACCCAACCCACTGTTACGCAAGCCTATCATACGCTATCCTAATCTACAGTACTCTGTCCTACATTACCTTATCCTACACTACAGTACACTGCCCTACAGTACCTTATCTTAATCTACCCTACATTAGCTTACTCTACCCTACCTTAACATACCCTAAACTGCTCTGCTGTGCCCTTTTCCGTCCTAATCTACCCCACTTTACCCTACCTTGCCCTACTTTACTCTAACTTATCCCTACCACCACTATGCATATATAGCTCTACCTGTTACCATTTTGACCTTTCATCATCCAAAAATTTTTTAAAATTAAAAATTACTGCCGAAAAAATTTAAAAAATCTTTTTTTTGATGCCCTATAAAAGTACAATTAAAGTGAGACATCTTAAATTAATGTTTAAAGTACATTTGACTTACCGCCCAAAATCCAGCCATCTTTCAAATTGCTCGGAAACAACTGTAACAAAGAAAAAGCGGTTATAACTTTAGCTACACATCATTTAAACAATAAAACTTCGAAAAAAACATTATAGCGTGTTTAACAAGCATTAGTACAATCTATAGACCGTCTATATGTTGGGAAAGTTGTATAAAACTGTGTAAAGGTAAAGTTTTATATTTTTAAATTGGAGTCATTAAAGTTTTAAAAAATCTGAAAATAAAAAAAAGTTAAAAGTGCATTTTTTAATAAAGTATCAAAAATTATGATTAATCAAGCCTAACATACCCTACCTTACTGTATTTTACTTTACCCTACCTTACACTACCACACCCTACCCTACCTTGCCCTACAATACACTACTCTAATCTACCCCACTTTTTCCTACCATACCCATACCTTTACTCTACCATTACCCCTACACCTTCCTTATCCCGCACTGGCCCTACCTTGCCCTAACCTTCTTCCCGGTTATGACCTATTCTACCCACCCTTCAAAACGATTTACCTTATCCAACCCTACCCTACACCTTGATCTATTTTATCTCATTCTACCCTAATCTATTCTATTTTACCCTTTTCTTCTGGACGTTATTGTACTCTACACTACTACAAAAAACTGTCAATATAAACCCTTTGGTCTAACAAAATATTAATTGGTCACAAAAAACAGCTGAAATTACATACAAACGAGACATGAATAGATAAAAAATTCTATGGTAAGAAAAAAAAGACTGTATTAGTAAATAGTAGGTTACAAATTGTTTTTCAGTTCCACAAAGTAAAATGATTTGATTTACTTTTTGATGATATAATTAATAATATGTATCCCACTTCTTAGTGTCAAAAATAGTGTCAAATAATAAAAACAAAAAAATTTTAAAATTTCTGTTCTCTGCCCAATTTTTCATTCAAAAAATTCAGGAGTACACCTTTCTGTTAGCTTTCAAAAGATACCCCTACCAAAATTTACCTTACCCCCGCTATGCTACCCTGTCCTTTTCTGCCCTATTCTACCCTGCCCTACTCAACGCTATCCTGCCGTACTTTACCGGATCCTACCCTGTAAAAACCAGCCCGTACCATATTCTACTCTACCCTAACTTATCCTAGCCTACCATACCATAATTCTACCCCTTTGTCTCTACCCTCCCTTCTAGTACCTTACCCTGAGCACTACCTAACTATGTCCCAATTTAAAATCTGACTTGAACGTCATAAGTTATCAACAATATGCTTTTTACAAGGTCATTTAGACCTCCCACAACTACAAACCTTTTTTTGAAATTGTGCCACCAGCTTTTAATAAAAAAGACCAGATTTCGACTTCCGAATGTCACACGCAATGTTAAACCAAGTTGATTACATTTCGAACTTTACTTTTTCGACAAGGTGTAATGGCCGAAACGTACTCCAACTCTCATATTTTTGAGATTAACCACTTTTAATTAAAATTTTTCACTATAAAAAGGTTGATCGGACCAGTTGTAATATTTACTACGTAGATTATTACGGTAAAAAGTGTTTTACCATTTTTTGACATTTTATGGTCTATATTAGGGTTCAGGCCTGTGAATTAAAATAGATATGCTCAAAAAGCACGCCATTTTTTTAAAAAATATTTGAGTCCCACCACGAAAACCTTAAATTTATAAAAAATAGATTTTTTAGACAAAAATGATATGCATTTTACGTTTTTAATCATGATATATATCCTAATTTACTTATAAACATCATAATTAGTCCTTAAAAAAATTTTGTCGCCAATTTACATTGACTTTTAGTTATAAAAACGACAAAACTTTTTTAAAACCCTAATATATAAGTAAAGTTCAACTTTTTCAATAGTAATGATAAATAATATTGTACCTATAGTTATGTATTATTAAGTTGTCCGGAAAGTTCTGCAATATTAGAGTAGGTAAACTTTGAAAAATCAGGAAAAATTTATTTCTTGACGGAAAGAAAAAATTCTTTTTTTGTTTGTTTGTTTATTACCTAAATTATTCAAAAAGGTAAGTTACATAACTTAATTTCATTTTTTTGTATTGTTTTAGGTATTAGAAAAAAATGGAGAAATCTCGCCTGCGCGTGATTATATGGAATGAATTCAAACGCGGAAATACTGCGGCAGAAACCTTCAGAATCATAAACGAAAATGAGGGTAAGAATGTTGTGAGTTATTCTACGGTGACCAGATGGTTCGCAAAGTTTCGTGTGGACGATGAGAAGCTTGAAGACAAACCACGTGCAGGAAGACCCAGCAAACTTGACAAAGATGCCCTGAGGCGCAAGATTGAAGATGACCCACATATTACAATCCGGGAGTTAGAAGAGTTACTAAACTGTGGAAAAAGTACCATTGATGATCATTTGAAGGCAATGGGTATGGTCAAAAACTTGGACAAATGGGTGCCTCACAATTTGACTGATCTGGAAAAAGCCAAGAGACGGTGTGCTTCCGAAAAGCTTCTGCAACGCTGCAAAAACGGAGAATTCTTGGATCGAATTGTAACTATTGACGAGAAGTGGATCTCGTTTAACAATACTAGAAGATCTACAAGTTGGTGTAAGCGTGGAGAAGCTCCTAAGCCCGTTCCGAAGCCAGAATTGCACGAAAAGAAGCTTATGGTGACTGTCTGGTGGTGTAGCTCTGGAGTGATCCAGTACGATTTCATGAAACCTGGCCAAAGTATTACGGCCGACACCTACTGTGCCCAGATTGACAAACTGCGACACAATCTTCCAACAATGGTCAGAAGGAGGGGTCCGATCATTCTGCAGGATAACGCACGGCCCCATGCTGCAAAGAAGACCGTGGCAAAATTCAGGGAACTGGGATACGAAGTCTTGGAGCACCCTCCTTATTCTCCAGACTTGGCTCCAACGGACTTTCACCTTTTTAAACACTTGTCTTCGTTTCTTAATGGAAGAATCTTCAAAACTCCGGACGATGCCAAGAATGCCTTCAAGAACTTCATCAACTCCAGAAACCCGGAATTCTACAATCGTGGAATAAAAAAGCTTGTAAATCGTTGGCAAGACTGTATTGATTCAGACGGTAATTACTTTGATTGATTGTAGTTGTTAATTATATTGTTATTATTGTTAGTTCAAAAGTGAATAAATATTGCAGAGCTTTCCGGACAACCTAATATGTTCCCAACGTCACACAGCTGAATTAACGTTCTAATTTTAGCTTTAAAAAATAAATTTAAACTCAAAAAATTTCAAAAAACTTTAAAAAACTTAAATTTCAGGAAGATATTTAAAAACTCTATTCCTACGCCTACACATACCAACCACAGGTGTAAAAATCATTCAAAAAACATAATATTAGATGTCATGCTACAAAATACTAAAAAAGGTTTAATGAAACCAACTTTTAAGGAACTCCAGGAAAAGCCAATATATATGGCAATGTTATTGGATATTACACATATTCACTTTGTAATGAGTTGAACGGTTAATTTAGGCTTTAATGTTCTTTGTTTTAGCAATATTTGCATGAGAGATGATTTTATGGATCGTTTTTAGGCAAGACGAAGAAGAGTTACAATAGGTAGGCTAGAGGCAGAATGATTACATTATGTTAATTTTTGTAACCCACAACATTTAGCCTTGAAATCTCTTTATCTAGGTCATATTTAAATACTTTGCGGTTTAAAAGACTTTGGATCTCTATATTTCCCGATCATTTGCCTAAAAATGACCGCCAAATCATCCGCGGCGTTTGAACGCATAGCTTTTGCAAGTATAACATGTTCTCTCTTTACTACAGTATTCCTAGCTATATCATGTTCTGTTATAACAAGAAAGGCCAACGACAATATGAATTTTATCGTGGAAAGAAGCAGTAAATTAAAGGTTAGTTTTTGTAATTTTTTTTGAAATTTAAAATTTTCTTCAAAATTTTTAAATTTCAAAAAAAATTTTAAAAAATGGGTTTTTAGTTAAAAATGTTATTTTAAAACAGTTTTTACTGATAAATTACTTAAAAAGGTAATTTAAGGCGTTATCAGACAATATCTGGGCCGATGTCATCTCAAAACGTCAACATTTTGTACCTAAAAGAAGTTCTGGCCCAAATATGGCCAACCCCATCATAATGAGTAATGTCGTCAATCAATGTGGAAGTAGGTTTTTCTAGCTTTATCTTATCATACCATAACTTGCATTACCCTACCTTATCATAAATTGCACTAGATTACTCTGTTCTACCCTGCCCTAACCTACTCTACTCCCTGCCCTAACCTACTCTGCTCTACCCTACCCTACTTCACCTAACAATAATTTTTAAATTTCAGAATGCACCCGCCTAAACTGCCCACCAGGCCCTGGTGGATTCGCCGGCCAATCCGGCGACGATGGCATTCCAGGAGCTCCAGGAAAGCCCGGAACACCCGGTCCTGATGGCTTCAGCCCACCAATGGATCCAATCCCCGACCTTCCTTGTATTGTTTGCCCAGCAGGACCACAAGGACCTCGTGGACAACAAGGAGAACGAGGATGGCATGGGCCGGCCGGACCTAAAGGACCATGCGGGCCACCCGGTGCGCCAGGACATGATGGAATTAGAGGACAATTTGGCGCCATTGGTCCTCAAGGAGTACCAGGAAGACCGGGAAGAAAGGGAGAGTGTGGTAGCGACATTATTGGTAAGGAGTGCTTTTTGAAATTTTGGAAATTTTCAAAAATTTTAATTTGGATTATCATGGATAATATTTTTTCTGTCGATTCAGCTATATTACGATATAAGTTAGCACAAAACATTACAAGTTAGTTTTGTGTCCCCCAAAAGTAAACAGAAATTGTTAACAACTCATATTGTCAATGAGATTGAGATCTGGTGTCATGGATAATATTGGATCATAGTCAAGTTCTTTTCAATTTTATATCCAGTTTTGTGTAGTTTAAAATGACGCAGTGATGTTGGTAAAGTTTTAAAGGCAAAAGTATTTTGTTAGGTACAAAAATTACAGCTTTATGGGCAAACCTATGTTATCCATAGCCATAATCTGGTGGTCGTCGATAACATGAGCTCAAACTAACTTCTTTTTAACACTAAACAGTTCTTATTAGCTTTGAAACATTAACAACATCATTACGCATCTTTTAAATATAAAAAACCGCATAAAACATTCGAAAAAATCCAGTTATGACCTCATGTTATCCATGACATCTCTTTTCACAGTCAATAATAAAATGAGCTGCCAACATTTACCACATCCTAAAAACTTAACAAAACTAAAAATAAAAGACTTACATTGAGGTATTTGAGGGGTTCCAGTTGATCCATGTGCTCTTGTCGCTGTAGCAATACCTAAAGCATACAATACATCAATATTAACATGAATATTTGGAGAAAATTAACAAAACCTTTGAAAAATCGCGCAAACGAAAGAGAAGATCAGTAAAAAATGAGTGTAAAATAAAAGAGAGTATAAAAAAGCATAAATTAACTTTTACAAGCAAAAATATGATCCATGCTGGCCAGGAAAATATTTTTTTTTCGAAAAATAAATTTATTTCGCTGCAAGAAGTTAGTTCGCCGATAAATTATGCTGAATATCGCGAGATTTATGTCGTTATCTTTAGTTAAAAAACCTTAAGAATATTTAAAAATTTAATTTTAATATTTTCAGCCGGTACCGGAGTCCCAGGCCCCAAAGGCCCGCCAGGAAAACGTGGTGCAGTTGGTCCACCAGGACTTCCTGGCCGTCCATCGAATATTATTGGTCCTCCCGGCCCTCCAGGCAAACCAGGACCTCAAGGCCCAGTTGGGAAATGTGGTGTAGCCGGTGGTAAAGGTGTTTGGGGACCTCCAGGTGAGCCAGGAAATCCATTTGGCTATTGTTGGTCGATCTGTGGCTCAAACACGGTGGTTGCTGCTCCTGGAGGCTCGAGTTCCTACGCTTTTCCTTGGAGTGATACTGGCAAAGAAGACTATCATTATGATGATAACCAGGGTGGTGGTTATGGATATGGAAAATGATGGGGAATATAATCGGTATATTATTCATTCCTAACATAAGGGTCCTAACTTGGTTTTTATGATCATATTATTATAGTTTTTGGGTAAAAGGTAATAAATTTAAGCTGTTAAGCCGTATAGTGTATAATTTTATTATTTTTTGAAAGTTTAGATAACAAATCTTAATTTTTAGGTAACAAAGGTTAAGATAGTTGAATATTTAGTTAACAGAAGCAGTATGCCTTCTTGAGGCAGCTCTGGATATCTTTCTCTCTGGCGGTTCAGCTATTTCACTGGTCAAATCAGGCAGCTCAAGACCACGGGTTTCAGGTAACAATAAGGTCAGTCCAGCCGCTACACCAGCTGTCACAGCAAAGAATACGTTCGGCAGGTTTGGGGATATTACACTCTAAATTGGGGATATTATACTCTAAAATAACATCATTTTAGGGGTTTATAGGCTATGAAAATTCTGTTTTTAACTAAAGGAATATCTAATTTTAATAAATTTTAAAAATTTTGAAAAGTAAAGTCAATACTCACCATAGATCTAACCATAGGAGCAGTAATACCTCCAATTCTTTCCAAAAAAAGGCATATTCCAATACAACCACTTCTCAAAACGGTTGGGAACACTTCGGAGCCATAAACGTACAAAGAGGTATAGGCACAAGCTATTCCAAACTTGCCTATCAGCCAGAATACCTAAAATTTTTAAAAGTTGTATACAAAATGTAGATATAGGACTTGACAGGGTTTTTTCTGCATTAATTTTGTCGTGGAAGAGTAGTACGGGGCGGGGTGATTGGAAAGGGGAAAAAAGTAGGGGGGGGGGGGGGGGAGAAATTTTTAAATTAATTATGAAATAGGCAGTTCTTGATAGTTTTTTGAAAAAAAAACAAAAATGAAAATTGTACCCCCCCCCCCTTTTTTTCTCCTCCCCCTCCAAAAAAAATAAACGTTTAACTCACCAAAGAAACAGTTTCGTCAGCAATAAACACTGTCCCAACGAAAGCCAATGAGGTTATTAGATGCACAAACGCTACGAACCCTCTTCTACCCATAACTTCAAGTAGGTATGGCGAAACAATGTAAGATGGGATTTCGACCAGCCCCGCTAGTACAAAATTGACATATCTGTTGCCAGCTAATGTTGTTGATATAAGTGAAAGGCCGTAGTAGACAAATGAGTCACAGGTCCTGAAAAGAGCTTGTTATAAATCAAAAAAACCAGCTCCAGCCCAGATGCCTAATCCAGAGCCCTGCCCAGATGCCTAGACCAGAGCCCTAGCCCAAATCTTTGGCCCAGAGTCCTAGCCCAGACCCTGGCTCACCGCCCAGGTCCCTAGCCCAGAGCCCTACCCCATAGCATAGTCTCAGCTTGAGTTCTAGTCCAAGCCTAGCCTTACTTTAGGCCTACCGTAAAGCACTTTCCCCACTATACCCTAGCCATACAGCACTTTTGACTGCCGTTAGTCTTACACTATCCGACCCCCCCCCCCCTTTTTATCTTTAACCCACGATTTTAAAACATTTAAAGTTTTGTTAAATTCCAAAATCTTACCACAAGTACCCCAATACCGCAGTATACATCAACAGTACTTTCTGCTTCATTAAAGAGCACAAAAATCCGTCATCTTTCTTGTCATCACCTTCACTTTTACCACCGTAATGTCTCTTCACCAACAACTCAACTTCACTTTCATCTCTTGCCACTTTCGCATACCTATTAGCATTCCGGTACCACTGCTTCAACTGTACCACCCTACCATTCGACACCATAAAATGAAAACTTTCCGGCACGAAGAAATAGTACAGTATGCCAATGACTAACGCTGGTAACGAAGAGCCAATAATCTGATGTCGCCATGATACCAAATAGTAACATAACGGTGCCAGCACAAAGTAGCCCACCACCCAGAACAGTCCGAACACCAACGCCGAGTAGGAGCGGAGCTTCATCGAGGTGGACTCGTAGGCTAAAACCCAATTGGTCATACCACAGCCCTTGAAAATTGGTAAAGAGAAAGGGAAACGCTTACGGGCAGGAAAATGCCTTGAACAAATCGAAACATGGTGAACACTACAATACTCGGGCTAAACGCTGATAATACACCAAAGAAACCGAGGCCAGTCAAGGAGATTAGGAGGGCTGGACGGCGGCCTTTTCTGAAATTTTAAATCTGAATTTAAAGATAGGGTAGGGTAGAATAGGGTAGGGTAAGGTAGAGTAGGGTAGGGTAGAGTAGAGTAGGGTAGGGTAAGGTGGGGTAGTGTAGGGTAGGGTAGAGCAGGATAAGATAGGGTAGGGTATAGTAGGATAGGGTACGGTAGGCTAGGATAAGGTAGGGTACGGTAGGATAAGGTAGGGTAGGTTAGGGTAGGGCAGAGTAGGGTAGGGTAGAGCAGAGTAGGGTAGGGCAAAGTAAGGTAAGGTAGGGTAAATTCTTAATCGTTAAAACAACTTACAAATCCGAAAATCGAGATATAGTACTAGCACCAACCATATTACCCAAAACAAATATCATACTGGAATAATCAGCATGTTGTGCTTTAGCTCCTACCAAACCAAACTAAAACCATATTAATAAAAATACTTTTTTAGGCTAAAATTACAAAATTTCATGAAAAAATTTTAACACTTTTCTGAATTAAAAATTTAAAAAATAAAAAAAATTTTAAAAATTTTAATTTTTTTTTAATTTTAAAAAATTTAAAAAAATATTCTAGTTTACCTCTTCAATCAAGCTCCCTGGAGTGAGTGTGCAATTTCTTTCATCTAAACAAATGTTACCAATAAAAAAGGCACTGACAAGTAAAGGTAAGGCCATAATCGTCCAAATTAGAGCCATTGTGCAGAAGATCAAAATTTGGTATGGATTTGACGCTCCTAAAAGTACAGTCATCATGTTACAAGATTATAAATGTAAGAAAAAAACTTTTTACTGCCTTTTTCTTTTTATCTATAGGACCCAGACTTAGGGCTTAGATTAAAGCAAGGGCTAAGGCTATGATTAGAGCTAGAACTGAAGCTAAAACTGTTAGGGACATGGACAAGAAAAAGGTGAGAGACAAGGACATAGACAGAAGCAGAAAACAAGACAGAAACAGTAACAAGATCAAGCTCAAGTTCGCGCTTAAGTTCACGTTCAAGCAAAAGCTCACAAGGGAAGGTACTTTAATCGCAGATGGACTTTGAAATGAGACCTATATATTCTGAAAGCTGAATTCACAGGGAGTACGGATCTGAAAACCGTTTTTCTGTACGGCTCTTAGTTTTTGAGAAAATCGTCTTTAAAATATGGCAAGCATTTTGGCGAAACGGGCGCGCCGAAAAGAATCACACAATTAATTCGAAGAAAACAAGTAGCAGATTGGCCGAGTGGTGAGTCAGTTTTCTTTCGGATGTCGGTGGGGGAGTTCGACCCCGGCCTTGTGCAACACTTTTACAGCGGCTTAAAATGATACATTTTGTATGCAAATATGTAAAAAAATTAATTTTTTTTATTTTATTCTTTTGTAATTTTTTTCAATAAAGCAACTCTTTTTGCGCCTTCAAAATAAGGAAAACTGTTTTGGTTTTTATAATAACAAAGGTTTGGCTCGGGGCTCCGGCCCTCCCGTTTTAAAGCAGTTTTCGCACATCCCATACCCATGCCAAACCCTTGCCATACCCTTGCCATACCCATGTCATACTATGGGTATGGGTTTGGGTATGGTATGGGTATGACATGGGCATGGCAAGGGTATGGCATGGGTACAAGTATGACATGGCTATGGCAAGTGTTTGGCATGGGTATGGGTATTGCATGGGTATGAGCCAAACTTTTGTTATTATAAAAATCAAAACAATTTTCCTTATTTTGAAAGCGCAAAAAGAGTTGCTTTATTGAAAAAAATTACAAAAGAATAAAATAAAAAAAATTAATTTTTTTACATATTTGCATACAAAATGTATCATTTTAAGCCGCTGTAAAAGTGTTGCACAAGGCCGGGGTCGAACTCCCCCACCGACATCCGAAAGAAACTGACTCACCACTCGGCCAATCTGCTACTTGTTTTCTTTGAATTAATTGCGTGATTCTTTTCGGCGCGCTCGTTTCGCCAAAATGCTTGCCATATTTTAAAGACGATTTTCTCAAAAACTAAGAGCCGCACAGAAAAACGGTTTTCAGATCCGTACTCCCTGTGAATTCAGCTTTCAGAATATATAGGTCTCATCTCAAAGTCCATCTGCGATTAAAGTACCTTCCCTTGTCAGGCTCAGGCTCAAACTGTGGCTCTGGCTAAAACTAAGACTGAAGCTAAGGCTAAAGCTAAGGCTAAAGCTAAGAATAAGGCTAAAGCTAAAACAAAGGCGAAAGTTAAGGTTAAAGCTTAGCCTTAGACTCAAGCTAAAAACAAGTAAACCTTTTAAAAAACCTTACCATAAGAATTGAGAACTCCGTCAGCTGTAAGTTGTTTCGGATCTTCGTCGTTGTCACCTTCAAACTCAATATGACTTTTGTGTGATTTCAGTGATTCAATCGAAGTACTCGGGCGTATACCATGAACTGGCACATTGTTATGCCAATGATTGTTTCGATTTTTCAAAAGATTCTGCTTTTCGTGAGGTGGGGGCATCTAAAAGTTGGCATGACATTAAAAATATTAAATTATATCACTGTGAAAACATACTACAGTATAAATAAAGATTAAAAGATATTAGAGTAGGGCTAGGAATATGGCTATACAAATAACAAAAAATATTTTAAAATAGATAAAAGTTTGCAACTTTTAATATAATAAAGTTACAAAAGAGCAACAAAACGTTATTGTTACAATTTCAAAACTTGTCAACTCGATTAAACATCAATTTCTCAAGGGTTTAACACGCAAGCTACAATATTTATTTTTATATAACGCAATTCGAAAAAACAAACGTTCCAAGATTTCGACGTAATTTGACTAAATCTAACGCTAACAATGTAAGGCCAAGATTCCAGGCTAAGTTTCAGACTTAAACTGATGCTCAAGCTCAGATTCAACCTCAGGCTTAAGCGCAATTTCAAGCTAAAACTTGAACTACGGCTAAAGCTCAAGCCCAGACTCAAGGTTAAGATTTACTTTAACCTCAAGCTAATGATTATGCTAGAACTTAGACTAAAGCTAACGCTAAGAGTACACCAAAGGCTCAGACTGACCCTCACACTCAGACTGAAGCTCAAGCTCAAACTCAAGCGCAAGCTCAAGCTTGAGCCCGAGCTCAACTTCAAGTAAAGTCTCACGCTAGAACTTAGACTAAAGTTAACGCTAAGACTGAACGTAAGGCTCGGGCTAAAATGAATACACTGTTCAGAAAAAATTAATTGCCCTATAAGCCTACCCATCTCTTAAACTATTGTTTTAATTTGGACAAAACAATGAAACGAAAAAAAACATTTCGATAAGAAACTGAGAATGATAACAAGGTGTTTCAAGCAAAGAATGTAAAGCGAAAAAGTAATCTTTTTTGTAATCAAAAACCATAAAACGACCAGCGTTTTCACAATGCGACATTACTTTAATTGGCTTGGTTTAAGGTCAACTTGATAGAGATAGGTAGGCATAACGTAGGCGTTAGATAGAGCTATAGTAAGACTAAAACTAAAGCCAAATCTACGGCTAGAGTTAAAGCTATGGCTAGGAATAGAGCTAAGGCTAAAGCTAAGCCTAAAACTCAGGCTTTGTCTCTGACTTCTGGACGGGGGGGACCCACAAATTTTCGAAAAAAGTTGAACGTGGTTCCCCCTTTAGATTTTCGGAAAAAATTTATCGCAAAAAACGGCACAGTGCTCCTGTGCCGTTTTTTTCGACCCCCGCCTCCAGACCAAAAGTCCCCGTCGGCTCCTGAGCATGGCTATGACAAAACCGAAAACCAAGACCAAAGCTTAAGCTTACGCATAGGCTCACCCTAACGCTAAAACTAAGGCTCAAGCTAAGATTAATGTTTAGGCTACAGCTAGGACTTAAGTTATCGCATATACTAAGCTAAGGTTAAGGCAATAGCTAAAGCTTTAATTATTTTCTACAAAAGCCTAAAAGTTATACTTCAAACGTATAGTTATACAACTAACGTATAAACCACAAGAACGAGAATTACACTAAATCAAAAATAACTAAAAACCACAACAAAGTTTAACGCCGTGATTCATAAACAACTTCTTAAAGGACACATTAATCGAAGAATTCGTAACTTTAAAAGCTTAAAAGTCATTTTTTAAATGTCTTTGGTTATTTATACAGTTTACTTTTAAAATACTTTAAATTTTCAAAAATGAACAAATTTAATATTGGCAAACCATTCGTTATACAGGATTTTCACTGGAGAAAAAAATTTGAACCTCCTCCTAAGACCAACTTCATCAATTGCAAAAAAGTCATTATGTTCACCTTGAAGTAAGCTGAAACGTGCTAGACAATATTTTTTTTGTAAATATGTTCTGACACACTTATCTCACGCCGAATCTACGACTTGTCGTATTGGTTTTGTTAATGTTTGTTGAAAACTTGTCAATTTGATTAATAATCATTTACTTTTGCGCTGTTTGAAAAAGGTTAGTCTATTTTTATAGGGCATAACAATATTTGAAAATACTAAATTTTAAAATAGCTAAAAAAGCTAAAGGCTAAAGCTACTGCTAGGTCTAAACTATAACTAAGAGCTGAGGCTGGAATTAGAGTTAATGACTAAGACTAGGACTCAGGCTGAGGCCGTAGTTAGGGCTTAAGCTCTAGCTAAGGCTCTGGGCTAAGGTCTAAGCAAGGGCTAAAGCTAGGCCTAGTAGCAGTAAAAATTTGTTTTGAAACAAAAAACGGATAAAAACCAACTAACAAAATATAAAAAACAATTGAAAAAGTACATTTCTTTGTTTTTTATTCAATATTGTTTTAGCTTGATTCTGATTTACTACAAAATTGAGGTAAATTTGAGCTGACAAGCTAAAAAACGCACGTATGAGACAATTTATATTTAGCTTTTTGCAGTTTTTCTCATTTTTTCATTTTTCAATAGTTTAAAATCCTTTAATTTTTTAATTCTTTTTATTTTCAAAAACAATTTTTAAATTTTTTTGACTTTATAAAGAATCATTCTCTTTGTCGATGTAGCCTTCGTTCCCTTCTCAATCTTCGTCGATACAACGTTCGAAGCACACAGAAAGTATTGAGAGCAAATTGTATCATACTAGTGAAACTGATACCCACAAAAAGGCCAAATTGGCCACCAATTTCGGATATAAACCCTGGTACTGTTGTGGTCTTGAATTCGGCGTAATATTCGTACTGAAAAATGCAGCATGAGTGAAAGAAAAGCAGAGTAAGGTAAGATAAGGTAAGGTCAAGCAAGGTGAGGTCGTGTGCAGCAAGGAATAATTAAAGTAAGATTAAGTAGAACTTAGTGGGGTAACGTAAGAAAGTAGTACGATAAAGACAAAGACCACGTAGGGTGAACTACAGTAAGTTACGGTAAATTAGTATACAAAACAAGGTAAGATAAAGTAGGTAGGGCAGAGTAAAGGTAAGTTAAGAAAAAAGATAAAGTAAAGTAGGGTTGAGTAGTATAAGATAAGGTATAGTAAGGCAAATATTGGGAAAGATTGAGTAAGGTAGAGTAAGGTAGGGTAGAATAAAATAATGTAGGGTAAGGTATGGTAGAGCAAAGTAGAGTAAGACAAGTTGCAGCAGGGTAGTGTGGAGTAAGATAAGTTATGGTAGACACTTGCCCTTAAAAGAAGTATTCTCTTCATTCTAAAGAGAGGCGTATACGAAAGAAAGAAGCAGAGGTTTTACGAAAAGCCTTGACAAATATAGCGACCACCCGCGACGCATTCTGTCGAGACAACTGAAGTTGACTCACGTATGAATCGGTCAACTTCAATTGGCACTCAACCATTGGATGACAAATTTGATATTCAATAGAGATAAAGGAAATGATGAAGCCATAAAAATGCGACAAAAAGCCAATCCTTAACCGAGAAACGACAAGAAAGAAATCATAAAGAAGAGCAAAAAGCTATGAAAACAAGCTTAAACCTAAAGTAAAACATAAAGAAACCTGCGATACAAACATGTCATGTTGTCCAGATATATATGAATGGGTCCTAACATACCATAACAACCTTAAATTCAATCCATTTACGACCACAAAACACTTCTCTAAACCCGTATACGACAAAGAAAACCACAGAAAACGTCGTATTTCCCAATTTCGTCATAATTTTCCGACCACCCGCGAAGATTTTTGTCTAGACCGGAAGCGCATCATCCTTTGATCTTCTTTGTCGGTACTTATTAAAACTTTGACCGTTTGTCGTTTAGACTAGAATCTGAAGTGTCATCTTCAACACGACTAATATAACATGTCTTTTAATGGGCTTTCTGGAGAAATATGAATCATTATTATATGACTGAATATAGCTGACCACCCGCGTTGAAGAACATGAAAAAGAAATGCGTAGAGAAATTTAGTAGGTCAGGAATAGGAGTGGGAAACGGGAGATGTATTTAGCAAGAAACGGGCAGGGCTTTAGCAAAATGAAAACGAACCAAACCCAAAAGTTAGAACAAGTTATGGTAGGGTAGTATACTAGGTAGGGAAAAGAAGTGTTGAGTAGAGTAAAGTAAGGTAGGGTAGAGTAGGATAGGGTAAGGCAGGAGAAATTAGGGGAAGATGGGGTAAAGTAGGATAAGGTAAAGCAAGGCAGAGTAGAATAGAGTAGGGTAGGATAGGAAACAATAGGATAGGGTAAAATTGAGTACAACAGAGAAAGGTGAAGTCGAATAGATTAGTTTAAGGCAAGTATAAGTCCCTTTACTTCAGTTTTACCCTAACCACACTTAAGCTTCGGTAGCCTAATCCTAGCTGCTAGCCTTTCTTTAACCTTATCCTACCTTAACCTAACTTGCTGTACTTCAATAGTATTTCACTCTAGGTTTGTCTTACCTTAACAATTCCTTGGCTTTACTATATTATACCCTTTTATAACACTTCTTCCACTTAACCGTACCTTAGATTTCCTCTAACATTAGACACCCTATCTTTCCTAGCCATTATCCTACCCTATTTGTCCCTTCCTTTTAGCAATTAATGCCCCTGACCTAACATTAAAAAAGTTTAAACTGAACAAAGCATTACCTCCAGATCGCTGAAACCAAATTCAATTTGAAAATCCGGGAAAGACTTGCTGAATATGTACTGCCTTGTTGGCGTATCTTCGTCAAACGAGTGTGAACAGGTGATATCATTTCTAGCACAAGCTGGTAGGCACTGTAAGGTTAAGTTTAACATTTATTTTAAAGCCGTAGTCAGATGTTCGTATTTTACATTTTAAATTTTTTTTTCAAAATGAAAAATTTTTTCGTTTTTCAAAAATCCCTGCCATAGTTCACATTACCATACAAAAAAAACGAAAAACCAAAACCAAACTTACATCCGAGTCATCAATAGTCAAATTCTGAATATTTTCGTAATTCGAAGCCACCAAACCGACTGGACATAGTTGGTGCTGATCATTCTTGTCCTTCATGTAAAACACAGTACAATTTAAAGGTACAATAAGTCTATGATACAGCCATTTCCGAATGTAACAGTCGTCTCTACCACCATAATCCGCGTCTGCTATACAATATTTGTTCGAATCCAACATTTTGATTCTTCTCATTTTACATTTGATCACGTTGTATGAGCGGTAGTTGATGTAGAAGCGAGGGTAGGTTGAGATTTCACGGCCTGGCTGGGTTAGGTAAGCTATTACTTGAGGCTGGAAATAAGAGTAGGAATATCGCTAAAGACTAAAGTTTAGGCTAAGCTTGAGGCTGAAGTTAGATTTAAAGTTGAGAATAAGTCAAAAGCAAGAGCGCAGATTAGGGTTAAAACAAAGACAATAGCAAAGGCTATAGCTAGAGATAAGACTAAATCTATTGGTAAACTAGGTCTAAAGTTAAAGCTAAAGCTAGAACTAAAGCTACAGCTAAGGCTAAAACTACATCTGAAAATAGAACTATGGCTGAAGCTAGAGGTAAACCTAGATCAAAGTCTAAAGCTAGTAGTATCCTTACCTGCTTCCTATTACTAGCAGTTAGTGGTGCATCTAATTGTTTCATTCTGACATGAAAGCTTCCCCTGTCATCCGGGTCTACCTGCGTCATATTCCACTTCTTCAGCCGGAAACATCTGCCACGTAGCATCAAATAATGTTCTTCAAACACATCACAACACGGTATTTCTGTCTTGGCTACTCGGCAGTATGTGAAGAGCTGAAATGTTTAAAATTTGGCTTTCACGTATCTTAATAACTACATCAATATGTCTTGGCATATAAATGTTAACCTTCAAGTCTAGATATAATCAAAAATAGTATTTAAACTCCACTTTAAGTCCCAAAACCTACATCTTCGCACTTATATCCATACTTCTTGAAGATATAAACATGAACATCGTTGACCTTGGTCTTCTCTTTGAACTGTTTCAAGTAATAACCAAGCTTTTTGTGATGTTCGTCAGTCAAATGACCCAACTTCTTGTCCATGTTAGCAAAACCAGCATCTGCTATAGCATACGCTATTATCAATTCAGCTGATTCCTTTGATAATTTTGGAAAAACTTGGCGAAGTTCGGCTACTGCATCATCTACTCTCAGGGCATCCGGGTTCTTTGGACATACTATTAGAGATGGGTAGTCTAGGGCTAGGACCTGGAAGATGTAAATTTAGATAGTTATGTGCCGTAAATCAAGATATAGTAAAGTAGAACAAAGAAAGCGGAAGAGACAAGGTAGAAAAGTAATGTAGAGCATGATAGGTACAGATAGAAAATGCCAAAGTAATGCAAAGTAAAGTATGATACATTACCGTAGAGTCAGACACAGTAGAGTAAACTATGATGGAATATAGCACAGTAAAGTAGCTAGTAAATATAGCTTACAGGACACGTAAAGTAAGGTAAAGCTAATTAGAATAAGAAAGTATTAATAAGACAAGGTAGAACTCAGTAGTAGTAAAGTGAAGTACAATAAGGTAAGCTAGGGTAGGGCATGATAAGATAATGTGGAATAGGGTAATGTAGGGTAGAGAAAGATAGGTTAGAATAGACTACAGTAAGATAGGGTAAGACAGAGTATGGTAGAGTAAAGTAAAGTAAGACAACGTAGGTTATTGTATGATAAAGTAGGGTAATGGAAAGTATGGTAGAATAACAAATATAGTTAAATCTGAAATAGTCAGTTACCTACCTGTTTAATCGTGAAAGAAGTAGCGGTTTGATGCTCATAAAACTCATGAATAGTAGTCCTAGTAGTAATAGCTGATATGATAGTTGTGACCAATAAAAATATTATCCAAACAACCTGATATGGCCGTGTTATTTCTTTCTAAACATTCCAATTTTTAAAAATTAAAAAATTTTTTTCATTTTTTTTAATTTCAAAACTTTTTTTCTTAATTTTAAAGTGGTCAAAAATACAAAAACTTACACTAAAAGCAAGTAAAAGACCATGAACCTCACTACCGCCAAAATACCGGTCGAATAAACGAGTACGTAGCTTACATCGTAACCGTGCTTTAGGTTTTTTAAGCTTCTTCAAATAATCAGCATTGTAGTATCTGACATAATCTGTTCGCAGACCATTGTAGTTAATCATATAGGGCGTTTAGTCATCACTTTCTGAAATTTCATGCTATAACATGTTTTCGAAACTGCATATTACACTACCCAACCCTACCCTTCCTTAACCTACCCCATCCTACCTTATTTACTCTATGTTACCGTACTGAATCTACCCTACTCTTCCTGGTCCTGCCCTGGCCTGCCCCGTATTACCCTACCTATCACATCAAACCCCATAGGAAAGCAATATCATTCACGTTCTATTTTATATCTTAAAGCAAAATAAACCATACCTCGCAACACCATGGTCTAAACTAGACTCAATATTCCCACATACCAAATGGTTTCATGAAATCGCTTTGAGAGTCATATGTCAGCAAACATCGCACATCTGAAGGTATATTTAGTTGTTACATCCTTGTTCATCTTCTACAAAATGCAAAATTTAAAGCAGTAAGTCATAGTAAAAGCTGAAAAAGGCGTTAATCTACATTAGCAACAATTTTAGATAACTTACCCCGTTTAGCATAGTAACGCCTTCCAAAGTTCGTAAATCCATAAAGTAAAAATTCATTTTGGTTTCCAAATCTTCTTGGCTAGCCATTTGACCTTTTCAGTAATGAACAAGTACAAATTTAGCAAGATTTGTGTTATACTCATTACAGTGACACCAAGAAATAATCCAAGTTGTCCTCCAATTTGAGAGACAAAGCCTGGCAAAGTGACTATCCGGACTTCTTTGAAGTTTTCGTACTGAAAAAAATTAAATTTAAGTATACTTGACTTTAAAATTTAAAAAATAAAGAAAAATTAAATTTAAAATTTTCTTGCGTTTTTAAATTTTTGAAGTTAAGTTTTGGTCTTTCTTAACTCCAATCCTTTTCAGTTATTCTAGCCCTAGCTTTCTCTATTCCTAGTCCTACCTAACATGAGTCTACCCAATAGCTACAAAATTAAAATCATTCTATACAAAAGCAATGAAAAGAGCATTAAAACTACTGAAACGCTAAGGAAAAAGAGAGAAAACCTTTTATTTTTCGGTTCTTTTGATCAACAGAAAGCCCTCGCCTTCGAGCGATCGCGAATTTAAATGCCTCACGCAGTGTGCGGAGTCTGTGAAAAGTGAAAGTTTTACCGGCTGACACAAATGAACCAATCAATATCGTCACTGTGAGATGCAGGTAATCGAATTAAGCGAAATTTCATTTTTAAAGATTTTTTTTAAATTTTTTCTCATTTTTTAATGTAGGGAAAGTATAGGATTTTAGTAAGAATTTGAATTTTTGTAAACTCCTTGTACTGATAAAGTATCGAAACTAAAAAAAATTGTTAAAAAACTGGGCGGGGTAACGTTTTTGGGAGTAAACAAAAAATTTTTCAAAAATTTTCAAACATAAGATTTTGTAATTTATAGCCACATCGTACTATAATGTCAAAAATACCTAGTAAAAGCGTTGTGCGAAGTCATTTTTTTGGGGTAAGTGACAAAACTTTTAAAATTTTTTAAATTCAAAACCTACAAGAAGGACCATGCTCAATTTTTTAACTGAAATAGAGTTCAAGTAAAACGAAGAGAAGGCGAGAGAAGAGCAGAGGAAAGAAAAAGGCGCTTCGGAGTGTTACAAGCCCACCCGCATCGCCGTCTTGTGAAGCAACTCAAAATGCCCTGAGGGCATGAATTGGCGGCAGCGCTGATCAGAAGCAAACGTAGAATCGAACCAAAAAATCAATAAAATCGGCGTTTTTCATAACGTATTAGAAAGAAATGGCATGAATTAGCGGACCACCCGCAAAAAGGTGACTCGAAAAAATTGAGTCAGGGTTTGTGATTTTAAAGAAAGAAAAGTGTTTTAGTTGGTTTTGTGCTTTCAAATTTAAAAGTAGTCTAGTCTGGAAACATAAGGTTTTGACTAGAAATGATAAGGCAGTGAGGCATGGGTAAATATGCAAAGCTGATAGGAAAAGAGGAGTTTTGGAACAGCGGGATGAAGTAAAGTGGGACAAGGTAGGTTAAGGCTAAGTAGGGTAGTTAAAAGCATAGGTATTAATAATGTAAAACAAAAAAAAATATTTTTTGGCTAAAGATAAACGGTAGAGTAGGGTATGGTGAAATAGTATAAAGTGAGACTTGATAGGATATAGTAAGGTAAAGCAGCGTAAAGTAAAGTAGAATAAGGCCGGTTGAGGTATAGGATAGGGTAAACTAAGGGGTTAGGTACGATAGAGTATAAAAAAGTTAGATTAGGCAGAGTAAAATAGAGTAGGATCGGGCTTCCGTAGTCAAGCAGGGTAAGACAAAGCAGGGCAAAGCAAGTGCAGAAGAATAGGTAAAAGAGAAACCTATGATAAGCCTAGGGTAAGACTAGAACAAATCCAGGAAAAAGGGGTTTGAACAGTAGTAGAAGAGAGAAGAAAAGGAAAAAAAAATCGAAAAAAATTACCCCTCCCTTCCATTTTGCCCTTCTGATATGCAAATTTACCCGTCAGTGATAAAAAATATCACAAAAAACTTTTACTTTGTAGTAAAATATTTTTTAAAAATAAAAAAAACTTACTTCAAGGTCGTCATAATGAACAATCAGCCTATAAGCGTCCGTCTCCACGAAACCCAGCGCTTTTGGAGCTGAATTCATTCGATATGTGGTTTTATATTCTCTTTCGGATCGACTGCAAGCAACCATGCACTAAAACATAAGGAATTATTTCAGGTATCCTACCATTAGGGACGTCGCTACGGTTTTTCTCTGGGGAGAGGAGGTCGAAAAATTTTTTTTGGTCCACAGGTAGCTATCCTATCTTACCCTTCCTTTACCCTTCCCAACTTCTTTTCAAGCCTAGAATAGAAAAAAATCATCCTACCACCCCTGAAAAACCTACAATATTTTCCTCCGTAGTCAAGTTCAGAACATTTTCATACATTCTTGCTATCAGCCCAGTTTCACAAACTGGAGCGCCGTGAGCACGGTACGCCATGTAGAATGGAGTGCAATTGTGTGGATCAACAAACTTGTCATATAGCCATTGTCTAACATAACAAGCAGCTCGACCTCTTGCTTCCACATCGTTATGACACTTGGAGAACTCTGGATCCAAGTCGAACATTCGAAGTTTAATTGAGATTTGGGTCTCTGATTGGTTGTTTAGGTAATATCGCGGAAAAGTTGAGATTTCTGAGCCTGGCGTGGCCATGAAGGCTACTAGTTGGACCTGAAAAAGTCATAGTTAACAGTTCTAGCTCTTGTCGTAGCCCTAATCGATAATATTTGAAGAGACATAGCAATAGTGAGCTAACTAAAAAAATTCTAGTCCTCAATTTGCATTACTTTGCCTATTCAAAAACGACAAGACTTTTATAATAAACATGTGAATCCCTCCCCCCCCTGCGTCTCGTAGTCCAAAACTAACCTTCAAATCCTAGCTATAGGTATAGAATACTTACTTGTTTCTGACTAACCGTAGTAAGACTAGGCAACTCGTTCATTCCAATATAAAGCTGACCATAAAACCCAGGATCGTATTGATAAAACTGTTTCATTCGAAAACATCTACCACGCAGCATAACATAGTAACTTTCGAAAATGTCACAACAATTTATGGTACGGGATCCGTAGCGACATTGCTTGAATAACTAAAATAATATACATTATGATAATCACTTGACAATTTGTAGGGTAAGATGCGGTAAGGTAGTGTATGATAGAGTATGGTAGAGTATAATAGGGTAGAGCAGGACAGGGTATACTAAGATACGCCAAAGCAGGTCTGAGCAAAGCAGGGTAAAACAAAGTAATGTAGGGCAGGGTAGTGTAGGGTCGGCTAGGGTAAGCTGAAATAAGCTTTCCCACTTCCTCCCCCCCTTCCCTCCCTATAAAATGTTCACCTCTCCCCTACTCTACCTTACCTCCTGCAAACCCCAGTGCCTCAAATAGATATAACAACTAAATCTACCCACCCCACACTGCCTTACCCTACCGTACAATGCCTTATCTTACCCTACTCTACCCTACCTTCTCCAACCCCTATACTTCCTATGATTACAGTTATTATACTAATCATATCTACCCTACCTGATTGCAAGTATACCCATTCTTTTCGAACAGATCCGTGTAAAACTCTGTCTGATTCCTTCTTCCCTTCCAGATGTTAATCTTCTCGTCAAAGGCTCCAAAATGTTCTTCAGGTTGATTTAATGTAACTGATTGGCCATTGACCAAAGCACTGTCAGCAATAGCATACATGATCAAGTCCACAACATCATGGTCAGTCATGTTTGGTATGACATTGAGGATTTCGCGTTTAATCGATGTGAAATTCAAAGCATCGGGGCTTTTGGGACAGATAATCACTGATGGAAATTCTAGCCGGGATACCTAAAGATTTAAATTAAATATATTATACAAGGAGTATATTTACTTACAAAATGCCTAGAATAAGAAGTCTCAACTTGATTAGCCAAGTAATCTTGACACATTTGGATGGTGTTCCAAATCGCTAAACACATAGCAAGAAATATTAACAAGCCCCAGGTTATGTGATGCAGAGAGGCCGAGGTCTGAAACAAAAAAGTGAAATGTCAAAACAAAAAATTTTTTTACCCCCCCCCCAACAAAAAATAATATCTTTAAGACTAACGTTTACCTCGATAAGAAATTTCAAAAACAATATTAAAAAATCAAAAAAAAAATTTTTGTTTTTTTACCGCCCCCCCCTACTTTTACTCCCCCCCCCCTCCCTTCCTCTTAATATCCCTCCGCCCTCTAAGCCCTAAAAAACACTTTTTCTGCCCTGCCTATAAAGGATACCCTACCATTTATAATATAAAAATTACCCAGCAATAAAAACTTACAGAAATCGCTTCCTTCAGACCATGAAGTTCACTGCCAACAAAATAATTACAATAACATTTTCGTCGTTTTTTGATGTATTTTTTAAAAACAGTAGTAATATCCAACGGTAAGATAACGTCCATACTACTGTCGAAGATTCTAAAGCTCAATACACTTGAAATCGTATTTCTTCTCGATTTTGATAATTGGCTTGTAGCTGGGTTTGGCATCTGAAACATTAAACTTTAGTGTATGATAAGATAGGATAATGCAAAGTAGGTCAGGTAAAGCAACAAAGCAGGTCAAAGCTAAGCAGAAGAAAGTAGAGAAAAGCAAGATAGTGTAAAGCACGACAGGCCAGAGCAATGTGAGGCAAGGCAGGAAAAGGTAAGATAAGGCCTAATCGAATAAAGTACAGAAAAATATTATAATAGCCAAGAAACCCCAAACTAACTTTCATAAAACAGAAAATACAAGTGCAAATGCCCTTTACTTAAGTTTATACCCCTCATTGTTTGCCTTGAACTCAAGAAGCATAGTACGCCATGAATAAGTGATAAACATGCAGAATAAAAAAGAAATACAACACCGTGCCTCCAGGCGAATTCAATCAGACGCCTCTTAAAAATTTACAAAAAGCACACAACTTTCGTCTGATCGGGCTTGACATCACACATTACATTTTACGAAAAGTACACTACTCTACTTTGCTCTACCCTACCCGAGACCTTACCCTACTCTACACTCCTCACCTTTACCTACCCTATCCCTGTCTCAACCAAGCTCTATTAAATCCCCATCCCCCGTCCTCCTTAAAAATTTTTTCAACCCCACCACCTCCGGTGAATTAAAAACGTTCACGTGAAACCCCATTGCCAAGAATGTGACAGACTTTTACGCATAATCTGGTTATATGTGCACCAACCTATAAATAATTCAGCCTTATGCTACTGCCAATGTTTGCCATAGTTGCTTGAAATGCTGCAAACTTTGAAACCCTAGATGTATAGTACAATTGAAAGAACACTTCAAACATTTCATGAATACCTTCATACCGTAATCTTATTTCTTATCAAATTTGTACGTCTTTACGTTGAGGTATTAAGCATAACGTTACAGTAATGTTACCCTTAATTTCAACCAAAAAAAAATAATATAAATTAAAACCTTTGCATAACAAACTCTTGTATAACAAAATCCTCTATAACAAACAAATTTAAAATCCCCGAGCGATGTGTTATACAACAGTTCCACCTATTATGTAGTTTGATATCGACTTTTATCCTAAATCAAATTAAATATAAAAAAATTCGAATGATACCTCAAAAATATAAGACTAGATCAGAATTCAACAAGGAATCCAAATTTCAAAATCTCAGAAGTCAAAAATCAAAAACAAAAAATTTATACCTAAAACCTTTACGAATAACAAGACAATAATCGAAAAAGCTAAAACAATATAAAAATAGCTGAAGAATATCAATAACAATACAAAATTACTTTACAAACAGCTAAAAAGACATAAAAAGCTTTAAACTACCTAAAATTATAAATTACCTAAATAAAACAGCTTCAAAATGTCTAAAACAATGTAAAATTCCCCAAAAAACTCATAAAACAACACCAAATAGATTAAAAATAGTAAAAATAATATGATAAAGGTATGAAGTAACATCAAAATACTCAAGAATACCTATAACAATATAAAAATGACAAAAAATATATTTAAAAATTTCAAAACCGCCAGAAAATACCTCTCGCGAGTTTCAACTAATGATCCTGGTTCTGCGACGAAGTGTCAAAGAGCTCTTGTTCGTTCTCAACTCAATGTCCTTCTGTTCTTGCCATGCATGGTCATGTTCTTCAAAGCTACGTTGTTAAATTTGATTGAAATTTATGAGGTTATTGAATATATTTGACATTTTACACGCTTTTACAGTTTTCAAACGTTATTTTTGAGATTTAGCGGAAAGTTCGTTGGAAAAATGTAAAATCTTTGTTTTTAGCTATTGAACTTGATTTATGAACAATATTTAATTTAATTTACTAATTTATGAAAGATATACTATTTGTTTTTTTATATTATCACTGATGTTATACCTATTTAGCTAGTTTATTAATGATGTCATATCTATTTATCTAGTTTATCAACGTTTATACCTATTATTCAAGCAAATACTGATCTTGTGTCTAAAACATCGAGAAAATGATTCAATTTCAAGCTTCAACATGGTTTTATGGATGTATAACGCCAATTATGGCATGGGTAAATGGTTAAAAGGAGGAGTAACGGATTGAAGATGGTTTGGTTCCAATTTCAAAGGATGCTTGGTAAGATTTTTTTTGAATGTTTAGGTTAATATAGACTGAAATAATTGGAAGAAACTGGACTAAAAAGGAATAATATAGCTCCGAGATATTAGTAATGTTCTCTTGAAATGCTTCGTTTGATTTCAGCGACGTTTGTTAAGCTTATTGTTAAAGGTAAAGGCATGTTTTGTAATTTTTCTTGTCGTTTTGGGTAACATTTGTGATTTTAGGCAACATTAGCGGTTTAACATTTGTTAAGCCATCAAAAACATGTACCTAAACCTTTACCCCGACCCCTATTGCCCTACCCATACTTTTGTGTTAAATACACAAGTCCTTTTATATTATCCATGTGCCATAATTTCCACTGTTTTTCCCAAAAACAAAAAAAATAACCGAACAATTCCGTAATTTTTTGTCCACTTACCACATAAAATATGTTAATTTGTTTCTTTTATCATATTTTGTCGCTTTTGTTGGGTGGCAAAAGTCTTTTTTCGAGTTTTTGGAAAAAGGCCGTTTTCGGCGCTAAAATTGAAACAATTGGCTAGCCAAATTCGTTAATGGGAATGCATGTTCCTCTGTTGGGTAAAAATCGCATTTTTGAAGGCTTTGGTATGGTAGGATTCTGTAAGGAAGGGTAAGGGGGAGGGGGGGGTAGGGTAAGGTATGGTATGATAAGGCAGGGTGTAATATTAGGAAGGGTAGAGAGGGCAAGACGACATACAATAGAGAATGGTAGGGTAAAGTAGTTTAACTTAGGGTAAGGTAAGGCAGGTTATCATGATTTGGTTGAGGTTGTGAAATTTCGAAAAATTTTAAAATTTCAAAAAATTTTTTAATTTTTAAAATTTTATGTAAGATTCAAAAACTATACTTCAAACAACAATTACAATAAAATTATAACGACCATCCCAATTCCGAACATAATATATGAAACGCTTGAATAACATTTCGAATGGAATAAATCATGTTTCCCTCTGACCTTTGTTATTTACAAAGCCACAAAACAGGGTAAAAGGTTATTTGAATAACAAAACCTTTTTCAAACCTGACTTTGGGTTTTGGGCTTGGCAGTACTGTTATTTTAAGATGTATATATAATTTTTGCTTTGGTGTAATTTATCTTATGTTAGTAGGGTAGGGCAGGGCAAGAAAAGGCAGGGGAAGGCAAGGCAGAGCGGCCTATGGTGGACAAATGTAGGATTGAGCAGGATAGAGTAAGACAGAGTAGTGCAGGACAGTTTGGGGTGGGATGGAAAAAGTCAAGGCTATGGCTGAGCAGCGTAAGGCAGGAAAAGGCAAGGCCGGGCACGGTAAAGCACTGTAAGGTAAGACGCAGGTTATGGTAGAGCAAGGTAGAATTGACAAGGTAGAGTAAGGTAGGGTAGAGTACGGCAGTTTGAGGTTGTGTTGAAAAAGGTAAGGTTTAGCCTATGGCTGAGCAGGGTAAGGCAGGAAAAGACAAGGCCGGGCACGGTAATGCACTGTAAGGTCGGATTAGAAAAGGTAAGATGTAGACTTTGATACAGTAAAGTCTTAGGGTAAAGTAGAGTGGCTTACGATAGTTGAGTGGGGTAGGGTAAGGAGGGGTATGCTATTTTTTAAAGGGTTCAATTTTCTTCTTTATATATTAATTTTATAGCTAACGATAAGCAGTTTAGTATATTTCTAACCCAACTTTTGGCGTGTGTTCTGTTTGACCATCAACAACATTCGATTTCATTACAAATCCTCTTGAGGATTTGCGCACTCTGAAGGCATTATAAAGACGAATGTTCTGTTGTCACTTTTTGAGGTCTTAAATTTGGCTTTGCAAAAATGGACGTTTTAACAAAAAAATGTCATTATGGGTGACAATTTTTTTGATGGCTTAAAAATTTTAGCATAAGGGTAAAAAGGGGCTGGGTAGCAATTGGATAGGGGTATGTAGGCAGTAATAAGAAAAGTCAGAGGGTAATAGGCCTGATGGAACGTTAGGAATGGGTTTATTTAAGGGTAGTGTAAGGCAAACCAAGACAAAACAAGGCAGGAAGGGCAAGGCAGAGTAGGGTAGGTAAAGATTTTTTTCAAGTTTCAAAGGGTTTAAAAATTAAATTAAGATTTACTAAACCACCCCCATCTTGCGCATTTTCTCAGGTCAAGCCCGATGTGTGTGGGTATTGTTTATCCGTTCGCATTGTTTAGCTAAGCCGGTCGTTCGCTGAAATTTGTTCAACGCGTTATAACGAGATCTCGAGGAACGTAAGCGCTAATCCAAGTTTATTTGCACTTGCAACTTGTGCGGTAAATCTTGACCATTTGAGGGGGGGGGGGTAGAGTTATAAAAATTTTAGGTACAAGTTTGCTTTGGCATATAATTTTTGCTTATGTACGGGTAGGGGCTGGGGTCCTTGAGAGGGGCAGAGGTATGTGTAGGACTAGGCCTAGGACTACGTTTAGGGCTATTTCTACTGCTAAGGCTAGGGAAATTTGTAGTGGTAGATGGATTTGTTGTAGGGGTAAAAAATTTAATTTACAATTAAAATCCGCCTAAATTAACACCAATTTTTTCACCACGCCGAAGTGTTACCACGCTTTGTTATTTATAAAATGGCAGTTTGTTTCGCGCGTTTTCGCACACGCAATTTGTTTAATTGCTGCTACTCTTCCACCGGCTGCAATACGCGAACATTGGTTTAGGCAATTTTAATACTGCTAAACTGGGGAGAACTTCAGGATTGTTAATATTTAGTATTTAGGGGGTTGTAGGCTTGGTTAGTCATGGGGATAAGAGCTGCTATTTGGGAATAGGGCATGGGTATGCCATGTATACTTAAAATTTTTTATTTTG